ATTTTGAAATTTGTGTCGATATTGAGCTTCATAGTTTCATCGCAACAGACATTAAATATTCGAAATTGAATGACGAAACCAAGATGTCTCACTAAAAATAAGTCGACGTGTATTTTGTTTGAGCTTCGCCGATTTTCTGATGCAACACTACATAAGGGTAGTAGTGTATTCATTGTTTGTTAGTGATGTAAAACAGTTATTCATTGTTTAAAATTCCTTGGTGGGACTTTTGTCAATATCCTTACATCAATAAAACCAATAGTATTGATATATTTCCACGTACGGGTGGTGGAAAATTACCATACTCTATGTCCAATTTGAGCATGGTAATCCTATAGAGAATAAATTTACAACACATGGTAACCATTCAGTAGTTAAAATATCATCTCCTAAAACAATTACCGGGCAGGATCAGAAATATAATAAAGGTTTCTCGAAGTCGTGTTTCTGGGTAACAAGCTACTAGTGTGAGGTAACAATTTGTAGTATTTAATTACGTATTGAGGAGTACACTGGATCATCTTAATTTGAAAGAGATGCCAATATAATTAAGCTTGCCAAGCCCATCGAACGCCCCTATAGCTCCAACCAGAATACGCCCAAAACCGTTGAAGGAAGATTAATATTCGAACCGCACCCCCGACATCCCATCCAACTGCAGCGAAGGGCGGTTTGGCCTCAGGTCATATGGAATTGATATGTGTATATTGTAAACATGTATATAAATATCCAATACGAAGAATTCCTAGTGTCAAATTGGTTCAACGTTGAGAAGTGTGAATTAGAATTCCATTGGATTAGGTATTCGCTACTGTAAGTGTTTTTAAAAGTGTCGCTGTTAGCGCCTATTACGAGAAAATTGTGAATAATTACAAGACCGTATAGCCGTCGGAATGATGTTAACTGGTAGTTGTGGTCCTCATCTACTCCTTGATTAAAAGAGAAATTGCTAACGAAAGTATTTCATCTATGCGTCAAGGATAAAGAGACGAGAAAAAAAGTAAAGAGAGTTAACTTTTGATAGATACATGAGGTTTGATAATAATGCGCTCAAACCGGACTTGTGGAATTACTTAATAATATGCTAGTGTTTGTGACCCAAATTTTCGATTTTAAATGTGAAGTAGATTGATATTCATTAAAATTTAGATATTAATAGACTAATATTTTTCTGGATTTCTTCTATGTACTTTGGGATAACTTTGAATAACATCTTATGCATCATGCTCATAGGCCAAACTGAGTAATGAATTTACGATTGCAGTATTATGAGGAAATTATAATTCCCTTTTTTCAATTGGGTAGATTAAATTATTTTTTCTTATATTTTTTTAACCTCTTCTACTCTTCATCCAGAGTTAACTTTTATTACGTCTTGCAACAACTTTTGGTAGACATGTGCTCAGACCAGACTAATGAATTTACCTATTAATATGATAGTATTGGTAAACGCAAATTTTCATTTCAAAATTATTTTCATGAATAGCCTGAGAACTGCTTTTTCTGGTTCATATAATCTATCCTGGGTACTGTATGCATTATGGTATCCGCCTGTCAGTTTCGGTTTCGACTGTAGTAGCAAAGTCAAAACAATGCGTCATTCAAGACAAACAAGTTTTTCAGGAAATGCCGTCGTGTGTGGAATCGTTCAAGCCAAAGGGATCAAAATCCCGATTTAGCCCAACATATCGAGCTCGCATAGCCGGATAATACCAGGTGTAAAACTCGCAATTCAAATTTTCGTTCCAAAACGGCCCAATTTTTTAATTGACCAGACTGCAGACAATTTTACCGGCAAATGTTCGTGCATGTTCATTTCCCTTTAACTTCGGTTTTCCTGTTTGTAATATTGATCTTACTCAGGTTTATAAAACCCATGGCATTCTTGAACGAAGAACGCCAGTTCAGGAAACTCGGTCGCAATGTAAAGAATACAATTACTGTTGCTGTCTCTAGTACAGGTTTGTTTTCCTGGGTCTTACAGAAATGCGCTATTTATTGACCAATTTAACATTTTTTACCGATAAATAGGACGTCTTAATTTGGCGATCATTACATTTATTGGACATGAAGTGGGCCTATGGATCGTGTTGTCGTTATGTATTTTTTTTTGCTTATTTTTAAAAAATTGCTTTCGCCATTTAACTACTGGACCACTTGTCTCAAAATTTTCAGTGGTTAAATGCTGTAATTGTCGCTGGAAGGCTTTTATTACTTTTGTTTAAAATCGTTCTTAACTTTATATTTTTGTGTGATGAAGTAATCAAAATTAAAAAATTTGCACCGTTCTGTGGATCACATTTCAGCGATCTGGTCGGACAACCGGTTCGGTATTGCAAAAGATTTGATGCGTAGGTCATCGTGTCCATGTATGTGAGCATTGCACTCTTGTACATATTTATTGATTTGGATCCGAGGTTCTATATCAACAGCAGTATGGTGACGATATGAGCAACATTTGGTTTATCTAATCTTGCGTTCTCACGTCCTTGACACGATTTTAATTTGATATAATATTCGTTATTATTGATTTTATACAATTTAATGATACCAAGGCTATACAAGGTCGTCGATGGAATTTGAGGCATGAGAATAAATTTAAAACCGCCTTAGGGTGAATTTTTAGACACCTTTGAAAATATAATAAAAATAATATACACTTTCTTTATGTCTAATAGGCAGAATCAGTAAAAAAAGGTGTTGTGGGTTGGCTGCTTCGAATGGTAGGGCGTTTCCAAATAAATATAGGTTAGATGAATACAAGCATTCTACTTATCAAACGTGAGAACCGATATATTCGACAGATCTATTTTCTAATAATAATAATGACTATTGACAATATTTTGCGGAATAAAAATATGGAGGCTAAATAGGTTAGGTCGGAGATCGGTATTCGTTCAATAAGTAGTGGTAAGAAAATCCCTAAAAATATTTATTCAAATTTAATTTTTGTTCATCATTTTTTCAACGACCATAGTCAAATTTGTAAGCTAATATTTACATAAATCCATGACATTTCATTCTACGTTATAAATACAAATTTGGACATTCGGTGAATTTCAATACTTCGAAGATGCCATGGTAATATTTTGGTACTCCCGTAGTGTGTGTACCAGGTTATGGTTAGGCCATCATTTTTATTCTGATTTTCCTTATTTTAGTTCGATTACGAGTGCGGGGACTGTCTGTGTTAGCCAAGTAAATATACCCTCTGCCCATAGGTTTCAGTTCCTTTACACAACTTGATGTAAAGTAGGCGAACAAAATTAGTTAACTTCATATTGGCACATACACTTCTGCAGCGCCATTATTTTTGTGGTTTACGGTTGAATTGTTCCAATTGATGAGCATATTTACTAACTAGTTATTCAGGTTTATATCGTTTCGTTTTAGTTCTAAATATTTTTATGTTTACTGTATGATTCAAGAAGGATGTCAGACTAATGATTTGTGTTTCATAAACCACTAGTATCTACCACGTGGCGACTTTTTTACTTGTTCATTTGATCGATGAAAAAAAGGGGTCAAGCCTCCATCACGCCCTAAGATGTCCATAACTCGGCGGAAGTCGCGTCGTATCTTAAACTTATTAATCTGTATCTCGCGTTGAAGCGGTCGCTAATATAGAAGAATATTGCCACCGAAGTATATGTTCAATGGTTACAAGGCAGCGTATGAACCTTCATAATTCCAAGTAAATGCTTGCCTCAGGTGTATATGTCAGTGATTTCAGCTGGTATTGAGGTTTTATGCTTTTAAGTTTGAAGACTGGAAACGACAGCCCGTCGAGTCTTATATCACGTTTGTGTGTCCTCGTCAGACGCAGTCAGTGTGTTGAGGCAGCGTCTCGGGCGCGAGAAGCCCTTTCTTTTATTCTCTTAATGCGTCCAATAGCCGATTTTCACTCTGAAAACCTCGCTTCATTGAAGAACCGTAATGTAATAGCGCGCTCGTTACTCCGATGAATTGCCGTTAATAGTATAGATATATTCATGCGCTTACTATGCTAAAATGCCGGTATAATATGGGTCACAGAGGAAGTATTTAGTAATTTACTGATAATTATTACACGCTAATGCAAACGTAAATGAGGTTTTTATATTATTATAAAGACCCAGCAAATGGAAGAATTCCACAGTAATAGCGAAAATCAAACCAACGAGAAAATATTATAAAATCGGAAAGTAGTATAAATTAGAATTCAAATATTAGAAATGAAGAGCTAATTTTTAAAATACTAATAGAACATTTATGTTCTTATGAATGTTTAATATAAGGCGCGTTATTGGCTAAAACATTTCTACATCTACCTTTTATTTTATTTTGTAACAAATATTTAACGCAATTTCTGTCGTGTAGTTTTACTCTACAAACTATTTGACAGACTTGTGGTTAAGATTCTCGTCTAGGCTGTCTCTTATTTCCTGATCATATTTGTAAGTTACCAATGGATGCCCATGTCTGACAGACCAAAAAATATAAAAAGCTTAAATATAGACTCACATTCGTAACGTATTTAATACTTAGAACCGGAATTTAGCCTTAGGTCTACAACGAATATCGGTTACAGGTTTGGCATCACCGAGTTTAGGTATTAGTCAATTGAAGCGTCTAGCGGTTTGCATCTGTGTAAGCTTCTCCCTATTTGACTAAGCACGTTAGTACAGCTAAAAATAGTAGTTTCATCTATTGAGCAGTTTTACATTTTATGAGTTGGTGGGAATTTTTTTATTGAATCTCACAGATAAAATTTGAAAGAGTAGGATAGAATTTCCATATTTATACTGGGAGAATACTAAAAAGGAGTAAACAGGGAAAAATAAGTGTGGAAGGTAGTTATTGGTTTGAAATTATTTGTCATTTATTACTTTGGTATCATTTTATTGGGATATTGGGATTTTGTCTGTCATATTTATTTGAATGGTGTGAAAACGTCGCGACAGATAACTGTGAAATACATCGTTAAAGCCTAAGGCGAGAATTACATCATTTTCTTTTACCTTTTTACGTAGGAAGTTAACCTTGTTAGTAATTTATTGTAAATAGTAATATATATTTATATATTATTCTCTCCAAATTCATCATTTCTAAAACAATCATCATGGGAGATGCAAGCGAAAAATTTGAAATGAACGAAGAAGATGGACCAGTTGATTCTCAGGAACCTCTGACGTTTCAAAACGAAAAGGATGGATACGGAAAAGAACGGGTTGGAAAGGACAGGAAGAAGGTATTAAAAATGTAGTTATGATCGTTAATTAGTGTCAATCAGATTACTTAGTTATTAGAATTAGATTAAAAAGAAATGCCTTTTCTGTATAGACAATATGTATTTTCTGTATCATGTAAAAATAAACTACTGGTTACTGATTTTAAAAAAGAAAAATGTTGAATGAAAATTTACTTTCTATGTTACAACAGGACATACGGTCATTCTGTTTGTCTGTTTTCAACCTAATGAATGCTATTCTTGGAAGTGGCATCCTTGGTTTGGCAGAAGCAATGAAAAATCTGGGAGTGCTACTCTTCTAGTAAGTGTTCAGTTTGTTTGTTCGTAAACAATAATATACTAGACAATGATCATCAGTAGTTCTCCCGGAACGATCCTTTGTGGGACGTCGTCGAAATAGTTTAACAAATTCATTTATTACTGATTTCTATGGGCAAGACGGTGGCGGTTTCCTAGGAGGCTACTTTCCATTTTTTAATTCTAAATCGTGCTTTACTGTAGTATAGTATTTTGGTAGAAAATAGTTTCGATTTGTATCCCATATGTTTGATCCAATAGTAATTCATTTTGAAAAAATATTATTGAGACCATTGGATATTTGTTGAACCATGAACTCATTGCGTGAATTACTGAGCTTTTTAAACGATTCAGTTCAGTCCGAGTGACCGGATAATTCATGGAACCTCCAGCTGGATAAGCATTCCTGCTAATCACGTTTCAGTTTAATTGAACCCACAGTATTGCATTGTGGTGAGACGATTTTGTGTTTGTATAAAGCAAAATGTTATTAGTTTTGCGATAATATGAACGAATTCAATCCTCCTTTGAATGTTATCAATTAAAGTAAGACGAAAATTTTATGAAAATATATTCCGAGTATTTGGACCACCATATTTATATTTTTGTAATAATAATATTGATATTTATTTTAAACGGGCCGATATCACGAATCTTTATCTTAGCGTATTGCCTATAATTCAGTTACATTAGAATAGGGCTTTGGCCAATTCTACATGTATGTATTAAAGGATATGTCATCATCCTAGAAGCCGTATCCGGCACAGCCGTTTCAAAAAGAATATATCTTAGGTTTACGCAGACGAATCCTCTGGGAATATCAATATGCGCACATACCAAGCCAAAATACATGCATTCTTTACAGCGTCTTACTGATCATGACTGCGTGCCTGGCTGGCTACACAATCAATCTACTTCTCATTGCAAGCAAGGCCGCGAAAGAAACTACCTACGAGGGTCTCGCGGTCAAGTCCTTTGGTTTTGCAGGCAAAGTGGCGACAAGCCTGATGATCGTTATACATTGCTTAGGAGGTGAGTGCTCTAATACAAGGCAAATTTCACAATATTTTGATCTCAAGATTACCAAAAACACACTGATATAATAAATATTCCGACGAGGTCACGGCGCTCAGCATATAAATCATTGTCATCACCTTTACCAAGGAGATTGTAAACAAAGGGGCGTGGTTAATTCCTTACTGACGCGAGACTTATCACCACGCAAAACCGCCAAAGTCCTTTAACAACAGGATATAGGTGAACAACACAACCTAAGTAAACGTGACAACGTGAATGTTTCTGGTGAAGTAAACAAACGCTAAAATATGACTGAAAATATTACGTAACGTGCATAAATATTTGAACGATTTTTTTCCGATTTGGCGGAAAATATTATAAGATTCTATTCTTCGATTTTTATATCCTCGAAGAGTAGCACGTTATATTCTTTCCCGGGACTCTTGTAGTGTGTGTACCAGGTTAGGGTTAGGCCATAATTTTATTCCGCTTTTCCTCATTTTAGTTCTTTTAGGAGTTCGGGGACTGTCTGTGTTATTCCAAGTGAATATACTCCCTGCCCATAGGTTCCAGTTCCTTTTCACAACTTGATGTGAAGCAGGCGAACAAAATTAGTTAGCTCCATATTGGTACATACATTTCTTGAGCGCCTTTTTCCATTCTACTGTACTTTCCGTAAATATGAAGTAAATGAAAAAAAACGGGGCTCCCGAAGTATGCGAACCAAGATGGCGGACATCGGAATGTAATATGTGTACTAGGTTAGGGTTAGGCCATAATTTTAGGTATAAATACTACGGGAGGCTCTTGGCTAGTCTTCGAACTGATAATAGGACTAAAATAGGGAAAATTGGAAAAAAATTATCGCCTAACCCTAACCTGTTACCCATGTTACGTTCCGATGTCCGCCATCTTGGTTCGCATACTTCGGGAGCACCAAAAAAATACTCACACCATGTAATGATGAAAATCGTGTCATGAGTTATCTCGAGATGAGACCCGAGGCAACATAGCAAAAGTCCATTCACATTCCGATCTGTCTAGTACCGTCAGAGTCAATTAGTTTTACTATGATGCCTCAAGACGTGATCCTCACCCGTAACTGCGGTAGGTGGTGGTATCAAAATAATCTAATCTATCCCTTTTACAGCTATGTGCAGTTACGTTTTCATCATCAAAGCCGAAATGCCCGAGGTCGTGAAAGTATTTTTCGATGATGCTAACTCGACGTAAGTTTGAACTGTATGAATATTTATAATATGGTCCAGTCGAACAATAGTTTTCAAGCTCTCAAGCTTCTGGAATATCAAAAAGGTTTAAAATCACTGAGTCAGACAATATCAAAAGTTATAAAATATAAAAGTATTGCATTATTATTGCACTCACAGGATTTCTGCGCACGGTGATGCTGATGAGAATCTTCCTTTCTACCGTTCCGGCGTATTTCTAATGATGTGTGTTGTATTGCTTGTAATAGTTCCATTATCGTCGATGAAAGATATAAGTGAGTATTAAAGTATCTCTTCCTCTCCCTCAAAATTATAATGAAATACGTTCCTTATTTCCTACGATTCGACAGCAGTCTAGCTTAGGCTACGAAAGCAACAAGCTACCATACGCTAGTTCGCCAGGATGAGATTATTTTCATTGCTGCGGTTCAACGACCCCTGATCCGTTGAGTTGTCTGACCCGTGAACTAGACTCCGGATACTACTTTTAAACAGATTAAACCTAATTTTAATTTCTTCTGAACAGGATTTCTCGGATATTCGAGTGCATTTGGCATGGCTTGTATGCTTTTATTCACCATGACGGTTGTCATCAAGAAATTCTCAATTCCCTGTCCTCTGGATCAAAATAATCACCATGACAACCACACTGTTTACAACTCCAGTGATTCTGAACTGGAGCCTCAAGTTTGCAAAGCTGAGTTGGGCAAAATGAACAGCAAAGTAAGCATGTACTTCTATTACGTCGAAAGTTATCTTAAAGCGGCTTTGTTTCAACTTCGTACGAAGTGGTAATTCCTTTTTTGCTTTCAGAGTGCATATGCTGTTCCAACGATGATATTTTCCTTCATGTGCCACGCTTCGATGCTTCCAATATATCACGAACTTCGGCGGTAAGATTATTTCACAGTCCATTATATATCAATAAATTACATCAGTATTTATAATTATATTATTTCTTTTCAATACTGAACAGACCATCCCCAAGAAAGATGAAAAAAGTGGCAGGAATTTCTATATTTTTGGTACTCGTATTGTATATGATATCCGCGTCTTTTGGATACTTCACATTTTACAGTAAGTATATATATATATATATATATATATAAATATGGATTCCACTGCTTTTTGTTATCTATTCTATTACGGTGCAAAATATAATTAAAAATCAATTTTTTTCACAGACTATGTACAATCGGAGTTGTTGCTGACGTACAGTAAATTTGAGCCCAAAGATCCATTGATCATTTTGTCGAGAGTGATGGTCTTAACATGTGTCACGCTATCAGTACCTCTGCTCCATTATCCAGTAAGTGAAATTTTAATAGTACAGTAGGTGCCACTTTGTTGTATGACAGTTTTGTGATTTTAGTATGAACCTAATCCATCGATGAAAGAATTAGGAATGGAATTCTATGAGATTGTCTTTATGCAATTGAGATCGTGTTAATCAAGTGAGACCGCTTACCAAAGTAGTTTCATGACGCTGAGACCGCATGCCGGTAATTATAGATTCTAACGTCCTAAAGTGAACTTGTCTTTCTGCATTGCGTTCCGACGCTAAATCCCGGATAAACACTTGCAAATGGCGATAGTAGCTACTTTTGCTCGGGAATAAAAGAGAGAGAGAGAGAGAGCGTGGTTTATTGTTTTGTCAATCAGAAAACAATTATTTAACAATAAAAAATATATAACATACACATCGGTATTTGGTATAGTCCATGTATCATAGCCAGCTCCTCCCATTTCTATTAATCTATTGTTGAAGTTTATAAATTCAGATAAATAATGATTGAGGTGGCGCTTCTACCTTTTTGTTTATTGTTTATACATTGTTGTTTTGTTCCAATCTACCTCGTTATCAATTTTTTTATTTGCTTACAGTGCAGAAAAACCATCATTACAACGTTCATGCGTAACCCACAGCAGTTCAACTGGCTTCGTCATATATTGGTGATGGTCGCTTGCTTAACATTGACTGTTGTCATGGTTGTCTTTATACCAGATATCCGAGATATTTTTGGCATTGCTGGTGAGTTAGTTGTGCTACTTAGATTCACTTCTTACACACAATATAAATTACTATATACCTTATGGAAATTTTGGAATTCCTAATAGTTAGTTGGCTTATGAGGGACAGTGGTTCAAAATGCGCCTTTACGAAGCCCGTATCCATAAACCATTTGCATTTTGTTTAACATTTAACACTATAATCGGGTTCTGCCGGATTGCCTCAACAGATTACAAAATGTCGTATATTTGAGGTTGACACTAGTTCGTATCTGACTTCATTTATATCAAATTTTCGTTATTATTTGTGATTCTTGTACCAATTATTTGATGCAATATACATATATATCTATTTCAGGCGCTACATCTTCCGCCAGTCTACTTATATTATTTCCATGCGCATTTTACTTGAAGTTGACGAAGCGACAGCCGAAATACAAGAGAGTCACGGTAAGACTTTTTTTAACGTTACTTATAATAAATTAGTTGTTCCATTTTACTTGCCAGGTGGCAGATGGACTATACCCATACTTATCATTAGCGAGGTTGGCTGGTACGTAAGAGCCTCAGAAGGGTTGGGTCTCAACGTTCAATTGTTCGACAACTGTTGTTCATAAGTCGTTTTCAAATGGTAAAGTTAATAACACCGGGATAACACCGACTAAAATTTCATATAACAGATATTTGTTCATTTTTTTGATCGGGCTAATTATTTTTTATGGCGTCATTTCTAAAGAGGGCCTCTCTACGGCCTCTCATCGTCTAAATCTGGCCCTGGCTATTAAAGTTGTATCAGATGACACTTCTTGGATAGATATCATTCATTCGGAATGTTGTATCATTTGTCTTTTGACAAAACGATCTCCTTTTTATTTTGCTTCAGCATATGTTATAATGTTTTCAATTATTATTTTTAGGCGATGGTACTCTTTGTTTTGGGAGCAATATTCATGATGTTCAGTGTAGTCATGATTGTCGTTGATTGGATAAATCATTGAGAGGATTCACCAATCAAAACATGGAGACTGTAGGGTGTGGCGCGGCGCGGATGGAAGAGGCCGGCTATATTGGGGTCTCAGATGCGCGCCGTGCTGCCCAAAAATAGAACTCTACCCCACAGAAGATATCAAATTTGTGTTGTATTTCTCGCTTGCGTGGAACAACAATAGAATTGTATTGCATAACGTGCGATTGTTGTAAATACTATGTTCGGCTTCTTTGGGCATATTAGCGGCACCTTTTCTGCTTCTTGCTATAAAACACCACGTGCTACACGCTACTCATATTGAATTTCACGGAAGATTCCCAGTATCCTTTTACACACGCAGTTTGCTCACATAAAAAGCTGACAAATGACCAGCCACCTGCTTTGAACAATTATTTCCTGGACCAGTACGAATTCTTAGTACAGTACAATGTATGCCCTTTTATCGCGAATCGTGAGTTCACCACGGCTTACAAATGACAAATACTGCAGCTTGTCAATACTATTCAACTAAATCCAACCTTTGCCAATTCTGTGGAGTTTTCACTCTTGATACCAAACGTGAAATATTGCTTCATTGGAAACGCAGAAAGATTCATACGGATCATAAAGCACTAATGTTCATCAGAAATATATTTTTACATATCCAACATATCTTTATTATATAATAAGCTACCTTCAATTTTCATTCAACGCAAAAACTTTACTTTACTGCACAAATCAGGCTGTTGATCATCTTTGACGCGCTATTAATTCATTCTTCTAGCCTGGCAATGCTTTTCTAGTCTGGGAAAATTTTGTAAATTTCTATGTTGCGTGGTAAATGCCGTCCGGTGCTTATTATTTATTGTTTTTTCTATTTATTATACTTTTAGACTATATGTTTTGGACATCAAGAACGACATTCTATGTCTGTATCTGAGAATATTTTTTGTTCTCAACTTCGTTCTCAATATCTTTTGTTCAACAACTTTGATCACGAAATCGGTTATTGCCTTTAAATATACAGACACCAAATATACACAAGCAATGTAATTAAAATTTCAATATTGCAATGATTTCTGCATTGGGTATAAAATATTATTTTCTTATTGTGCATCTGCAAAATATGGGAGTGAATTTTTCAAATTTTAGTCATTGTTTTGATATTGCCTGTAATGTATATATTCAAAAACATGTCGAAGCACCCATATACACAAGAATAGAATGTTCATTATTGTTTGAAGCCCTTTATATCTACTCTTTGTTTTTATTAGTCGGTAGTGTCATCCAACGATTTTCTTATAAGAGCTGATGCTTTTGGCGTGTATGTACTTAGTTCTACTTTTTTATGAATTATTAGAAAATTTGACCTTTCCAACATGATAAGAAAATATTTGATATATGGAACTTCATAATCTTTATTTGGGCATAGCTCCTGGCTCTCACTTAAATTTTGGCATTTTATTATCTATGCCAGTGGTTCCCAAACCGCGGGTCAATTATGGCCCGCGTTAAGATTCGATATGGCCCGCTTCATAACACTCCAATTTTACCAGTATCTTAATTATACGTACCGGCCCCTTGCGGGCCCTTTCCTCTCCCTGCCCGCGAATATATTTCCGCTTCTAATTTTTGGCCCCGGTCAATCGACTTTGGGAACCACGGATCTATACTATCGAGAATGCCTCTTACGGGTCATATAAGGACGATGACTCATTTGTTGATGTTGGGTTGGCTCAGACTAAACTATTGGTTTAACGGAGGCAAGACACCTACTTTATCAAGATTGATTCGTCAATAAAAATTTAAGTTTTTTTTGTGTGAAGTTCCAGATATAATATGCGTTGATCTAATCGGATAAAATTGTTTTTATGTTTATTACAATCTTTATTAAATCTAAATTTAATTATATCTGAGACAGTCATCAATCATTCGTTGTTATAACAGACATCGACTTTCTGATAAAATTGTCAAAGTTTGTGCCCGGAGGTTAACACAAGAAATGTAATTTTTTCGTAATAAAATGAAAAGTCTCGAATTAAAAAAGTTCATTTTTTCATAATTTGATAATTTTCTACCTCTTTTGAAACTTTTTATGATAAATAGTTGAAACATTTGTTTGGACTTATTCACGAATAACTTTAAAATTAAAATGGCGTTAGTTTATTATAAATTCATTTTCATACGACTAATTTGACAACTCAAGATCACTCAATGATGATTCACATGAAGCAACGCACACTTTATTGCAAAGATATTTGTGTCCAGTGCCCACCTGTAAAATTTGATTGGAACGGTTCTAAATACCTCATTGAACTCATTTTAGGTGCGTTATCTGAAAATTCAAAAACATCAAACAAAATTTATATTAAACACGAGGTGCTAATTTGGTCTCAAAATTAACTTTTCATCAAAATTAATTTACAGATCTTTGAATCACAATATAATTTATTTTACAAACTGTTTCTTTCGTTACGACTTTGTATATAATTTCTTCTATCTTGGCCAATGTTAGTCTAATTGTGTCTCCACTTATATCAATGCTAATATTGTATTTGCGTGTTCTACTTTTGTCGTACTATTATAACCTTCAAGTCAATGCAACTACAGGGGGATCACGTAAAATCGGTACTCCCGTAGTGTGTGTACCAGGTTAGGGTTAGGCCATGATTTTAGTCCGATTTTCCTTATTTTAGTTCTATTACGAATTAAGGACTGTCTGTGTTAGCCAAGTGAATATACCCCCTGCCCATAGGCTTCAGTCCCTTCATACAACTTGATATAAAGTAGACGAACAAATTTGTTACCTCCATATTGGTACACACACTTCTGAAGCGCCTAAAAATGTGTTTATATTTTGTTGTTTTAAGTTATCCTGTTTGTTTTGAAACTAGTTCACAAACCATGCTTTATTGAATGTAATTTGTCACTATACAAACTTTGATTAGGTTATGGTTATGAATGGGTATGATTGCATTATTTATTTTTCCTGTATATATTATTATTATTATTATTATTGTGCTTTTGCTCTTAGTCATCTTTAATGTGGAATTTCATGTAAATATCAAAAATAGAAATCTGATGAAAGTACTAGTTGTATTATTGTTACTCAGTCATGATGAGGGGTCATAAGATTGAAGAATGACTGAATGATACCATGGCTTGGCTTTTGTAATATTGTCAATGGCAGTCTCTAAAGTAGTCGCCGACGCGCGGAATCGGTCACGTTTGGGTGAAACTGTACCAAACCTGAACTGTGATCTACCTTAAGGTTTTATTCAATAAATTACAATCTCACGACAAGGAGTTTTCAATAAAATGAGAAAATCAGACACAAAAGCGAATTGACACGGTTGACTGTCCCACAAAAAGCAATGGAATGTGATCGTTAACAAATGGTAACTTAACGCTAAAACCACAAACGGAAACTTCTGACACAATGTATAATAAAACGATTGGAATTGTACTTTCTCTTTAGAGCCAACCATAATGGGAAATTCGTTGGAGTCGGTACTTCAAGAAGGAAATTATTGAAATTGCGGGACCAAGTTGGAATTGTGGGTACTCCGTAGTGTGTGTCAGGTTAGGGCTAGGCGACAATTTTATTCCAATTTTCCCTATTTTAGTTATAATACAAGATCGGGGACTGTCTGTGTTAGCCAAGTGAATATACCCCCTGCCCATGGGCTTCCGTTCCTTTACACAACTTATGTAAAGCGGGCGAACAAAATTAATTACTCCATACTTCTGGAGCGATGCGATTTGAAAATAAGAAGGTGATCTTGAAGTAGTTTACCCATAGAGTAGCGATCGTTCCATTCTTGAAGTTTTCCTTATAGCACTTGAAATCAAAAAGAAAGCAAACACTTCACGACCTCCGTGAAGTGAAAATTATCACTTTACTTATTCCTTCGGGCTAACATTGTGTGAAACCGGACTTATTTGTAGATTATAAATACTTCATCCGGGATTTTGGTTTGTAAAAAAATATCGTCTTTTTATCTAATAGTTTCTAAAACGTATATCAACCGCTATGTTTACATTCTGTCTGCGGGTTTTAATATTAAATAACCACGTCTTCGTCATTTAAAGATCTAAAAACCACTACAATTACAATTTTGTTTCTTAATGTCTTCATAGTAAACCGCAATGTCGTAAGCGAATGTGAACGTGCCGGTCAAATCTCATACATACGGCAGTTAAATTTGATAGGACATGGATTATTTCACTTGCGAATGCCAAAGATCGGGGTAAGAAAGTACCCTTGTAACACCCACGCCGAGTAATTATACATTTAATTATACTGTCGACAGATCGATTGATTTTTAATCTCCACCATTTACGGATCCTGAATTGTCTTATCGGTGTGAAAAACTCTGATTACTACATCATGTTTATTAGCAAAATAAGCTTACACATTTGTTTATTCTATTACATATTACAATTAAAAAGGTAGAGTATAGATATTATATGTACTTTCAGAAATGCCACGCCCAACTGAACATTACTGGATTTCATAAATGGCGTACAACTCACTTTTAAAGTTTTCCCGTGTATATTATTAGTTATCTCGGACTATATACCTTCAATGGCATCTAAAACAGAAAATTTGGAATAATTTTTACGCACAGCAATTGTGTATTTTATACTTTCTTGGACGATATGAGAATGTATTCGTGATGAAAATTCGCGTTATGCCATTCCAAAAATATCTAAGTTATGTGATCCGCCCGATAAAAAGTAATTCTTCTTGGTATAGTAATATATATTCGAGTAAATGTGATATCATAGTTATAAACCTTTACGTAATAATCATAATAACGGCAAAAAATTTGGCATGTATCGTGTACCAATATGAAGGTAACTAAATTGGATCGCCTACTTCACAACAAGTTGTGTAAAAGTACGGAAAACCTATGAGCAGGAGTATATTCATTTGGCTAACACAGACAGTCCCCGAACTCGTAATAGAACTAAAATAAGGATAATAGAAATAAAATTATGGCCTGACACTAATCTGGTACACACACTACGAGAGTTCCTTCATTTTGAATTTGATTTTTAATATATAAAGGATTTAAAATCGCGGAGAGAATAATACAATCTAATTCTGGCAATGTTTGCTGTGTAATAATAAATATTCGCTTGGTGACGGTTTTCAACATGACATGACATAAATTTTTTCGCTATGTCAAGGTTCCACCGCATAAGGAGCGATCCATTTTTCAAGTGTGGCGATACTTATTTAAATGAATAGTTTTACTTTAAATTAGTGTTGAATTCGAAACTGTTGTATATATAGGGTGTCCATAAAGTCGTAAAATTTTAAAATTTAAAGGAAATTTATCGATACCCTATTGTCATGGCCCTCATATATGTATTGAAATTAAATGAATTAAAAACCAACGTAAATACGCCATATCAGACAAAACTATACAAAAAGTGGAGGTTAGCTGAAAACCACACCACAAGTCAATTTGAGATGTCACGAGTATTTTTAGAAGAAATTAAAATACGTATTAACCAGGTGACAAACAACAACGATTCGTAAATTAAACACGGCCCAACAACGAGAAGTGTCAATATTCATCATTTACGTGCCTATATAATTCCTTTGTCTAATCATTCAATGTCGGGAGAAACGCCATGACAAAAAAATTGTGACAAAGACTGTATATTATATATAATAGACAGATATCATTCAGTTGGCTGTCACATAGGGAATTCTTCAATGACTTGACAAATTTTCAATAATCGATTACGATTGTGAGAGCCATAGTTAAAAAGAAATTCGGAAAAACGTACAACTGTTTCAATAGTACAGGTCAATAGAATAGCATATAATAGCGTGTATTTGAAAATTCAGTGTACATACTCAACGTCCATACAATAGAATATTCGATTGTTGCACTTCAAGGAGGTGGAGAGAGGGTGTGTTCCTTCTTCATATAATCGATTGAGCTAGTAGCAAAAGATAATTTATTTTCAATGATACTCTCTCACAACTCCTAACGAAATCACTTACCTTTTTAATGGACTGGTGTTTTGTTGGCTGTAATCAATTTTCGCACGTATCATCGTGTTAGTAACTCATACGTGATACAGCAATTTCTTCGGTCATACTTTCACATCAAAATACATTAGGCCTACATTGCCATCTGCCTTTTGACAGCTTTACTCATTAAAAGTCTTCTCAAAACCAACGAAATCCTGTGTAGCGAGGTCGGTGTATTTCCAGGTCAAACAATCTCTTGATACGGGAAGCAAAGTCTTTCATTGACAGAGGAATTTCAAGCGAATAGTGCTGAGGATGGTCAAGCGGAGGAGTGATCTAGCGAACAAGCAGCTTGAGCTTCTGAGAAAGGCATTGTTGGAAGGATTGAGAAGTCAAGTCAAGTACATAAATGATTGCTAATTGCATTGCACCAAATCACAAATTAAAAAAATAACAAGAAAGCGATGCTCAAATATATGAACACAAAGCCCACAGCGAAGTAGTTGCCTACCTTACATTCCACGGAATTGTCAAAAGACTTTTGACTTTCGAACAGCAAGAGAGATGCCGGGGAAACGCTACAAATTATTTGTATATATTAATTTTTGAAAGGTTATCACGCAAAATTTCAAAATGAAAACGAATCTCATAAAGCCGACAAAAAGTTTTGAATTATATATATATATAAAAAATATGTATCTGCAAAACTTAAAGCGCACTACCGATTAAGCGGAGTAATGCTATTTATTCGCAACCAACTCTTGAAAAACGACCCACCTGTCCCTTACGTGTCCAGGCAGATAACCGTAATGTGCCAAGGATGTAGAGCACAGATGGCTAATCTGCCATGTATTATATTTTAGGGAGGAAAATTAGTCCAAGATTTAACCGATTTCGTGTAAAAAATATCGTTTTTATGCTCACCAGTAAGATTAATTTGAACATGTTAATGCCACGGTGGTTCTGCCGTTCCAGAAATGGTTTCTTTGTTATAGAAATTTGGCCGCCAATGAGGACGGACGGATAAATTAATGACTGCCACTCCAACACGGTGGATTGCTCGTTGAATATTTGGCACTGTGTTCCTTGGGTCTCGTTTTTATATATTTTGTATGAAATATTTACATTAAATGGAAGTTGTTGAACGAACGTACAGACCGCCAATCTTTCGCAATTGAGAAAGATTATTTACTTTACAAATTAGAAGGATATAATTCGTTGGGATCCTAAGATCTGTATGCATATATTCAGATTGACGAATTGAACTGACAAAGAAAATTGTTCTCTGGTGACCTCTACTGGTTAACTTAGTTGACTGCGCTATTAAAAAGTTTGTGTGTGACATTCAAACAACATCGTTCCGTTACAGCGATGAAATTTAAGCCTGAATTAGATTGCTATTCAACAACTAGGTTCTAAGATTCCCTGCTTCCTCCACGTCAGGCCTGCCCAACCTTTTTCATCTCGCGGGCCATTTTCACATAGAGAAATTCGTTGCGGGCCGCAAACGTTTGTAGGCTACCAAACTTTAAAACCAACCAAGTCCTGATTTTGTTAGATTTTATATAATACATAAAAGGCAAGATTATTAACATAAAATCAATCACGTTAACATTTATTCACTGTATGGTTGCTCATTAGTGCTGGCGAAATATTCGAATATGGAATCGAATATTAAAATAGCAGTTTAATATTCGAATATCTGGTAACACAAGGCGTGGACATGACACTTGCGGGCCGCTGAATTAAAAAATCAATCATTACACAACGCACTTGTGAATTTCTGACGACCACACGAGAATCTGCACAGAGTCACTAACAAACAAAGCCGTAAAAATTGAGACTTATATTTGAGTCATGGTGTTTATTATTTATTTATTTTCACTGGCTATGATATTGTCTCAATGAGCGTAAAGTGCGCCAATGTCGCGGGGACATCAAGTTTTAGTGGGCCGTTTCGTGAAATTTGAAACATCAATACAAGTATTTAATGAAAAAACATTACAATAACTTTTGGACGAATATGCCGTATATATTACTAATTTGAATATGTAGAATTGCCGTCAAGTCAATTTTATCAGAATTATTGACGGATACGCAGTGACGATATTTCCGGCATTTTATTTAACGCAAACATAACATAAACAAAAATACAAACATAAAAGAAAAACGAATCCCGGAGCCAGCAGCAAAGATTATTTTTGACTATTCATTTTACGTTGGCGATAAGGACGATCAAAGCCTACACGAAAAAGGCAATCAGAATAAAACTAATTTGAAAATTTAGGTTCCAAATTCATTCCTATAATTGCGCTCAGCGTTCGTCGCCCATGATCGCACAACATCTTTCGAGATCGTCGAACAGAACGCACAGTTCTGTGAAAATAAAAACGAACGTCGATGTCCACCATGGCGCAAGACTTGATACATAATACGTAATCATAAAAATCGGCATCCGGATGTAGATAGATGGCGGAAATAATCACATCAAAACCACGAAACATACTTAAGCCTACTTATAACATAGTAAAAAAATGAAAAGTCTGCTTACAAAATTTATTGGGCGGGCCGAAAAAAACAGTCCGGCGGGCCGCATGCAGCCCGCGGGTTGGGCACCCTTGCCCAACGTAATTCGCGCCAGCGCCAGATTCCCAGCTTTAACACAGTGGGCTATTCTTGATAAGAAAAATGTTTGGAGAGGTAATGCTGAAGTCGTTATTCCTTGGGAAACCTAATACGAACCAACGAAGTGATTGCAGTTCGTCACGCCCGCACAGTTAATTTAGGATAGGATTAACATATTTATCCCAGGAGGAGAGGGGAAAGTCGATTAGACGGCTAATCATAAGAAGAACCACGGCTTCTCGTCCGGTCACCAGTCCATGTCGGATTTGGGATTAATCGGCCAGTTATTTGTTTTCGGAAGCATGGATTTGATGGTAGAGACCACCCTACGTCGCGAGGAAGCCAGCAATAGACCCTCTCGCACATACTATTACCGCATAGGATTTGAACCCTTGAATTCACGCAGTGTAATTAGAGGTACGGTGGCGAGCGTAGTCCTTAACGCTTAGTACGATGCGCCGCCACACCGCCGAGCTAAAGTTGACAAGTTCAGCAAAATGCAGATCGTTTGCAGCTGTGAGACTTCAGTAACTCGACACTTAACAGCATGAATTCAAATACACAATTTACACGTAGAAAGATTCTCTTTACATCTTAACACTTATAAATATTCGCCTTCGATTCTTTGTATTTCGGAAAAATTTAAATATACAAGCACACTTAACCATATACTGTCGATTCTGGAATCTAACGTACAGCATGAACAATGTATAGCAAAAAATCAGAATTTCGATAAAACATCAGATTCCATTTAGTAAAAATTATTAGTCCTAGAATATACATTTCCAGAGTGCTATGGATGGAACGCATCACCAAAGTGCCGACCATTTATTGCACACACGTTACAATATCACAACATCACGAAGACACACACAGCACAGCGCAAACAATATTTTGAAAATGAAATAATCATGTTTTAATCTAATATGGTTATTTGATAATCATTCAAAATGGCCGTTCCGGGGCGCCAATGATACTCGGATATTCAAAAATTCCATTTTTAACACAAATATAACTAAGTACCTAAAACATAAGTAACAGCGAAGAAAAATACTGATGAATTGAGATATATATGTATAGCAATATATACAGGAAAAGGAGCTTTGAAAGTAAGTGAATGAATCAAGTTTGACCAAGAATTTCATTTGGGCTCTCAAAATACTAACTTGTTTTGAGAATTGATCTCCATTACCCCTATGGTAAAAAGTCATTTGGCATGGCATAAGGCCATATGTAGGCCTACATTAATACAGTCAGGTATATTGCACACAAAAAAAGGTTTTTGTCGAGACAAAAATGGGTTTAATTGTAAATCAGAATAGCAGACTGATGCCTGCTCAGCAAGGGTAGGTACATTATCCCGCATTAGTAATTACAAGTCGAAAACTATCCACTAAATAACCACATTTTGCTGTATAATCGTCATTGGGTTATTTTTAAACTGATCAACATGCAATTTTGAAAAGTCGACTTGTGGGTTTGAGTAGGTTATTTCATACACAAGGACCGAACGAATGATCAATTCTTGGATAAATGCTTCAACATAATACATAGAGATGCACAAAAGTTCCATCAATAAAAACAAAAAATCAGTTCGTTGTTGAACAATCATTTGAATATACAGAAAATCAAAAAATGTGCAATTTTATCTGTACAAGATATCAGTGGTATTCATAAAACTGAACATCTCATTGCTGTTACAATCTAAGAAACAATAAATCAGAAAGACAGCTCTCCCTCATATAGAACTAAATTGAGATGAAAATTCATGACAGTTATTAGCAGAAGACATTTTTGTTGGAAAACTGATTGGTATATAATGTGGGCAAAACTTCAGCAATTCAAAATTTCTGTTCCTAACACAGAGTGTAAGAAATAATTGTTAAAACAATAAAAATTGAATTAGATTTGATTTCGCCCGCATTAATTAGGATATTTACATTTCTTTATTTTGGATATTTATGCTCCATCAACATATTTTCAGAATAATTTTTAAGGTGGGCGCAAGACTTGACAAATTCTAAAAAGGGGGCGCGGCTTAAAAAGTTCGAGAACAACAGCTCTAGAATATTTCCTAAGAACATCAATATGATTCAGCGTGCAGCTAAATTACTGAATATCTTATAAAATCTTTTATGCAATTTACTTATACCTTTTAATATAATAATGTTTTGGGCATGACCAGCTATACTATACCCAATATTATAATTAACAGATCAAACGTCTGCTTCATTAAACATCAAATGGAACCAAAGAGAGCAGGAAGAGTTTCAATAGGTGTTCTCCAGACTGGGGGCTTTTTCAAAATGTTCAATTTTTAACCATTGATATTTATCAATCACAGAAATGGCTTCAAGAATTTCTTGCAACAATCCTTTACGAAGCCCAGGCCACGGATAAAAAATAGACTCAAAAAAAGTGGCTTCAATACCAGTCCACTCTTGTTAGAATATAAATTATAATATTAGTTCATTATAGATCGTTAATCAAAACGCAGTATCCTCTGATTCTTCATCATCTTGAACTGATGTTTCGTTTTCTTCCAACACATTTGATAATTTTGATTCGTTTGCTTCTGAGATGCTAAAACTCGTTGTTTGAGCCTCTGTTGTTGGTGCAACATCGTTTTTGGTCTTGTTTTTCGTCGAGGCATCTCCGCCAGCCAGATTGTCTTCTTTTCCCTCATCAAATTGCTGTAGAAAAAGGGTTATTATAGCAATTTTGCATTAATTTTTTGAGCTTTAAATTCTTTGGAATGGGATACAGTACGACACACTAGAATGGAATTGCCGATATGATAACGTAATCTATAAAGCATGGATGGATGAAGCATGGTTGCATGAAAATCAAAATGTAATCTTCATTTAAGACATCTTGCTCTTAAGGTGAGTAGAAATATATTCAGGAATAATTAAAAGAACTAAAATTTGATATAACACGAATTCAAAGCACAGATGGAATTTATGTTTAAATACTTAAAGACTGACATATTATGCTGCTTTTGATGGTGGAGAGTCATTGAGTTTAATATATAGATTCCTTACGCAAAAAGAGGAAAAAGTAGTTTTAAAGGTCTTATCAGAATACTAAACAGTAAATATTGAGGTTTTGAGAAAAGGTTAAATCTGGTAATGTGAAAAGCACTGTACAAAACATAACACAAAACACAACATGGAAACGATTGGTGATGGACCTGCATACAACAACTGTATAATCACTAAGCATATGATCATTCTTGTGAGAAATATTCAAAATCAAAATTGAAAAATCGAAGTTTCAATCCCTATCTGCTCTACTTGATTCACAAAAATCATTCATGATGGGAACACTTATTTTTTTCCGGTATTCTCTATTTTAAAATTGCTGTCCAGCAAAAAAATATGTATTGGATGTGATGCAGCGTATATTAGAGCAGATAAGAATCCAACTGATAATGATTGAAAAATCGAAACGGTTCAATCTTTTTTATAACAAATTGAAACAATTGCCACCACACACCAATAAACCATGCTAAGTTTTGAAATCATGCAATGGAAATTATACATAATGGTGCAGAAATGAAATCACAATGTTATTATCAATGGAGAAAATATCAAGAATTCTGCCAAAATGGCACCAGAAGAAGCTTATAGTTATAAACAACTCTTTACTGCCTAGCCTGTATAGAATTTATCATCATTTATTTCATGCTCAATAAAATAAGCTTCACTTTCATTCAATATCGACAAATTGAATAACAATAATTCCATAATTACTGTTGGATTTTACCAGGATCTTTAAAACAAGTCAGAGCAAATATTAACAACATAGAGCAAGGGTTCTCAAACTTTTGGTGTTATGGAGCCCATGAAGAAGAGAAGACTATTATTTATGGAGTCCCACAATATATTTATAAAAACAAAAACATATTGTTACATACCGATTAATGTTCCTGAGTAAATTAAAAGTACTTTATTTAATGACTGGAATGTATTTGCTGCTTTGTATTTAAATTTTTTTTTATTAATGCATTAATTGCTTTTTTGAACAGTTAACCAAGTCAGTTTTTTGATAAGTAAACAAATAGCCCGCGGAGGCCCTAGGTTTCTCTCACAGAGGGGCTCTGTATGGAGCACTTTGAGAACCTAAGGCATAGAGACTTGATTTTTGGTTTAAAGATACGATTTTCATATTTATTAGATGAGGGAGGAAAGTTGATATGATGGTTTATTTATATGGCTATTTTAGTCTCTAGTCTAGTTATCAATCAATGTTTGGTATGTGAATACTTGAAAGTTATTCACTGTAGAAACATGGACTAATTTGAAGACTAACTTGGCATAATTACCAATATTGAAAGCAAGGGTTGGATATGAATGTTGAAATCATTAAGGAAATTATGTCAAAATATGGAATACTGAAAAAGTGTCTGTATATTCAAAAATATGATATGTGTTTTATTTTCATTCGAATTGAAACTTTTATAATAGAGTGAACAGAATCAAAAATTTGAATTAAAACAAAATTCGTCATTTTTAAAAGTAAATTAATAAGTAAATCTTACTTAATCGAGCATGATATGATGATAAATTTTCAATCTACACTCGGAAGCTTGATAACTGAAAGAATCACCCAGTAGAGATGAGTGGAAAAGTTTATTATCCTTGCAAAATAAACATGCCATAAGTGCTAAAATAATAAGTAAAATTGGATAATATTTATACCAGTATATACAAAAATATCATAAATAACACAGGATAACAGAACCTAAATGATCAGCTTATGTAAAAAATTAAAGATGATTTCAGGGAAAAGAAATATGAAATATTTCAATATACAGGATGGTCGCTAGAAAAGCAGATAATTTGATGGCCAGATGAGATCACGAATATAATGCGCGCTTAGTCATTTCTTTTTCGATATGTTTTTATTTAGGTTCTAGGTTGTTTTAGGTTGATACTTTTACGCTCTATTTAATTTCTATTTTGACACCCACATCATGGAAGAGGGCAGGAAACAGCTTTGTAAAAATTTGTTTTCTGTAAAAATGAATAACTGTTGACAAATTTTCTGCTTTTCTAGCGACTACCCTGTATTTCCAATAGAATTGTTTTGAGCATGGAAATTTGGTTAATTAAAGGAAATTATCTGAATATTCTTCTTTGAAAATGTTGTCAATTTTGGCAAATAAATTGTGATATTTAGGCAAAAATAAGACTTGTGTAAAATCTGATAAATACAGAAGGTAAACCCAATCAAACATTTAACTTTTTTGTAGATTTTGATTTGTGCAAATCCATCTGTCGAAAAATATTCCTTTTTCTAATTCAGAAGATAAGATAAATAGATTTTCTGCATCCCCTAGCAGCTTCGTTTACATTATAAAACAATCATGCGCAAATTTTAGTTTGAATAAAAATTTTCTTTTCCAGAATTACAAAAATTCACTATTATTAACAAATTGCATTTACCGTACATAAATCATGAATTAGGATTTGCCCTGAATGAACCCAAAACACTTGTCTATAAGAAAAAATAGTGTACAAGTTGCACAAATAATAACTACATATATATTATATATATCACATGCGAAGTTTTATATTTTACTATATACAGCACGCAGCTTCAGATGTAATTACATAAAAATTGTAGAAAATTTTTCTTTTTTATTCACTATTGAGTTGGTGCCATCAAGACCTCACTCTGGAATCGGTATACATGTAATCTAAATGTCCAGATAAATGTTCTTTTGCTTATGATAAATATAAGAGTTTGTGCATAGGATGTAGAACCCAGCACTGTTTTTAACAGAATGTCCAATAATACTTGACAGACTACTATTAGGAATCAGAAAACGATCGAATACAAAGTCTAGTCAAGCTTTTGAAATGTTCGGTTTTGTGACGGAAAAAGTACATTTCTTGTTTGTCAAAAGACACAGAGTCATATGTTTTTAATTCAATTTCTTGCTTGCTGTCCATGTTTTATATTTTTAATTACATGTCTTACAGCCAACCTCTGACAAGTCTGTTACGAACAGATGGTTACCTCTTTTAATAAAGAATTATGGTGACAAAGGATAAGAAATATTTTTTTATTTTTCTAGGTCAATATTGTGGTGTAATCTGTCTATGGGTAGGACAGAGATGTAATAACCACATTTGATAAAAAGAAGGTCACAAATTAAAAAAAAATTTTATTCTGGACATAAAATTCCATACACAAACTCACTATGAAACCAATTTGACAGCCGGCATTCCATGAACCATATATGATATGGTCTACATGTATTATACCTCGGGTCACTTATGCGACGAGAAATTATATTTCTTTAAATTTAAAAACAAATTCCTGATTTAAAATTTTGAAGTCATGTTTTGCAAGGGGTGCATGGTAAATGAGATAGATACGGTAAATCACCAATACGATATCTTAATTTCAATTTTGATTGGATGAAAATTAAACTGAATTAAGTGAATAATCAATGCAAGTTGACATGCTTTATTATCAAAAGCTCGAAATTGCTTTCAAATTGAAAGTGAAGAGATAATTATTTAGACAAAGGGTTCAAGACTATTTCCTCATCCGACATGAACTGGTAATCCAACAAAATGACATGGTTTACCATATGATCAAGTTATCTTAGCGAATTTTGCCCTTGGGATAAATATCCAATCCAACTCATAAATAACATAACTATTGAGTGTTTATGAACGCAACGATCCAGAATCCGATTGCACGAGGACAAATATTAACAGTCATTGTAGTATATTTTCAGTCATTCATGAAGATTTTCTTCAGTTTTCAGCAAAATTCAATCACTTATAACGACACATAGTGTCACATGATTTCAACAAAAAAATCAGAAAAAAATCGTATTCAACCAGCGAATCACGATCACAATAATGGAAAACAACGAAAAATGATTGCAATATGAAAAGCAAAATGACGAAAAATGGAGAATCTATTCACAAGCAAAAAAAACATCACACTGTACTGCCAAGCATGGTTACATTGATGAACTTAGCTAAATTCATGGTTAACCATGCATGACAGGTCATTGAAACAAATAAAATAACATTCTAGAGATGAGATGAATGTGTAATTTTCACAAATTTCTGCGAAAACAACATTTTTAATTATTGTAACTCAAACATTATTTCAGCGAAACAGTTTTTTAAAACATGATAATTCAAATCGGTTTTAATACTTTAAAACTTTAGTGAGGTTGCGCTAAAAATGTTTAAAACAGACATTTAAAACTAAGGAGTTTAACCAGGGCTCTTAATTTATATTTGAAAATGTTTGGAATTTGGTAAAAAAGATTTTGTATGAAATTTGTCGTTGAAGAGTTTCAAAGAAACAAGAAGTAGTTTTACTCTGTATTTTTTTTATAATCAAAATTTAAGATTTTGAATTAGAATACCCAAATAAAACCAACATTTCAATATAAATATCGAATTCAGTTACAAACTCCAAGATTACTCAAAAAAATGTTCTCAGCCTCACTCATATGCTACTCATCTCATCTCTAGTGTAAGGACCATACCAATGGTAACAAAAACAAGCATCACCATGAGTGGAATCAAACGCTCGTCTCATACACAGTGCGATTCAACGTATGTGATTTTGCCCATACCAATTTGACCTGGTCCGGTGCCGTTACGCTTGCGTCCTGACTACTTTGTGCCACTGTTGTAGATGTCCCAGCAGAGATGGGTGTCGATGTTAACTCAGTTTCTTTTGACCGATTCGTGGAAAAACTATATCAAAATTGAAGGTATGTAAAGTTAACAAAAGATAGTGTGATTATGTCTTTGTCAGCGACCTAGTTTTGGGTGCGATCATACATAAACATAAGTTAAGTGTTAGAGAAAGTTGTAGTCATATTTGTAGAAGGAATTAAAAAATTCATAGGTTATGTTTTTGGGCCATCCTATACTACTGAATGAGAACCAGAGTTGCAGAGACGGAGACACATTTTCAAACTCAGCAGAGTAGTGATTTGTAATCCAGAATTTGTCTGAGTCAGAATTTCGCGCTTCCAAAGGGGGTTAAATTTTCTACAGAAACTCAAAAAACATTCATAAGGAATTTCAACATACTTAACATTATTGTGTTAAATAAGGGTTGCGGAATTTCTGATTCAAAATTTGATATTCTCAAAATTGAAGTCAGTCAAAAGACACAAGTTTTCTCAGCCCAGATTCAGATGTTAATTTTAAATAAGATGGAATGCTGGATAGAAATATAAAACTAATCCCAGATTCAAATACCATTTTATATAGACATTTGTTAATAGTATTTCTTGACTAGTATTTCGAAGAAGACCGAGTATGATCAGTGATGTCATTTGACAGGCCATGACTAACCAGCTGTGAAGAAGGGAGGTTAGCTCTGTTAGTAGTTTGTTGGAGTAAATTAGGATATGGGGAATTATAAATTATACATTTCTATTGAGTTGACAATTTGTTATCTATTCTGTAACATCAGTTCATCACCATTACAGGGTCAGCTTAGGTTTATGGCGCCCATAAACCGCTTCCCATGCCTACACCCAAAGAATATGAACCAAATATTTTACTATTTTCAATATTGAGTGTACAAAATAGCCTCAGGTCAGAGGCCAACAACATCTTTCAGCATTAATCAAAATATTTGAGGAAATAAAACATGAAGTTACCTTGTTAATCGTTGTGGTTGTTGGTTCGTCACTTTCTGATACGACGTGCCTGAAAAACATACCTAGTGTAATTTCATCTTCACATCTACCATGCAATAAAACATATATGCTCTTGTTTTTGCCGCAAATAAGTCGAGGATAAACCATGCCTAAGCAGACTATTCTATCACCAACTTACACACGACCAAAATAGATAAACCTGTTGGGGACAAGTTCTTTCAAATCCAACCAGGGATCCGCCATGTATCAACAACATTCGCCACAGTATCAACACAACCTATTCCAGTAGTTTGCTGCAAATAAGCGATAAGTCGAACCATGGTTTGCTTCAAATTCATTTCATTCAGATATCTTAACCAACTTAAAGTCTTTGAAAAAGAGACTATAGTCAAATTAACGACGTAGTCTTTCTAATTCATATGTGTTGTCTATGTGACGTACCTTGACTTGATGACGTATTAGCGAAGTTAGATGAGTGGTCATCCATTCTTATTTGCATACGAGGTGGAGTTCTGGTTGCAACAATTTGATGTCCACTTTGAGTCTGACAGATAAGAAATTATTTTTATTCTGTTATTCTGTTTATTAAACAAGATTAAAACACAGAATACTAAAAAAAGCAGTACATGTGCACACATACAGTTCAAATAACGGGTTTACCATACATTTCTGCAGTTGTAAGATAAAATTCAAAGTGAACTGGAAATTAAATATTTTTGAAATTTTGTGGCAAATCTAAATTCACCAGAGATTTGAAAATGTCAAGCCTACCATATGTTGATTTCGTTGGAAAAATAATTTTATCAAATATCCTGCTAAACATATGGTACAGGAAAATTTTTAGTAGATAATTTAAGTAGAATTTAGAGGTAATTGTTGTTTTGAATTGAGTTCTTTTGCTTATCAATAAAATGGAAGTATGAAATAACAAAAAATTTTAAAAGTTTGTTGTATCAAAACTTCATTCTTCAGGGGAGAATAAATAACATCTAAAAATTATTTTGAATGCAATATCTTCAGCATATTTTTTGAATTCAATCTCCAAGTTCCCTAGGCGTAATATATGATAAGCCGTTAGACTATGTTGAAATCATCCGGTATTCCCAAAATATAGTAGCTATATAAGTATTAGTGACTACTTGTTGGAAGTGAAGATGTAAAGACATAATAGAAATTATGTAATTTTAATGATCCTTATTTATTTGAACTTATTTTTGTGAGAATGAGAGAAAGTGGGATTTGACTCTAAAATTAAAAGAAGATTACATCACTGTCTTCTTCTTGACTGTCATTATACGTTGGTCGAGGAGATTCGCTTGGAAGTAAATCTGGACGATCACTCTGTAATTTCTTGCTTCCACTATGCGCAGGTGATGTTTTTGATCTTGCGAGAGGTGATGGGTTAACTGGTGCGCTACCGGCACCATCTATTCTACGAGCAGTTTGCGCTCGTCGTTTTGTTGGTTGCGCTTTGATTGGTCCTGTGAAAAGACAGAAGTTTGGTAAGGCACACATATGTTTTATTCAAAAAAGACTTTGAAAATATGTGAATGAAATCACAATCTCTAAACAATAAAGAAAAGTAAATATCTAAAATAAGGCGAACAAGATTGAATCTGACAAATATTTTCATTTTCAATTAGCTCCACTTACTAATATTGTTCAATTATTCAATACCATTGTTGTACATATTTATGCACAAATCATGAACTATTCAAACTGTGTACACAAGCCAGATTGTTAGTTGCACGAGTCCATATTTTACAGAGTGTATTATGACATTTTTCCATTTAAATTACCGTAATGGAGAATTGGTTTTATTAAGATGCAAGATTAAACTTGTTAAGCTCTATTTGTAGATATTAGGTTTACAAAGAGATACTCGAGTTTGTAACACGTAGGACTGGGCATTTCGAATCGAATATTCGAGTCAAATCGAATAGTAAACTACTCAAATTGTTTAAAACGGTAATTTTGACATTGGTAATTTCGCCGCCATCTTGTTTTTTGGCCGTCTATGACTACATATCTTCTAAGTATTCGAGATTCGATTCAATTTTGAAATCATCAGATACTCGAAAATGCTCAGCTCCAGTATTCTGTAATGTGATTTTATCGCTATATCATATACTGTTTATACAATAGGATTTACAAGAAAATCTTACCTGGTGCCTTTTTAAAAACATGTTCTGACATAAATTTCTGAAATCGTTCGCAATAAAATCCTGGTCGATGTACAGAAACGCTGTCCTGAAAAAATAAGTTTTAATTTTTTTTAAATCTTTCTTTCTCTCGTAAAATATTCATGATGATTGTCTGCAGACAATGAAATTATTGTGCTTCTTCCAAATTAAATTCACTGTTCTGCCAAGACAAATCAGTCCATTTGAATAATTAGAAAAAATCACAAAGTCTATTTAAATGAAAAAGAAAGTAATGCCCCATAATATGCCTGAGTGTACAGAGTTGGATGAAAAGATAAGAGGACATGCAATACGGAATAAAAAGTGTTCCGCTTTGATTAAAATAAAAAAAGGAACATCTTCGTGGACTATCAAGTCCCATAGGACATAGAGAAAATTTGAGATGAATAAAACCAATAGCCTTTTAGCGACTTTTTACTTCTTTAAATTATGAAAATTTGAAATTTATTTGTCTATTAGGAGCGTTAAAAAGCATTTTTTCAAACAACAACCACCACAAACTACAAGAATTAAGAAAACCGATACAAGGGATGAAAAGAACAAAAATATTTTTGTCAGTTGTTGTGTAATGGGTGATTGGTAGACAGACATAAGGTTTCCGAATACAAATTCCCGAATTTGAATTCAGTATAGAAGTTTAACGAGTCTATTCTGAAGCAAAATAAAGTGAAAATAAATAATGTTCACTGCAAGAAAATTTTGACTTCGCAATTTTTCGAATTCTCAAATATTCCTGTTGTAAAATAGCATGATTTTGAAAATTTATTTCAACTATAATCTTCGACTATTTCTGAATCAACAATTAAAAGAAAAAATGTCTATGAATCATATATGAACTTACGGCATCATGGACCATCGCTTTCCAAGTATGTTCTAATTTCTTTTTTAACCTGAAAGGAAAATCAGTCAAGAAAAAATATTTCATCATTTCACAGTCGACAGACTTTTCAAACTGAGGATTTTTAAAATTCTATAATAAAGATATTACGTTAATTTTAAGGTACTCCCGTAGCATATGTACCAGGTTTTTATTCCGATATACCTATTTTTAGTTTTATTACAAGTTCAAGGATTGTCTGTGTTAGCCAAGTGAATATACCCTCTGCCCATGGCTATAGGTTTCAGTACCTTTACACAACTTGATGTATAATAGGCCACAAAATACATACATACAAAGTACATACACTTCTGGAGTGCCAATTTTAATATATTTCGTCATTTTAAATTTAATAATCAAGGAACATCTGCTAATCAGAATCTTATAAAAAGGGCGCTCCAGAAGTATGTGTACCAATATGGAGGTAACAAATTTTGTTCACCTACTTTACATCAAGTTGTGTGAAGGGACTGAAACCTATGGGCAGGGGGTATATTCACTTGGCTAACACAGACAATCCTTGAACTCGTAATAAAACTAAAAATAGGGAAAATCAGAATAAAATTATGGCCTAACCCTAACCTGGTACATATACTACGGGAGTACCATAAAAAGCATGATTGCCATGTATTCCAATACTTACTTGTAACATTGTAAAATATCAATAACTCCGCAAAATAAAAGCAATCTTTCGCCCTTTGATGAAGTAGCTGGTATTCCTCCAGACCTGAAAAAGTAAATGGATCTCATTAACCCAAACTCAATTATAATAATGGAACATATGATATAATGGACTAAATAATGCCAAAATTCCATACTATTTTAGCTTTTGAGAGAATGCCATTTGTTACAAAGGAATGTGGGTTACATGGATACAAAGGCAATTAACATGAAAACATTTTTTAATCCTTATTAAGAATGGAAATTTGTGAATGGTTGATATTCTTCTGAAATCTCTTGGTTCATGATTATTGAATTATAGTGCATAAGCAGTGAATTCGTAACATTTGTCAAATTTTTTGTCTCTGATCTGGGACCAAATTTTTTGATAAGTGACAAATTACAAATATTTTCAATTTTTAAAAATTGTTGGAAAAACGTTGAATTTCTTGAACTACAGATATGTTAGAGGTAATTGAAAACAAACGGCTACTAAAGCGTTAACCCAATACCATTACCAGAATTGAGTCAAAGAAATTCTGAAATAACAAAGTCTATATCAACCATTCTACATATATGGATATGAATTTATCGGTGCTCCAGAAGCATGTGTACCAATATGGAGGTCACTAATTTTGTTCGCCTATTTTACATCAAGTTGCGTAAAGGGACTGAAACCTATGGGCAGGGAGTATATTCATTTGGTTAACACAGACAGTCCCCGAACTTGTAATAGAACTAAAATAAGAAAAATCGGAATGAAATTATGGCCCAACCCTAACTTGGTACACACACTACGAACGGGAGTACCGATTTGTCTGGGTATGTTTTAATAATAATCTCTGTGTTAAATTTTGAAGTTTGACAAACTGCCAATTTGATATGATAGTAAACTGAGACATCGCCTAAAAGGTCTACCAGCAGTCTATAATATTGACATATTGCAAAAAACAATTCACTGAGAAGCAGCAGACTATTCATTACACCTAGGAATAAAATGACAACATAATGACGTTTTAAAAACTTCCGAATTCCCAGTAGAGATTGAGATGACTAGACATCCTGACACAAAATCAAATTTGTGAAACTAACTAAGAATTATTTCTTCGAACCTTTGTCAAACATTCAACAAAAAACAAAAGGAAATAAATATGATTCATATTTCAAAGCTGAATCATATTATTAGGTAATTCGTTTAGAAGTCAACATTAATGGTTATTATAAAGTATGGGCAACACCATATAAAGAAACAAACATACTAAGAGGAAGATAGACTTGTTCCAGTGGAATTATCCAAAATAATTTTGTTACGATTAATTTAAAATGTATAAATTCGCAAAATAATTATATAAATGATAAATATTACAACATGAAATGACATAAATAAACATTTTATTTACTGTGTGTTAAACAGACGGTTAATTTAACCTAAATTTAATGGTGAATGATACAACATTACAAGTGGAGCCAGTGGCGTGTCTAGAGGGGGGCCAAAGAGGCAGCACATCCCGGGCAGAACGTTATAGGGGTGAGTTTGTTGCTCAATTTGATCATTTAAATAATATTATTACAAACATATTATCACTCTTACTTGACCTTTAATTTATTTATTCTCATGTATAACAACATTGATAATTTGTTTAGCCCCCAAATTATTTTTGAAGTTAGGTGTAAGGGGCCGCATTATCAGAAACTCACCCCGGACAGCACGAAAGTTTGACACGCGACTGAGTGGGACTCAGTATATCCGTGCAAATATTTGTATCATTTTGTGCACACAAACATAATTAACTACTATTCTATATACATTCTGAATAGAAAACGTGTGAAAGTCGGTGTGATATTAGAATTGGATAATGCAAGAAAGTAAGGATAATCAACTATCAAATATGGCTCGGCGGTGTGATGCATCGTGCTGAGCGTTAGGAATACGCTCGCCACCGTACCTCTAATTACGTTCAAATCCCATGCGGGGATAGTTATAAGCGAGAGGATTGCTGGACTCTCCGCCACTGTACGGTGGTTCAGCAGACTATTCTTCTGAAAATAAATAACTGGCTAATTAATCCCATACCAGACTTGAACTGGTAGCCGGACGAGAGGCCTTGGTTCACCATATGTTTAAGTCCTCTTATCGACTTTACCCTTCCCGGGATAAATGTGTAAATCCTATTCTATATTTACATTCTCAGTAAACTCAATTAGTTGATGTTTTAAACAAAATCCTTTTTTATCAAAGATCAAATTTCAACAGTACTATTACTACTACTACAATGATGGAAGCATACAAGAAATGTTCTTTACCATAATTCTAAATCATTTGTGTATTTGTCTCGAAGTAACGTTGCTGACATAATAGAATCCGTTGGTGTGTTACGTTTGGACGGATCTCTTCGTCTTGGATGCACTGAGCTCATCTTTTCTAATGTACCGGGGCCCTCAGACAATTCTGATGCGTTGGATTTTCGTTTCTCTGGATTCCCATCCAATGTCTGAGAGCCTTTGTCTTCTTTTGGCAGCTGTAACGATTATTTATTATAGTCAATATAGTACTAAAAATGTCATATAGTGAGAGTGAGTCCAAAAAATCGAAACAAAGTATTCACAAAGGATTTGTTGCACTCAGCATATTGAAGAGCAGAATTCAAGAAAAATGAACTTTTAAAATATTGTTTCTATGACTCTTGAAATGCGGTGTAAAATGAAAATATTATGACAATTGGAACATGTGATTACTATTAAAAATGTGAAAATTATTTGGTAATTCCACGCACCTTATCTTTATCCTTATAATGAATTCCAAGTAATAAACTGTAATCCATAATCTTGAATGAACGTAGCACCTGAATAATTAATATAACAAACTATTAGCTGATTGTAAAACTGACTAATAAGCACTAATTGAGATAATATCATAAGAAGAAATGAAATTATAATGAAGACAAATATATGAAAATATTAATCCGATATCACAAAGTTTGCTGGAAAATTTTTGAACGCGATCATGCAATACCAAATAAAAGTGTACCCATTCAATTAAAATAAAATGCAAAGATTTTTGGTAGAATTTTTGATCCCATACGAACCGGAAGACTTTGAAAAAAACCAAAAGTAAGGATCAATCTGATGTCACAGAGTTTGCTGAAAAATTGTTGGGAGGCAATCAAGCTATACCGAAGAGGGGGACTATCATTTAATTGAAATAAAATGCATAATTTTTTGAGAAATTTTCAGGTGTCTTATGAGTCAGGAGCATTTTGAAAAAATAAAAATAAAAGTAATAGCTTTTTGGCAACTATCTCCATCTTTAAGTAATATAAATTTGATATTGATTTGTCCATTAGTTGTGAACAAAAAAAAATTTTCCTAACAACAAAAATCACCACAGAAATAACAAGTTAGCAAAATGATTCAAAAGTCCAGTAATCGATAATTTTTTTTCCATCAATGCTAAAAATACAGATGATACATATACAGTGTAGAATAAAATAATAATTCTATTTCAGGGTGGAGTGAGACGCCAAAAAACATTACTAGTTACCAAGTAGCGACACCCATGTCCAATGTCCAAGTAATTTTCTTAGAGTATTATTTTGATAAAAACTTGTAGCCTATATAGTTTACTCGTCTATTCTTATTTAGTATTGCCCAATTATCACTGAAAATTTGTTACATAACAAAAATTAATTCATATCGATACAATCAATGTATCACTCCACAGTGTGAACAACACAACTAATATTTAAAGATCTAATTTTGGAACATGATGTCATTAAGTAATTATAAACCTACCAATCAAGTTAGGTTCGAAGCAGTATTGGCTATGTGTCAATTACAAATGGAACTACGGACAGTACAAGTACAAATGATAAGAATAGACTAATACAAGTTTTGCGAAATTTGAGATGGTCTATATCGAATCATCGTGATAAATAGATATACAGGATGTCCATAAAGTCCCTCCACAATTTCAATTTTGTTATGTAGTCAGTTCTCAATATATCTCAAGCAGGTTTGCTGTTTTTTAATCAGTAATTGTTTGAGTGTTTTTACCTCATTTAATAATATCTGCGAGAGCCAAAACAATATATGATATCGATGAATTTCTATTTGCAATTTAAAAATTTTTATAAGACTTCATGGACCCACATGTAACCCACATGTATATAAGCACATAATAGGTAACTGTCATCAATAATTCTTTTTTATTCCGAGCTCTGAAGAAGAGCTACATATGGTTTAATAAAGGAACACATTAACAATATAGTTAAGAATGCTTCATTGCAAGCATGAGTTATACAGCAGGCGCAGGACATTAAGTAGACACAATAAGTGGATGTATATGCATAAAAATAAAAGATTTACAGACATTTCTTTTTCATCTCGAGCTCTGAAGAAAAATAACCACAACCCCAAATGGCTTAATTAAATACATTACCAGTTTAATTGAGAATGCTTCATTGCCAAGCTTAAGTTATACTTGGGCCATAGCCATCAGTGGGTTTTATTTATAGCTTATATTTGTCCATGCATAAACAGTGATATTTATTTTTTATGTCAGATATATCTTTCATTTCTAATAGGAAATTCAATGTTTATAACTCGAGAATTACAAATCATGCACTTATTATAGCTGAACATGGGTTAAAGTAACATCCAATAGTGATGTATGCTACTTAACAACAGCCAACCTTGACAGAATACGACTGAGTGAAATAATATTCAATACTGCCAATGGAAGTGATATCATTGAAATTAAATATAGCCTACTTTTAATATGGAACAAAAATTGAAAAAAACATTCAAATTTTGGATATTTGAACCGGTAATTATAAGAATGTTTTGATCATATTTCTGGCCAAGATAACATAACATTAGCTCACTGCTCAATGAATTTGATGAATTTGTAATGCATTCGAATATTCAATTCATTTTGGACACCCCTACCTGTTTATTAGTTTAAGTGTTTGCGGTAATAGAAAATGAATGAAATGACACATCCTTGCATCGCACCGAGCCATAGGTTACTTATGCCAGTCACATCATGATATGCATTCGTGATGACAAATTGATTGCAAACTTATGACTAATGTAATAAGCATTGCAATTTATTCTTAAATTTTAATTATATCATCGAAACATGCTCGAACATGTATTGAAAATAAAAAGTTTGTCATAACAAGGTATGATTTTAGAGTAATAAATGGCTTAATCATAGTCAATTTGGAACAGAACTACTCTTTGCCATGCTTGAGCCAAAGATAACTGAGTGTTACATCGTTGATTAGAGATTGTGGGGCCCCTATTTCATGACATAATATTCAAAAGGTTTCAATGTGAAAACAACAAATTAAATACCATACTACATCAGTTTGAAATTCTCACTTTTTAATACACCAAATTGTACAACTACATAAAGTATACTGAAGTGAGTCACATTATTTTAACTTAATTTAATTTGGCCTTATATTGGTATCATATTGAGATATTCAAACCAATAAATAGGTTTCGTAAATAATTATAATTGAAATAGGTAGCGTAGGAACGCTTCAGCGAATGACAACATTAGAGCAACAAAGCTAGAATTCTCTTTTGCTCTGCATAAATCACAGAAAACCACACCCCTGTGTGACACATAACGTAATTTCTAAATGTTTTATATATGGAAATACATAAAAAAGAGCGAAAATATTTCTGGATATTTAAATTACATCACCTGTTATTGTGTACGGAGGTGAAAAATGACATTTGTCAGATAGATACCTTCTGTCAGTAATTTGTTTTGTAAGTGTGTAAAGAACATATGCGGTACCATGGTTTATATAGTATTTGGATTTATCTGTTAATCATTAACTATTGAAAGATGTGAAATTTTTCATTGATATGCTGTGATAAAATTTGTGGACACTGTAAAACACGAACGGTGATATCTTCTATAGGAAATGAAATTTGCTAAAAGTGGAAATAAACAATGAAACTCATTTAACGATAATGTATTTGCTTACTATGAATAATTTGGTATCTACAGTAACTATAACAGCATGTATTTTCACCTCTATTATTAAACCCTATACAGATAATAACCCTGCATATACAGCAACAGATAATCGCTATGCAATTAGAATCAAGGAGATTATATCTAATGACCTAGTGATCAGAGCCGTGTGAGGCGCACGGGCCACAACCTAACCATTTATTGTGGCCGTTGTCAACACTCAGGATTTTTCCCCATCAAGCATAAAATTCTAATCTGACAGTTTATGTTTAAAAAGTCGCTCACGTGGGTAAAATTACATAACTTTTTTTGCTTTTTTCGCTGCGTTAAGTCTTTTGCCATTTTGCTCGATGCCTTTATTACTCTAGGGCTGAGCAATAGCCGTCTTATTTTTGTGTGGCACAGCTATACATTTAAAGTTGGTCTATGACCCACTGACAAAAAATGTTACACACTCTTGGATCAGAATATCAGACCTAATAACTATATAGGTGTCGGAGGAATGAAGACCTCGCATTTAGCCTTATCGTTGAAATCTCAAATAGGTTAGATATAGGTGTCGGAGGAATGAAAACCTCGCATTTAGCCTTATCGTTGAAATCTCACATAGGTTGAATAACTTGGCAATGACAAACCAGTACGATTGCCATAACTTCTTATGAGAGAGATATTTATTATTTTGTCAACAAAAATACATACAGTCATTAATAAGGAAAAAAATATACCAGAAATAAAATTGCTTTGGTATAGGCAAAAAGCATACACTAAGTGTGCATACACTAGGCCAGGGCTTCCCAAACTAGTAAGACGAATTTGCAGATTTGCAAAGAGTACACCAACTTTAGACCTAGTACTATATCTATTGTACTTTATAGACTTTTGATACAAAACACAATTATTACGCCAAACATCACACACAGACTGAATGAATTGAGTAAGCTTTCTCAAACGAGGGTGACCGTACATTTGAACCCATGTGTATATCCACGGGTTCAATCTGTATGCGGGTACTGAAACCCATGGGTTAGGGTTGGTATGGGTTCAAATATCTCTAAAACAAAAAAAATTCCATAGGTGCAATGGTATGCAGGTGCAATTGTCGTGGGTTCAAATGTAATGGAACCTCAAACCAGAAATGTTCCAGCAGCTAGCTTTGTATCAGAGCCTTGCTCTTGTAGAAGTGCCTCATAAAAATCAAAGACGAATAATAAAATCTCGAATTTTATTTCCATGCTCGACAACTCATGGAAGTGTCTTATAAGAAATAAATATACATACCAAGCAATCCCTCTGCATTGTTTTCATGAAAGCAGCATGGATGTCTTGTTCCATTGTTATACCGTCTGGTAAATCAGTGAGTATATCCAGATCTTTGAATGTTGGACTACTCTTTGCTCTTTCTGCTTTTGATGCTTTCCTTTTGAACGTTGAGCCTTTCAAATCAAATTTCATGTGCATCTGGAATAAAATAAAATTAAGTATGACAGTATGTTATGATTTAAAGGTTTTATGTTAGCACAAGAAAAGAGGAATGCTGATGAAACGGCTCAATATTAAAACAGTTAGCAATATGACAGCAATACATTGTGGTAACGGTGGCCAAGTGGTTTTAAAGCGGTAGTTATACATAACAATTATGGTATCACGAGTTACATGAAATCATATGAACTACTGAATACCGATACACAAAATGCAAAATGGTCTTTTGTAGCAATGTCTCAAATGTCTATACAGTCATCGTTCATAGAGAGGCGAGACAATAAATAGTTGACAAAAAGATTACCAAGATATATTATTGTGAAATTTTTTAGTTTGATTTCTTTTCCCCTTTTGTAATTATTATGCCATTACTTAATATTGTTGTTTGAATAAGTAATAATTACTTGTTTACATGTTTATATGACAGTGCTACTTTGATAATGGTTTATTACAGTTGGTAACAATTCTGTTGTAATCTGCTTTGAGGAAGTAATTTTCTCATGAATAAAGTTATTAAAAAGCATTCCTGGAATGAGGACGTTCATGACTACCCTCGTGGCAACCTCACTCCCATAACTTTGCGTTTGGTGACGAATTCATATGGAGTATGTGTGAATGAAAATAAAAATCAAGCATTTGTTAAAGATTTATGGTTTCTTTTTGTGGAATACTAATTCAGACTACCCCAACATTAATGAAATTGAATAGTTTCATTAACAAATGACTTGATGTTTTGAGGAAATAGGCAAAGTAGGCACATCAAAAAATAAGAGTGATACATCCGGATATGGTTGTCTCTTACTAGCTACAACCCAGCCATTATGATTGATTACTAAGTTCAATTTGTTACTACTCGATCAATCATGGGCCGATGATGTGATGTGCCATCAAATCAAGTTCATCATTGGGCCAGAGTTGAAAAACAAAGTGTAGTGGACAAAGTACATGTGCCATGTTATGTCGGTTTCAAAGTTTGTTAGAACTTGAGAAAATAAGTCAGATTTAATGTCGATAAATCAATACAAAATCACTCGATTTACAACACAAGCCTTCTAAATGAATATTACTGTGTAATCAGATTAAAAGCAATTACTCTAGTAATCAATAAGTAATAAAATATTGAGATCTTCACTTGGTTAACACAAACAGTCCTTGAACTTGTAACAGAACTAAAATAAGGAAAATCAGACTAAAATTATGACCTAACCCTAACCTGGTACATACATATGCAATATACATTGGTTTTTGTGATGCTTTGGAAATGTGTAACTTTGGAAAAACATTTGAATAAAGTTGAATATAAATATTTGAAACAGGCAAATACTGCATTTCGATGAGCAAATACTTTCAAGTGTTCAGAAGCAAATTCAAAACTTTGTTCCATGAAATGCTAAATAAATTTGAAAGTTTTTTCAGCCAAAATAAAATTGGAAATTTTTATTCAGCGCAACTAAATTTTAGACTGGTAAAGCAATCATTAAAATAATCCAAAATATCATGAGTCGTTTTGTCGATTGAGACCTTTTCCAACAAGGCTGTAAATGAAGCTTATGGGTGGTATAAGGCTACCGTACAATTTTTCTAAAAAAAAATGGATGCTTATCAGTAGATGGCCTATCCAAATGATCAAACCCTTGGCAAGACAGTCACTCAGCAATGATATTCAACTCTTGACCGTGACACCTACCGTATATTGTATTTTCTTCAACATGCCAATAGATAGGACAACGTTTCAACCAAAAAATCAATCACCATGTTAGATGTGATAATAGAATACAAACAATTATGAAGCCCCACCAACTGTTTTAAAATGTGTACTAAAAATCGAGAGAAAATAAGAAAAATACGAACCTTTAAATGTCTTGGTAACAAATTATTCATTACAACGATTCTGATATTTTTTCCACTGGTTTGTATACAATAAAGACCGTAAAATTTGGGTAACAATGTACGAGGATTTTGAACAAGATTCTGAAAAAAAAAGTAAATTTTACGTAAGATTGTAAGTCCTTATTTATAAGTAAAAATATCAAGCGAACAATGATTGTGGAAATAACATGACAAAAAATAATAAGCTTTTGAATTTTGAAGAAATTAATATTAAAGTAGACATTAAAGGATGGCACCTGTATGAACAGAAGCAAAAAATAAACCTGTATAAGAAATTAACTTGCAACTTGGGCAAGGGCATGAATATATGGAATATCGAATAAGTAGAGTTTCCCAACCTTTTAGTCAATGTGTACCAGTTAGGGAATTATTCTGCAGATGCACACCACCTAACATTAACTATCACTTTTTGGCCATAAAAGCAAAAAAAGTAGGCTGCTAAAAGGTTAAATGACACAATCCGATGTGAACATGTAAACTGAACATTCTCTTGCATAGGCTATAGGAATTGTTAAGGAACTTTTGCACCTTTAGACACGCCCACTGTGACACACCCACCATCGCACCACAGCCCAAGAAAAACAGGTATTTAGGACAATTCAAAAATAGTGGCATTCTTTATTTTCCTGTTAACCATTGACATATTCTAATTACTGAGTTTTCTCACACCAATCATTAAAACATAAACAATTATTTCTAAAGAGGGGATACAAGGTACTTATCCTAATCAATACACATTCCTTAAAAAAACAAAAGATAATTTGACAAAAGAAATTTATCCAAGCGTGAATATCCACAGTAAACATTATACATAAATAATTCGAGCTGGTAATTTGTGGCAACGTACAAAACAAAGAACAACACCTAAATATTTTTTACTAATTTAACAGTTTAGCGAAAACTATTATTTTGACTGTCACTGCCTAATAATAATTTTGTTACTAGAATGAATAATGCACAAATAATTCAAATTTGTTATTTGGGTCATAATGATGACACTTGACCTGAATAAATTATCTCAATATCTGAATATTTTCAGAAAATGGTCGAATCTTAAAAATTACTCATTTTGAAATAAAATATTACAGAATGTGGCATATACCATAGTATCTCATCAAACTGGATTCAAAATACAACTTTTTATTAACGTCTCTCTAAACTCTCGAGATAAGATATCGTCGATAGGTACATATTTTATAATATTTTGTATCAGAAGGCATAATTATTGCTTATTAACTTAGACAACTGGCCGCCTGCGAGCCACAACCCGGCCTGCCAATCTATTTAGTGTGGCCCTTGTCCCATCAAGCATAAATCCTAATCTGACATTTTATGTTTTAAAAGGTTCATTCTCTTTTCTTATGTTTCCCGCGGTGCTCTAGTTGTCTGCAAATTTTTTAATTCGATGTGTTAACTAATTTTTTTGTGTGGCCCATCAAGATGTCTGATTCTGAAGTTGGTTATATGGCCAACCAACAAAAATATTTGCCCTTGTTCCTTGACTTTAGACTATTTAATAACACAAAAGCATTACAAACATGAATCAAATCACCATACAGAATTTTTCAACACAAAAAGCATTTGAAATATAAGTTGAAAGTAGCTGGATTTGATATGGCAAATGTCATTCATTCCAGCGTTTTTAAAGAAAATGGAATTTCCCTTGAAAATCTTGAATTTTAACTTCCAGACTACTGTATTTACTATAAAAAGTGTTTCAGAGCGATCCAAGAATAATTAGATTTATGGTCAAATGGCATTCAATCCAGCATTTTGCAATTAAATTTGCGAACTGGAATGAGAAAATTGATTTTTCTGCAGAGTCTTTATTAGTAAATGAAGACATATTGATTTACAAAATTGTATTTAATATTGATTTTAAACTTGAGCATGTACTTCATTTGCAGGATCTGTATTGATGATCAAAGAAAAATTTTTTTTTTAAAATAAGAGAGTAATGCTCAAACATATGGACACGATGAGTACCAATAATAAATGAGTACAGTGTTTACTGAAACGCTAAGCGAAACATCAATCTAAAATAAAAAAGTATTTCCTTTGATTAATTAAAACACATCAGCAAATTTTGGAAATATATCAGGTTCCATAGAACTAAAAAAAAAATTGAGAAAAAAAGTAATATCCATAAGCTACTTCGTTCATCATTTAGTACTAAAAATTTGAAATCGGTTGGTCTAAAAGTTACGAAAAAAGAAATTTTTCACTAATAGCAACAGGAATTTCGGAAAACGATCCATATGTGCACACTTGTGCCCAAAAACTGTATAGTTAAATTGACATGTGCCAAAAATCATGACCTGGTTACAAAACTCAAAAAAAGATGATATGACTTTCAAAGATTAGGATGAAGACATTTTGCTTGATTAAAATTATTATTGCTTATCTGACATGTGAATTTGATGTAATTGCATATTTTAAAACCTCTTAGAATCATTCTCAAAAAATATGTTTGTCACAAAGATAAAATTTATATAAATCACCATAATTGAAGGTATGATCAATACCATTGACAGAACATATATGAGTCACATAGAAACAATATTGTTGGAACAATTAAAAAAAAAGTAAAATCACTAACCATATAATAACCAGGTAATAACTTTTGTAAAAATTCAGCTTCCTTGTGTTGAACTGTTTTTATAATAAATTCATCATCGTGAGTTACAAAAAATAGAGATCCACTCGCACCGGGATTTGAGAGTTCTGTGAGAGGATTGGCCATGATTGACAACTGCAAAACAAATGATAAGTGGTAATGAATTGGATAAACTGTTAATAATATAAATAACTAGAGATGGGTGATATAGAAAAATTTTATAGAATAATTCAAATATCAAATCCAAAATATCGAATCCCAGTAGGGTTTCGAGGATTAGTTTCAGGATGATTGAGGGCAGTGTTCAAAGTCCGTCTCGTGATTCACTTCAATTCTCAATCTATATTGGTTCTTGATGCAAAAAAATTGAAACATATTGTAGTGGACAAAATTGAAATATTGGAGCGTTTCTGCAATGTCGAAACCCAAGCTTGGAAAATGTCGTAAACTAAATTAGATTCAGAAAACTTAATGAAATTCCATGCAAGTGATCATAACACTATAACAGGAAATTAAGTTGTTTCATAATGGTGTTGGTTCATACATTAGTGATGCATTGGTAACATAACTTTTGTCTCCCCAACTTAAGCACTTAACCGAAAACAAAACAAAGGGCGAATCTGGGGTTGTTTTGAAGCTATGAAGCTTGTGGATTTTAAATGAATACAAATATTCAAATTTTAATTATATGAAAACATTTCAGATACATAGCAATAATGCAAAATACGCAGGATGTTATCAAGAAAGGTCAATAATAATAGCCATTCTTTAAAAATAAAAAAATTCATGAGAACTGAACAGAAAACTTATGCATTCAAGTGTCATTATTATCCAAACTTAGCGCAAATTACAAATAATTGCATGAGTGAAACAATTTTATTACATATCCACAGTACATTATCCAGACTTGACTTTCATTTTAAACATATTTATTTGTTAACGCTTAAATGGCTATTAGGTATGCGAATTCATTTTCTGTTATACATCATTATACCAATGGTTTGCGAACAGATGGCTATATTTGATGTTCAACGTAGCAGACATATAAATCGTTGGTGTAATCGTTGTGTATTCATAAGTTTGAAGTTGAAAATGTAGGCGACAGTGATTTGATTTGTTTTCATTACATTCCGAAGCTTCCACAGCCTTGAAAAAACTTCAATTGCTCAAAATGATAATTTGCTAATGATTTTATTCTAGGCTATATTATCATTCCTTAAAACACAGAAACAAATTTGATGAGAATTTAATAAGATATTGAATATATTTTAATTCAAATCAAATTAATTGGGATATATGACACCTATTGGTCACCCCACCTCTGAATATGACTACTGTTCAGCTCAGTAGAGCCACATAGCTATTTTGCAGTGTGAGGAGTAAGAACCAAAATAATAAAATCAGTGAATGACTACATCACTCACAGATGTGATTTATTACACATTTCCTATTAATAGTATTTGTACAGGTGATTAACACAATCACATACACTTAACAAAAGTATCATAAACAGAATAGTAATTATAGACTCATCACAGGTCAAGGGTGAGAGGTACAAGGTCAACACAATCGTAAAGTATTGTTGAAATTTTGTTTTCATGCACAAAAGTAACGGGTGAATAACAATTTTACTAAACATTTCTCTGTACTCCCGTAGTGTGTGTACCAGATTAGGGTAAGGCCATAACTTTATTCCGATTTTCCTTATTTTAGTTCTATTAGTGAATATACCTCCACGACCACGCCCATAGGTTTCAGCTCCTTTATACAACTTGATGTAAATTAGGCGAACAAAATTAGTTACCTCCATATTGGTACACACACTTCTGGAGCGCCCCTTCCTCATATAAAATTAAAGTAAAATAATTTGCATTACCATGTAATCCTCGGGCAGGATTCCAAATAATTCTCGAAAATACTTGAAAGCAACAGGTGCATAGGTCTTGAATCGAAAGTCTTCATAATGATGTGCTGGTGTTAAGTTCGAACCAACCCTGGTTAAATTAAATGACAATGAAATAAACTGGGAAAAAACAATAGAATAACATGCAATTATTTTCTTGTCACTGTTGCAAACTGCTTGTCTGAGGAAATTTTGGTCAGACAAAACATTAAAGAAATACATTTGTGTTGGTGTGCAGCAGGACTCTTGAATTGCATAGTATGATATTTTTATTCCCGCAACAGCATCCTTGCATTATACAAATACGAATCCACCAGCGCAAAGGCATTGAGAATTAGTCTCGCTCAACCTCTACTGATAATCATAGAATACCCTTGAATCGACACAACGTAATTAGATTGCAAGAGAATTTTTTTTAGTCACAATTCACAATTGTATATTCATCATTAAATAATGAGATACATGGTCTTGGACTAGAAAGTGCATACAGTAATGAGTGTTTCTCCAAAGCATTGACTTCCTCGTTTATTTTTGGAACGATGCCTAATCATTAAGAAGTGAACTGTGATGTAACCAACATTTGTCATTTAAACAGTCACTCGGACACCTTTTAATAACACCACCACCATTCATAAATGTTTTTATAGTTCTGAATGATATTTGTTACTTTTCAGTTACCTTTCCAAAATAGAAATATCAAAATTTAAGCCTCCTTTTTTGAAACGACCAGAATCTTATACATAGATACATGATATATCTCTTTATCTATTGATTGAAACCTAATTTTCATTAGAAATGAATTTTACTAAAAATAAATAATCGTCAACAATAACATACTGTGGAAATGCTGTTGTTTCAACAACTTGAAAATCTTGTAATAAAACATCTCTATCTGGTTTAGAAATAATTCCACCGACTGTGTGACTGATTCCAAGTTGAATGGCACAACTCAGTGCAGATGAAGGTGTCTAAAAAACATAAATGTAATATGTCATTGTAGGATTACTCGCCAAATACTGCAAAGTGAGGATGTCCATAATCGTAAAGGTGCGAGTAGAAGTTTGATATGTTTCCAATGTTATACTACTTTTAAATCTTAAGAAGTCTGAATTAATTTTCCAATAAAACCCATAAATAATCAAATTTACTGCGAGTTTATTCTGTTAATAAAGCTTGCATATGCAAAAGGTTTTAATATCAAAATTCGGGTTTTCTCCAGAAATGAGAAAATTTTTTTATTCATTGAAGCCTGATGTTTAAGTCAAAATTTGCTCAGATCATAGTTCGAAGCCTGAGACAGAACAAAACATTTTCAACCTACAGTCGGATTCGATTTTAAATACCCCCAGACTCAACAGCCCTCCAAAATTCCTTGCCAAATTAGGTAGGATTTAAAATTATATGAATGATTAAATTGTATGAATGAAATCATTTCAAAATTCTTGCTTTTAACAATAACGTCATGATTTCTCTTCTATTTATCATAGTCATCTGAATCTGATTATTACCATAATTTGTAACAATAAATCATCTTTAGGGATGATGCGATAAAAATTCCAAAATTTGTTAATATACAAATTGGTTTTCAAAATTGAAACTGGATTAAAAAACAAAATCAAGCCTTCTGCACAATGTACAAAGTGGGTGGGGATAAATGACGCAGTAGCCAAGATAGGGAAACTGTTGGTGAGTCAATGCCATACATAAGTACAATATAAATAGTTGAACTGCGCAACAACAACTTTCACAAAATTTACATGTGATAAAAACTTCACTTACCCTTTTATACGTGGTTTGACCTGTGGTTGCATCAACTCTTCTATGTCCAATTTTCTTTTCTTTCGGATATTTGGATGTTGACGGAACATCCTGTGAAACAAACAAATATTATTGACAAAAACAAATAAAAAAGATAACACTAAATAGAGATACACGATTTTATTGAGAATGGAAAATGATATATTATGAAGGCATATTCACTCAAATTAAGAAATCTGATAATGAGTAGTGTACAATTCAATTTCAAATATTCCCTCAAAATCGTAAAACATATCATTTCATTAATTAAGGAAATTTTGATATAAATTTCGATTCTGTTGCATCAAAAACAAAAATTCGACTGAAATTGAATTTCTAAATATAAAACTGAATTTGGCAATAATCAAACGTTGCGAATTACCGAATCCAAAAACGAATTTGAGCATGGAAATGACGAAATCGGTGACCGACTATTAATCAATAACACAACTGCAGAAGACTATATTAAGGTATAGTATTGCTTGCTGTTCTACACTTACGTTATATTTTTAAATACTGCCAGAGGCATCAAGGAATTTCAAGTACAATCACATGGTCATGACTAATTAGATACTTAGTCCTGTTGATTGAAATTTCTTCGTACAGAAATTGCAAGTAGCCTATTCACAATTACTTGGTCAAAATTGGTTAGAAGAAACTAACTGGTATATCATAAAATATTCTGCTAAAAAAAAGTATGAGCTTTTGAGAGGCCAAAGACTATTTCCTCACAATCATGATTTAAAAATATCTGCTTTTCCTAATGCAATACAAATGTACATCTGGAAACTATGCTTCTTTAGCAACATCGATTCCAGTTACACTGTATAGGCCCTACTGTAATAATCAATGCCTAATCCTACATAATCTACAATTTTAAATACATTCTAAAATAGTACTTTTGAAAATGGAATAGGCCTATGGTCTGGATTGAGTCATGTTGAATAAAAACGTAAATGTCAGTGTATATTCATTATTCAACAAATTTATTATAAAAATCAAGAGGAGCCGAACAGTGATTCAATTGGTTTTCTGTTTTCACATTTTCTAAAATAGGAAAAGGGCCTAATTGGTAATAGTGTGAGACTTCAATTGCTCAAAACGATGATTTTTTTACTAAATGACTGCTAAAATCAAGAACTTGATATATCGAATCGAATTGAGATATCTGTTTTAATTTTGGATAGCGTGAAAAAGTTAGAGGAATCATAACCATAAAACTAACTTCTATATAAAAGCATCAATGATTGGATCTTTGATGGGATAATTGAGTTATGAGTAGGCTATATGCATATATTATTTCATTATTTTTCATTACAGACTTTAAGAATTTTTTTAGGCCATGCCATTAAGTAGTAAAACCAGAATGCGCCAAATTTATCATAAATCACCAGCTTAAGAGTAATTTATCACAGGTAACACATTTCACGTTCAATTCATTACCAAGCACCTCACCCAGAATGTAATAAACGAGCAGGCAATGCCGAAGTGAATAAATACCGGTCTTTGCAAAAATAGGAGCTCCAGATATCAGTGGCTACTTGCACAAGGCTATGTTCGGAGCAAAAAATGAGTACCCAGAGTATTGCTTTTGATGACAAATTAAATAGATCAGACACGCTATGTATAAAGTAATTAGAACATTACATTTACCACAATAAATACAATAAAGCAAGGACAATTATGTTGGTGTTTTCCTTGCCCATATCAATTGTGGGTTATTTCTGATTGGTGATGTCATAATGTTTTGCGAACTTTTGATCGTGACAAAAACATTTAGAAATAATGACAGGAAATAAAGTGACTTACATCTGTCTTCCCAGTCTTTTCATTGTCTGAAAATAAGAAAGAATTAAGATGTGAACACCATATAATATCACATATTTTGTATCACACTTTTTCAAAGATGGAGAATGACAAATACAATTCCACCAACAGGCACATGAAAGAAAAGTATTCTAGTCTACTAGGTGTGTAAAATCAGATTTTGGCACGTTTTTACGAAAGTTAGAATATATTCCTAAAATTGGAGTGAGGAGACGAAAATTTGGATTCCGAGGAGTAAGCAGTATCGTACTTTGATATCAGAATCAGGTTTGGGTTATCTCTAGCGAACTATCGCACTAACCAATACCTCGTCACACTAACAATTAAATATAATATCAGCAATGCATGCAAAATTTGGCGCTCCACAAGTATGTGTACCAATACGGAGATAACTAATTTTGTTCGCCTACTTTACATCAAGTTGTGTAAAGGGATGGAAGCCGATAAGAAGGGGTATATTCTCTTGGCTAACACAGACAGTGCCCGAACTTGTAATGGAACTAGAATGAGACGAATCGGTATAAAATCATGGCCTAACCCTAACCTGGTACACATACTACAGGAGTACCCAAAATTTCAGGTAGATATCAAAAAACTTACTCTCTATAGGTGGTGGATCAGCAGCAGTCGCCATATTCCTTTATGTTCAAATTCACTTTTGTATGATGATAAGTATCTTTCCGTAACTTTAGATTCGCTATAAAGAATATCTAATGTACAAATGTATAATACAATTCTGTGAACCATAACAATATTTTGTTTTTATTAATTATTCTGTATCACAAGTAGTATATATTTTAAAATTTGTAACCAAACATTTTTTCACTTAATCTTCTCGAAGCTAAGTCACTCAGGAATTAGGAATTGATCTCTATGCAAAGGTGTGAGCGAAGTGCCAAAAGCTACCGCAACTATTTTTTGAGTTATACTCTGTTCGTTTCACATAACGTTTATTTGCAATCTTATGAAAAATACTTCATTAGACCACCCATACTGAAATATATCTGAAGATTGTTTTTGACAACCTAATTTCACTGGGTCCTCAACTATACAGACGAAAGCTGCGTACGAGCTCGCCTTAGTGATGTTAATACTACGTAACGCTTTTCAAACAAGTCATTTTAGCAGCAGTGTAGTATAGATTTTCATGATCATTCTAAATAATTCACAATCGTCTGGTGCGGTTGTAAGATGTGAAAATTTCTAAGAACTTTGCATGCATTAATATGATTCAAGCAGAAAAACAATGATTATATCATAATTATGCATTTTTGGGGATGAATAGCTTACAAACATTGACTGTGAAATATAGTCATTGTGGGTTATCCCCAGGATACAAAAAATTCGTGTATTCAAACATTTATTATCATATGGACTAGATGTCAGGTATATCTCAATATCTTAGGAATTTAATCAGAAATGGGCATGATGGCCTGTTAATAAAGCAATGGACTCAGACATGCCCAAAACGAATAGAATATTCGAATACTTTCCATTTTCATCATATTTGATATGAAAAAGTTTTGAATTTTAGATTAATTTAGAATATTTTTATTCAAAAAATAGGAATTTGGGGTCGTCAGAATGGTGAATTGAAATGAACATTATCTCAATTGGTATTAAACGACAAAGAGAAAACAATGACAATATTCGGTTTTGGCCATCCCTGGCAATGGTCTGAACTATGTTGGTGACGCAGGAAAAGATCTTAGGTTCATATTCTTTGCCCAGGCCAATACCTCACCTAGGGTGTAAGAAATTGGGTAGGAAATACTACAGTCTCTCCAATGGAGGCTGATGCATTTGCCTTGTTCAAATTGAAAGTATGAAAAGACCTAATAAGGAAAAATAATAAAACTTGAAAAGATCACATTATCTACCCAATGACAAATATGCAAAACATGTTAGTTACATTTTGTTCAAACAGGTATATCAACTTAACAATAAAAATTCATATTCCATACTCATGAAACAATTATTTTTAGCAGGGAGAGATCCATTATGACAATCTATATATACCGGTAAGCAATATTTCTAATTATGGTCATTGTGGCAATGGCCTCCTCCAAGTGATTTGAGATCCCTCCGAGCTATCATGATATTATAACAGCATTCTAACATACTGCTTGAAACAGTTTGTAAAGGATTACCGGTATATAGAAATCAGGTTGTGAAATATCAGGCTAAAAAAATAACACTAAAGAAATGATAGTGAATCTGCACTCAGAAATAACCAAAGCCTTCCGTGTCATAACACAATAGACATAAATAAACTTCACTCCACTTTTATCAACACCATTGGCCATGCACAGTTGGTGTTGTACTGTATAATACAATAAATGATTTCAACAGCATGTGATATACTATTATTATTAACAACAACATATTTTTAACTAAATCAGCTTAAATAATAAAAACATTAAAAGCAGAGGTGGTCTAAATATAACAAATCCATAAATCTGAATAAATTGCAGTATATTACTAAAATTGAAATATTGAATATTATTCTGAACAGATTAACATTACAAATGAATATCTCATTATACATAGGTATATACCCAATGAGTTTATAGTCGGATATGTAGAACAGTTAGGATAATAATTTACAGTTTCAAAAATCAAACTTTGCAAACACACCTTTTCCTAAGTGTTTTTAATAAATAAAGCCTATTCTTGAAAAAAACAAATTCCCAATCTGTAATGAAATCAATAAAGAGAACCACAGATACAACTGCATAATTTCACTCTTATGCAACAGATCTCAAAATAGACTTGGACTGTCATTATTAAAAAAAGGTATAATCTCCTAAAAACCTAAACAATAACATAAATAAAATTTATTATTACAATACCCTAAATCTAGTTACACAGTAATTAAATTCGGATTAACATAATTAATTCTTTCAAAGGATTAGGATCAGTCAGAAACAAGTAAACACAGATGGGTGTCTGTGATTAGAAGTGTTTTTTTCACTGATGTTTACTCAAGTATGATTCAAAATATATTCTAGGCTTCAAACATCTTTCTATCCTTTCAATCTTTCTGTTTTATACTTCTAAAAATGTACAATTGAATAAATAGCACCTCAGCATTTCTAAGATAGTATGAATATAGCAAAATTGAATATATTCAAACTAATCAATTCTTGCTTTAATGAAAAATTAATATCTAATGTTGCCAGCAAAAATATGCTTTCCATAAATTTGGGAAACTAATCAGAAAAATGTTTTTTTCAAATCATTCTTTGTTATAAACAACATTATCTACGTATAATGATACATGATGGTTTGTCTTTGCTGTACTTCTCCGACCAGAGAGAGAGATTTTATTTTCATTGTTTGTGAAAATAAGAAATCTCACTCTGACCAAAACTAAGTCCAGAATGCATTTAATATTTCAAATTCAAAAAGCCTATTCTAGAATAGCAAAGATTACCAAATTGTAACTGTCAGAATCTGGAATATCAGATTTGGCCATTATCATGTTATTACTGTGACGCAAAATATCATTACACTATTCTTGACTGACAATTAAATTTTTCATCTATCTCATTTTTTAGATTTCAAGAAAATATTCTCAAACTTTAAATAATGAGTCGATTTATTAAATAAAGTGTGAAATACAAAGTGGAAGTGAAACAGCAGCATTCATCTAGAACTGACATGGGCAAACTACGCAGGGTCGTCCAACCCGTGGCCCGCGGGCCAAAACTGGCTCGTTGGAAAATTCAATCTGGCTCACCTGATGCTGCCACAACCGAACTAAAACCAAATTTTGATGTTTGAGATTACGATTGAATTTAGTTTTGACACCAGACTTATTGTTTTCCACTATTGCTTGTGTAACATTGTAAATATTGTTCATAAAATATAACTTTTTACGTCACACTTGCTTGGCCCGCCAGTCTACCCCTGATCTAGAAGCAGCCTTCTAATAACAATAATCTGCAGTAAGCTTCAACAACAAGCTTTAAATAGACAGGAATAAATAATCAATATTGAAACTGCTACACATACTATATTCCAATCGCTGTAATAGTGTAATGTAACTGTGCATAAATCTATTATTAGATTATGTTTTTTCCTTATACAGAAGTATTCATTACCAAGTCTGATTCAATCGAAGTTTCATTTGGCATTCATAAAAAGTCATCAATTTTCTCATAAATAAATATACACATAATACGGTACTAAATATAATGATATATAGAAAAAAAGAAATTATTCAAGGTAATCAAAGCTTAAAATCGCAGCTGATAAAGTATTGTGCTTCGTCAATATTTCACTGACACACGACAAAACTGTATAATAGAATATGGATACCGAAATGCGAAGATGTCAAAATTTAAAAGTTCAAAATTGAATAATCATACTGTTAAATAGCCATGTTATTAAACATTAAACAATACAATACTAATTTACCAGAAATCTTACACCATTTAGGGTGGTCCAACTAGATTGTGTTCAACCTTGTTCTCTGTTCTCTGTGCAACACTAATTGCAGATTTTTCACACTATAGATGGTCACGACATGATACCGGTACCGGTAGACTACCGGTACACTTCGGATCAATTAAATAGGTCCGAAGTTACCGTTACAGCCATAAATGTGTTTAAGTATAAGTTTAAGCAGTGAAACAACAAATACGTACCAGTATGCGGCTGAACCGCATTTTGCATTTCCATATTCAGATATTTCACAGAGTCCCGATTACGGTACAGGTATCTTTCTACTTCCTTGAGACTACCAAAAATGACAGCATATGCACATGGAGAAATTTGTAGCATCTTGAAGGAATCCCGCACCGTCAAGGATATTGAACTAGATTCGGCGCATCGTACTTGTACCGGTAGGGCGGTAGGTTTTTCATGTTGTCTACCGTATGTTTTTGCAAAATTTTATAATGTCTGCCTCTCGGTCTACTTCCCTCTCTATGAATAAGCCCCGAACCTTACTAACTACGGAAAACTTACTTACAGGTCCCCGTACCGGCAGAAGGGAGGCTAGGCTAACGGTAAATCCAATAAAATGGAAAATAACTTTGGTTATTGAGAGGGCGTAAAGTGGTACGGTTGTGTCTTTTGTGCGAAAACATTTTGCGCGAAATTCAAATTGCGAAAATCATTTTTCATAGAAACTGAAAACATTTAAAAAAAATAATAGTCTCGCAAAACTGGGTAAATATCTGTTTTGTTTGTTTATGAATTACACAAAATCTGGTTACAAAGTAAGACGCCTGAATAATGAATATACTCCATGTTCATGTTTTTGCCTATCTTCGATTTTGCCTCTTTATTTTCTTCAGTTGTTGGGCGAACTCTCCGATGAAACTATTTATATGAGATCATTGAATTAAATTTTTCCCAAAACGCTGAAGAAAATGTAGCATTTAAAGATGTTGTCGATTAGGCTCCTCTACTAATATTCTTCAAAGACTAGATGTTTCATTTTTTAAATTAAAACAATTTGTCAAGTCTCATATAAAGTATGATGTCTTGTAATAATAGAATAGCAACACACCTCAAACCCTGAGACAATGCACAACACGTAACATTTACACACAACCTTTTTTGTTTACTTGCGAATGGGTTTGCAAATTTTATTTCGCCTTCGTCCACTGTTCCTAATGGTGGGTTTTTTTGTTTTGTTTTTCTAGCCTTGAACAAGGTGCGATTTATCCGAGAAAATATGTATTTGTGAGTCAATAATATGTATAACATAGAGCATAATTACAACATCTTTGCTCCATAAGAAAGGGTCTAAGCATGATCCGAATAATTATAGGCCTATCTCCCTGCTATCACAAATCGCCAAGATTTATGAAAAATTTTTATATCATCGTCTCAAATTTTATTTCGATAAACATGGAACTTTGAGCCTTTCCCAGTTTGGTTTCCGAAACAACTATTCAACTGAGCTAGCCATAGCGCGGCTCAAAGAAATGATAATAGAAAATAAGGCCAATAACAAGATCACATGTACCATCTTTTTGGATCTTGTGAAAGCTTTTGATACTGTTAACCACCAAATTTTACTAGATAAGTTATATCATTATGGCATTCGAGAAAAGGCATATCATCTTATTGCATCATATTTAAGCAAAACAAACAATATGTCCAATATGGGGACTGTATCTCTGAAATGGGCCTTATTGAATGTGGGGTCCCCCAGGGTTCCACGATTGGCTCGCTGTTATTTCTATGCTACATAAACGATCTACCTTTGGCATCTACTTTTATTCGACATTATTTTCCGATGATACTTCTCTGCTAAAATCAGCATCCTGTGGTTTAGACTTTAGAACTCCAAACTGTGGTGAATCATGAACTCCAGAAGGTCGATAATTGGCTTCAAGCGAACAAATTATCCCTAAATTATTCTAAAACAAAATTTATGTTGTTCTGTGATAAAAAGCATGGTATTTCCACATTTAGAGTTGGCATTGGCAGCAACATTATAGAACAAACAAAATCCATTAAATATTTGGGAATTACAATTGACGAACTGAGTTGGAAGCCACATATTGCCGAGTTATCCAAGAAATTATCGCAAACTCTTGGAATATTTTACAGGTTACGGCATATTTTGAAATCTAAAACACTTAAATTAGTATATTTTAGTCTATTTCACTCACGTCTGCAATATGGTCTGCTAAGTTGGGGCTCAGCATCAAGGTCTTCCTTACAGCCAGTCCATGTTTTGCAAAATAAAGTTTTACGATGTATGGCATTTGTAGAGAAAGTTCGTGTAACTAATTTGCAGCTCTACTTCCAGTATGAATTCCTACAGCTGTCTGATATGCATACGGTAGAAATAGCAAAGTTCATGCATCGGTCTGAAAATGTTGTTTTGACCTGTTTTTAAACATTATTTCACCCCATTAAAAAAAGTGCACAATTACTGCACCAGGTCTCAAAGAAACAAGGTTTTCTTTACTCCACAAGTGTCCACTGAGGTGGACAAAACATCTTTGGAGTATATGGGTGTACAGGTCTGGGGCAATGTTCCACCTGAAACTAAAAAAAAGTTCTGTGCATGTTTCAGTAAGAAACTGAAAAAATATTTCCTACTGAAATATTCTAACTTGTCCTAATATCTGTAGTTTAATTAATATGCCTTTAGAACTGTGTTGAAAACTGCATTATATAAATTACTACATTACTATAAATTTAACTGTTTCATATAAACATTGCACACTGAGGGTCATAGCCCTTTTTTTCCAACTCATGTATGTATATATGTAATAAAATTGCTGTCCTCTTCTCTTTCATTGGCATCAATTTGATGATTACTATGTTTGACTTTAAAAGCCATTGTTATTGATATTTCTATCTTTTGAATTATTGCTAAACATGTGATAATATGATTGGTTCATTGTTATTTTCATTTCTCCATGTAATTGAGTATAAAATCTCGCTCCCTTGATCCATATAGTACTTTTTTCATGTCATTAAAAGTTATTGTGGTATTACTGATGAACTGCATAGTTATTGCATATTTAATTGTGGATCATATATTAATATTCTAGTTCCAAGTATGCATAAATACTTATAAATGATAGTAGCCCATTTGTTAATTAATTTAATAACCTTTATATATTGTGAAAAAGTGATTAATTAACTGCAATAATAATTGCATATTTAATTGTTCATATTCAACTGTGGATCATATATTAACTACTATTCTATTTCTCAAGTATGTATTAAAACTTAAGAATGTTGGTAGCCACTTTTAATTCAATAACCTTTTTATATCGTGAACTAATTAAGGTGTCAAACGAGAGTATAGGTCGGAGACCAAAGACTTATCGATCAAAACTGCGGTTTCGATTCATGACTCTATAGTGACACCGTGTGGTCAAACACCACTTATTTAATAGCTCCCTAATTATACGACATAACTCGACCAAAATCAATAGACATCTGGTCCGTGATATGATGAACGCACATGCAAAATTGGATTGGGTGGAGAATAAACCCCGCTTTCTTGAGATATCGCTTGCATCTAACAGACAGACAAACAGACAAAGATCGATAAACAAGATCGAAAAGTAATGATATTTTTACACCATGCACTCGGTCTATTACTGAATCTGTGATAATATTATTTTTCTTCCCCGGGATTTCCATTTGATCCCGGTCTGTGTCCAATAACAAAAAATATGCTTTTCGTGAAAATTTTTCCATTGGACATGTCCGGCTTCAACCAACACATGACCTCTCTAAATCCTAAATTGCCCTTAGTGTAAGTAAGTGTAAGCGTAAGTGTTTATTTCGATTTTCCAATACAACAAAACAATACATGGCAAAACAAACAAATGTACGGAAAATCAGGAAAGTGGGCAAAATCTAAAAAAGATTTAAGACGTGCTGGTGCACGTGCCCACTTACCCCAAACAGCAAACAACACATGGAAGTAAATTGAAAATAAGGAACACGAAAGATAATTCGGGCGTAAATACTTGGGTGTGGATGTGGAGTTTTAACATGGAGTGTAATTTCTACTATATCTGTACATATAAATAACGAGAATTGTAGAACATAAACAAACAAGCAGTGCGCAATATGTGGTAAATAATTTGATTACAAACGCACTCAACTAATAGTCTACCGGACGATAAACAACAAGGATAAAAGCACCATAAAAGAAAACAACAACAAACGAAGTAAAATATGACAAGAGCATTGCCCTGGCGTTACAACTTTAGTTTTAATCAAAATTCATGTGCTTAGTGTAAGTAGTCTTTTTTATGCAATCTACCTTCAAATATTCGTTACATTTGACTCTTCATGTTTTTCCCAGCTTCGACCAGTTTTCCATGATAAACTCCACGCAGCCCAGCAATGCTGGCCCAGCATGATCTGATGCGAACTGATCCATATCGTATCAGTACTGTATCCGACAACATCGTTTTGATTTAAGTTTGTATGTATCTTCTCAGTAGGGTTTATATTCGTCTAATTTCCAAGTTTTCGTCCAAATATTTCCTACTCCAGTATTCCACCGTTGATATTTTACGTCCGCACCCGACGGCGGTCTCAACAGAAAACGGAAAAACAGAAACGGTAACGTTAAAACCGCATCATCCAGCTACCGGTATCGATAAGTAAAACTTAATTTAACCAAATACTCCAATATATCCAAATAATGCCATTAAATAATACCATTAAATTGCCGACTCGTTTCCTTTTTTCCTCGTATTTATTTTTTATATATTTATATTTAATCTCATTTGTATCCACCTATGATGAACTTATATATAGCACATACACAAGGGTCGGGAGCCTAGATGACTTTAATCGGTCTTGCACACCGACTCGCACAAAGCAATAATCAATTACTGTGGAATATTTTCGATATTGTATTATGTTTATATTAGTGTTGATTTTGTTTTTGTGGCAATAAATCTCTCTCTCTCTCTTTTTACCCTTTTATAGAATACATGCAGCATACGTTACACTGACGCTATACACAACATTTATCGGCACCCAGCGTTGCAGTAGGTACTAGGTGGACTACTGTACTTCCGTAAGCTTTTGGGCAATTCACTGTTATCATCGTTATTGTATCTTCGCTTATTGTGGTATTCGGTATATGTTCGATCGTTTTTGAGGTTGGGATGGCTGGACAAGATGCTAAGGAGGCTGTAACAATTGAGGATTCCGTTGCGGGGGAGACTGAAACCATCAGCAAATCTACGGAGTTACCAGAATGGGTAATAGAAATTTTGAAATGGGCAGCTACGGATCCCTGGGGATTTGTAACCACAATTTTTCTCTATTTTTCACCTCTGTTTTTGATCAGTGGAATTCTGGCGTGGAAATTAGCACAGATGATCGACGCTAAAGAAAAGGGAAAAAACAAATCAAAAATAAAACGAAAAAACTTGAAAAATGTAAGAAGGGCAAAGACAGACTAAAACAATGTGACAATTCACCAAATGCAAAATGGCATAGCAGACAAATTAATTCGAAACAATGTTCATATTTTTAGAGAGAGGAAAGTCGATGAGTAATTTAATAATAAGTCAGAGCATAACCCATCAACCGGTTCTTATTCCATAGTATGCATGAGAATGGTTACCTAGGCATATTTTTCACACTCTGATATGCGAACATCCCACGACAACAAAGATTCTAGCAATCCTGCCACGCATAACATATCCTTTTGAGATTGAACCTGCGAACCATGCAATGACCAGCTTTTTCCTATTCTTATCATGATTGGGCAAAGTAAAATCATGAGCACATATAAACAGCTTACTCGTTTAAGATGTTCAATTTCGGGTTATATTACCAGATTATATCGGTACAACAGTACCAAGAAACCAAAAAAGTAATTTGAAAAAAGTAATGAATCAAAACTGATTAGTAATTACATTTCTGATGATAGAAACCTTGTTTATTGCTTTTCCTATTCAATGCGGCTTTCTTCAAATTATACTTTCTTTTGTGGTACGTAGACGCAATGAATCATTTAAATTGAATAGAAAATATTTGAACTAGTTTTTTACTCAGTGATATTATCTATGCAACCTTTAGAGCGCATATGTAATGGGTGCGACTGTCTGCTCTGGAATGTTAGGATTGCATCATGCAATGCTCATTTTTTTCCCGAACTAGACCCATGAAGGTTGCAATGACAGCAATTTCTTATTTGCCTAATACCTTTGGCAACAATTTTCAGTGCTAGGGCTGTAAAGCACAAGTGAATTAGTTGCATATCTAAAGTATCTAGGAACAATTCTCAAAATATTGAAAGTTTTTAATTTTTCTAACTGTATTGTTGTTATGCCATTAAATCATATGAAAAATAATTATTTCAGTAAGCATGCTATTTTAAAATATTTAATGGCTTTTACTCTGAACAAGCAGATCCGAAACGGTTATGATCTATTTATTTTTAAAAGATAAGAATTTTCTGATTAATTTTTAGCTTGAACTTACGATATTTTTATCATCCATTGTTTATGTGTTTATCTTTACTCAGATTATATATGTAAAATGGCTGATGCCGATAATCAACCATCGTCAAGCTTGTCACAGCAAAATAATCCACTGTCGAGAAAATTGGGGAAAATCCTCGACACAAGACTAGATAATGACAAGGACATGCTTGAAGCGCTGAAGGCAGTTTCAACATTTTTTAACGAGAACAACTTGCGAACAAGACGTAATTTAAGGGGTGACATTGAAAGACGCAGCCTTTCGATCAACCAACAGTTTTTGGATGCTTTCACACATGTAATCGGGGAGCTGGATAGTATACATGAAGATGTACATTCGATGTCAGAATGCTGCAAGGATATGACTGAGAGATTGAAAATTACAAAAGAACAAACACAGGATTTGATGAGTAAAACAAGCTCATTGCGAGGGGAAGGAAAGAAACTGCAGTTGCGATCAGAAGTTGTAGGAGCATTTCTTGGAAAATTTCAGCTCAAACCAGAAGAGGCAAAAATATTTCGTGGGGCAAGAGATGGTAACATACATCCAGAATTTTTTACGGTCTTGGAAAAAGTGCAAAAAATACATAATGACGTCAAAGTTCTGTTACGAACAAACCAGCAGACTGCGGGCCTTGAGATAATGGAACAAATGGCACTACATCAGGAATCTGCTTATGAAAGATTATATCGATGGACTCAAACACAATGTAGAGGATTGACTGCAGATTCTATTGACATTTCAGAAATGCTTCAAAAGGCGATGAAATACTTGCAAGACAGGCCAGTCCTGTTCACATACACTTTGGATGAATATGCTGGTGCCCGTCGTACAGCAGTTGTAAGAGGATTCATTGATGCTCTCACAAGAGGTAGCGGACAGACAAGTGTTAGCCATACTAAACCAATAGAAATGCATTCCCATGATCCGCTGCGATACATTGGAGATATGTTGGCATGGTTACATCAATCCTCTGCGTCAGAAAGGGAATATCTTTCATACTTAGTACAAGATTGTGTTAAACCAACACAGGAAGAAGAAAAATCCACAATAGGGCACACATTAGAAGGAGTATGCAGGCCACTAAAAGTTCGCATAGAACAAGTCTTAGTTGGTGAACCTGGCTCGTTAACTTTATTCAAGTTAACCAATCTACTCAAGTTTTATCATACTACAATCAAAAACATTTTAAAAACAGACACCACTCCCCTTTTGGACATCATGGAAGAAATGCATGTTCTCTGTCGAAAACTATTTTTCAACAGCCTTAATTTCACAGCTAGCAGATTGCTTGATAAAGTAGAAGTTCCTGCAGCAGACCTGGGTCCTTCTAACACTTTGAACCAAATGATGCAGCTTCTACAAGATATGTTGGATTCACATGCTTCTTCAGTTGTGGAGATTGATTCAAGACAAATTGATTTCAAGCAAATCATGTCTTGCTTATTGGATCCTCTGCTACAAATGTGTGCTATGTCTGCAAGTCAACTCCCTGCTGCGGACATGGCAGCATATATGATAAACTGCTTACATTCAATGAAATATGTTCTTGCTTTATATGAATTCACAGAAGAGAGGATAGAAATGCTTTCTGCTCAGATTGATGCACATTTGGACACCCTTGTCAATGAGCAAGCTGCTGCTATACTAACACAAGGCGGAATTGCTGGAGTATATTCAGAAATTCAAAAATATAGATCCCATGGTGGTGAGGAGCCTTTATCCAAACAACCAGGTCTGGAAAGGGATAATGTTATTGGTGCACTTGCTCGTTTTGATGCTTATGTCATGTCAATGGAGGAATTTATTTTGCCACAAGTTTCTTTCTTGGCAAGCGCAACTTTGAAAGAAGTAGCCACGACACGTGCCAGTGACCTAGTCACTAATGCACATAAAAATGTATATGAAGCTTTAATGGATCCAGCTAATAAATATGCTGATACTACCAGTGTCACAGTAAAGACACCAGACCAGATCAAAGTAATGCTATATTGAAGCCACAATTATACACATATTTCGTGCAATCAAAAATAGGTGCTCTGTTCTCTATTACATATGAATAATAAAGTTTTAAAACATCATAATTGCTTGTTGTAAGAGAAACAGCTAACACTCAAATAGTGATATTCCACATTCAAAGCATTGTGAGTAGATCATTAAATAAAAAGCAAGCATTTAAGAGCTGGCCACGCCCCTGAAAACCTTGGGGGTTGGTTACTTTAAAACCATCCTTTGCTCTTCAAGGTGATGTGATATTGAATAGATGGAACCAATGTTAGGTAATGGCATTTGTGGGTATAGGAATACCTAACTAATATAAGCCAGAGAACTATAGAAAGTAAGGGCAGTTCACTGTTTCACACGTAGCCTGCAGTTTTTCACACTGGTGACCGTACATTTGAACCCATACATTTGCACCCGTATATTCGAGGGTTCAATCTATATGAGGGTGCTAAAATCCATGGGTTAGGGTTAGTATCGGTTCAAATATCCGTAAAAAAATTTTCCATGGGTGCAAATGTACGTGGGTTCAAATGTAATGGAACCTTCCACACTACCAGGCTATGCCTACAACATAATATAGACAAAACAGTCCAATCATTAAAACAATAGCCATTGGCTAAATCTGATGTCAACTCTCCGTTCTTGGTCTTAAGATGAGTCTGCCGGTCTGAAATAAATGAAATTGTGAGTTTTCTATCATCGTACAAATATTGCAAAATAGTTTATTTTACTCACTTCATCACATGACATGTTGAAATCATCCAATACCGTTTGCAATCGACCAGCAATTCTAGTAAATAAACAGAAATGAATGCTCTATAAATATATATTTTTAAGGCTTTGTTTGAGTCTTGATTTTAGACGTTTAGTGCTGATAAAATAAGTCAAAATTTATCAAGCGTACTTAGTAGGCTCACATCTGGCAAAACTTTTGACACCAAAATTTGGAGTAGAATTTTTCGTACTCCCAAAGTATGTGAACCAAGATGGCGGACACCAGAACATAGTATTTGTACCAGATTAGGGTTAGGCCATAATTTTATTTCAATTTTCCTTATCTTAGTTCTATTACGAGTTTGGGGACTAGCCAAGTGACTCCCGTAGTATTTGTACCTCAAATTATGGCCTAACCTGGTACACGAACTACGTTTCGGTGTTCGCCATCTTGGTTTTTACTTCGGGAGTACCGAATTTTTATTAATAATCTGAAAATATATAAAAACAGCTGCTTCATGACTGGTTTTAAAAGTCTCATGTTATTCGTTTATAATTCCAAATGCATGAACATCTATTTTTCAAATATCTATATGAAATCTTACATTGACGGTGCCACAACTCTTTTATGTATCCCCGCAAAGAAGAGAAGAATTAACACTGCTGAGCTGAGAGTAAAGAATGGATGCTGCCACAGTGAATGCAAAAAAGGTTCCTGAAATAATAATGGATGAATTTTGTAAATCTAGGCAATATTATTATGTTTTCATATCAAATATGCTTGAGAAATTACATACCCTCGATGTATTAGGATCAACAAGCCATAGCCAGGCACCAATAGCTGTGCAAACTGAGATAATCACAAGAACCACTGTAAAAAAAGGGTTGTACTGTTTATGGTTAGTTCAAAAAGATAATTAGCAGTAGCAATACTCTCCCAGAAACGAAAAACAAGGCAGGAATGGCTGTGTAAAGCGAATTAAGAGGCTTTGTATGCTGTCTTCTTATTTATTAAGACTAGGATTGCTGGACTCATCACCGCCATAGGGTGGTTCACATAACAGCTTGTCGGTTACGGCCGCCTCTACCTTCAAGTCCATGCATCTGAAACAAATATCTGGCTAGCTAATCCAATATGGACTGGTAACCGAACGAGAGGCTGTGGTACCCCATAATCATATTAGCCTTCTTATCAGCTTTTCTTTCCTCCAGAATGAGTATGTAAATCATACGCTTGCCACAAAAAATTATTCTCTATGTAGTTCTATTCTCTGATACAGTGATCAGGGTAATCTGAGGTGTGGCATATAAATAACTTGAAGATTGCTGAAACTCTTGGTATCAAGTGTTGATTTTATGTCTTTTTAATTCAAAAACCATATTACAAAATTAATCATGGTTTCTTGAAAAGCGAATGTCTACATTAATTACATTTATCATATCTATCTGTACAAAGATAACTTACTTCTCCATCTGGAAGTGGATGGCTGCATGTGAGTTATGCATTCCATTATCCGCCTTTCGAAGGCTTTGAGATCTGAATGTAAAATTCCATATAAATTAATTGTCAATACAAACACCAATATGCAAGTCTCACAAGTCATCAAATAAATCTCTTTTTATGGAAGTGAAAATTAAAGATACATTTACAAACAGAAGCAAAACATTGTTATTTACAGGTGAGGGGAGTCACAGAAACTAAAAACTTACCATCTCTCTGGTCGGCAATATTTTGGTTCATGGTTCTCAACATTTATAAAAGATAAAGGACCAGGAGTTCTAAGCTTTATATCTGCTGAAAACCAGAGTGTTTATAGTCACTTTGCTGAAAACAAAACGACGGACTACGAGTTGTTGATTGACAGACAGGGTTAAACTTAACGCTTCAGTAGAGTGAGGTCATATGTCAAAGGTGACAAAAGCACCTATTTATCAAGTTACTTTTGAGTTTGTACTTCGATCTCTCGTCCGTAGTGTATAATACTTGGTTCTCTTTCGTTGGTTGTTGTTCTCGTTTATTGGTATTGATTCAGGGAAAGATGCTCTGCAAGTTTACTCGGAATTGTTTGAGATTGGCAAGGAGACTGGATTGCAAGTAAGTATAGGGTATTGCATACAATAACGGGTGTCTGGCGCTGGTGCCATAAGTCTGCAAGGGATGAAGGGTGATTTATTAGAGAATTTGTTCACACGCACTCACTCAGAAGTGAGTAAAAATAACTGAAACTTCTAAAATGTCAAGAGGTGATACAACTAGAGAAGTTTATTAATATAATTAAACAGAATCATACTGGTATAGCAACACCTTTTAGTTTGGTTAACGCCATAAATTTTGAGATAAAAGTTTTCTAAATTGGTTAATTCTATGTTAAAAGACCATATTCAAATTTTAGATCGAAAGAACCGAAAGTCAACAAAAGGGCCCATATGCAAGCTTGGTCAGAAATTAGACAGAAGGTGAGATTAACATGAATTCATAGTTAGATAATTTATTTTGAACTCTGCCGTGGTGAGGAAAAAAGTACAACATGGGTAACCCCACCTCGACATAGAATGTAACTAAGAAACATGAGATACTTTCTAAAATTGTACTTTAAGCTTGTGATCATACATAGTGGTCCTGCGAGAAGAGTTTTTTTGCATGGAGAATAATCGACATGAAAATACCTCTTTAAATAGGATAATACTAATGTTTCAATTTATCCACAGATGCAAGTATTTGTTTTTTTGATTTGTCGTATTGATACGCTATACAAGTCTATACTATCCATTTACAGAGTGACAAAACACGAGATCATTTAACACGTACTAAACATAGTTTTCGACAAGAACAGATCATGAATGCCACAGTCGTTGATATTGAAAAATTATCACCTACAGTGAGAGGAATTAAGATGAGTGTATCAACAGGTTATCAAAATGGAAATTTCAAGGTATTTAATATTGTTGTTGTAAAATAAAAATGACAATATTATATTGTATATGAAATACAATTCATTATTATTGAGTGGAATTTACTCCTACTGTGTTTCAGATTGTATTAGAATATTTCTGATTCGTCACTGCTTACATAATTTACAACACCCTGGTTGTGGTGATGTGTGTGGGATTTGATCCATAGACTAGCCATTTAATCACTTGGCCACACCTACTTAAATAATAAAAACGATTGTTTTTTGTCGAATTATTTTCATTGATATATTCTTCGGCAATAGGGATTTAACTTGCTACACGATATCTTGATTTCCAGGCTGGACAATGGGTTGACATGACTATACCAGGAATTTCCACAGTTGGGGGATTTTCAATTTGCAGCTGTCCAAATGATCTAGAACAACATGGTATATTGGAATTTGCTGTCAAATATTCTGATCATCCTCCTGCAAAATGGATACATGAACAGGTAGGCGAAGAAATTGAGATTTGAACTTTGTTGGTTTGACCATTTCAACTCCATCCGTAACAAAACCTTTTCTATCAATAGTGTCATGTAGGTTCAACTGTCAGTTTGTGCTTTGGTGGAGATTTCTATCATGATCCAGTAGCCGAAAGAGATGAAAATTTATTGCTAATATCAGGAGGAGTCGGAATCAACCCCATCTACTCAATTTTAAGAGAAAGAAGGTAGGTGTCTTGATAAGAGTTAATCAGTATTTGGTAACAGGTTCTTACATTTGCTGGTTTAGCAGGTTTGTATTTAAAATTCATTTGCTTAAATGGATTAGATGGCTGAATCGTATGTCAAAACACGACGCTACAGAAGTGTGTGTACCAATATGGAGATAACTAATTTTGTTCGCCCACTTTACATCAAGTTGTGTGAAGGGCTATGGGCAGGGGGTATATTCTCTTGGCTAACACAGACAGTCCCCCGGACTCGTATTAGAACTAAAATAAGGAAAATCGGAATAAAATTATGGCATAACCCTAACCTGGTACAGATAAACCAGTTATTACACATACATAGACTCTGTTTTGTACCTGATATTTCCTAATAATTAAAATCATGTAATTAAATAAATTGGTATATTTCAGTGCTTTTCTCAGACAAGATCCTCAAAGGTACTCCGGTAATAAAATCTCAACAATGCTGCTATACTGTGCAAGGACAGCAGAGGAACTACTATTTAAGGTTAGACTTTCATGATATCAATTCCGTCTGATTTCTAAGTACTTGACTGCAAATAAGACAATTTTCCCAGTATTCCATAATGGAAAAACTCTCCAATTCTATTAATTGCAACACCGTATATGAATTGAAACATATAATGTAGCAGAAGAGCACAATTTTTGGCGCTCAAGAAGTGTATGTACCAATACGAAGGTAACTAACTTTGTTCGCCTACTTTAGTTGTGTAAAGGGACTGATTAGTATGGGCAGGTGGTATGTTCATTTGGTTAATACAGACGGTCCCCGAACTCGTAATAGAACTAAAATAAGGAAAATCAGAATAAAATTATTGCCTAACCCTAACATGGCACACATACTAGGGAGTACCCATTTTTTGCAGGATGAAATTCAACACATCTGCAGAATAACACCAAACACAGAATATGAACTATTCGTCACTCAAGAAAATAAATTACAGCAAATAGAAGATGAAATTCCTATTCATTATGGACGAATATCACAAGATCATTTACAAAGAACGGTGAATTCCTTTCAGAAGAGTCCACTGTGTTATATATGCGGTCCACCTGGTTTTATTGATGCAACAGTAGTTAAATTAGAAAATTTAGGGCTTCACAGTGATAATGTTAAATATGAGAAGTGGTGGTGAGACCATTTACATTATGAAACATATCTATAAATTCAAACTTCTGTGGTATTCTAGCATCCAATTTGGTTAGTGTTTGGTAAAAAAGTTTTGCAGTTGTCAAATCTCGATCCTCTAAGTCGATGTATGAATTTGGCACATATTCAGTTTTGGATTGAAATATTATCAATTCATTTGGATCCGTTTCAATTGCTTCTTCAACCGTTTTATGCCCAGACTCGTTGCATGTGAACTGAAACAAATTGTTGAATTTTATGCAATATAGTATTTATATGTGCAAAGATGTATCTATGAAAGGGATAAGTGAAGGGTTGTTGTTTAATATAATAAGGGAATTATCCAAGTATTCAGAGAGTCTTGTCGGGGCAAATTACAATATAAATCAGGTATAGCCAAAATCGAATATTGAAATAAGAAGTTCAAAGAACCAATATATTATATCCCCTATATCTCTATTTTACATGGTAATGAAATTAATTTCTAAGTTCACAAAGTTAATGTAGCTTTTCAAATTGGCGCATCGTAAACAAACCTGGTATCGCATCGTTTTAGTTAATACCTACTTCAAAACAACTACTTGCAACAAACATCATTGTGATCTTTTCAATACCTTTAATAGACTGCCTTGGTCATCACTCACAATTTCCACATCCTCTGCTCCAATCTCTATAGCAATTTCTGTTGCTTTTTCTTCGGTAATTTCATTATCTTTAATATGTCCAATGTCTGTGATAATAATCCTTTTCCGGTCGAACTGTATTTGAGAGTCGGAAACCAATGAACTGAAATAGAGTTTTTTTACTTTTATTGGGAAAATGGAGCTCCAGAAGAATGCAGCAATAAAAGTAGAGATTAACTTTCATCTAAATCAGGAGTCGGCAACCTTTTGCCACTCGCGGGCCAAAATTGAGGGTTGCAAGTCATTGGCGGGCCGCATATATTTTTAGAAAGTTGAAAACCAAACGGATGATACTTTTTATCATGAAAATCAAGAAGTGTTACATCTCTCGAATAGAATTTAGATTTATGTCTTCATTGCATCTCAAAATATTCCATTTGAATATTTTCAGCGCCATTGGACCCTTTGCACTTAGCATCAACTTTTCTGCTTTTTTGTTGCCATTTGTCTAAGTATAATTAAATTATAGGCTCATTAAACGAGTAATTGTGAATTATAAACTTGTTTGGTTATAATATAATCATCAAAACGGGTGTTTTGATACTTATAATTCAGTGAAGCGTCGTGGGCTGGATTATATTACTCCACGGGCCAGATCTGTCCCGCAGGCCGTAGGTTGTCGACTCCTGATCTAAATCGTGCTTTACAATCCCGGCACAAACTGTTATTTTTGCCAATCGATTGTGATACGAGTTATGCTTCCATGCAATGGAGATGTATTTGAAGAGTCAACAGTTTCGACTTCAATTTAACAACAGTATTTGAGTCATTCTTATGTGTAATATTGTTAGAAAGCTTGAAGAAAATGAACAGGGTACATGGCATAAGAGGGTAATATCCATTCGAAGAACAAAACTTACAATAGACCTTATTCATTAAAAACCCATCCTACGCGCAAAAAGAAAAGTGATGTAAAATTTTTTTTTTTAACATTAGCTCTTATGGGAATGTGATCACCAGAGCAGAAATTCGCATTTTATGTCATTTTCTAGATATCTTTCATTGTATACGTGAGCAGTTTTGAGGATAGAATATTTTTTACATCTTTTTTGATATTTTTATTATGATAAACATGGTCAAGATTTTTAATAATCGTTTATTGAAATTTTAATGAGCGCGGTGTTTCCGATGACGTCATTCTCACTAGACCATGAGATTCTGCCAACACGCCGTGCTCCGTGGGATATGTGCTCCAACTGCTTGTGATAACAGAATACTGGAATACCGGTGCCGGGACCACAACTGGCGTTCAACGAAAGACCTATTTTGGTTTTAATTTGATGTTATATATTTCATGAATTCCATGTACATTTCTGGTACACCTTTCAAAACCCAATGGCCTAACTCAATTCATATGTTGACGGTACCTACCATGTACGGTACCTATCCCGAAATTGGTGATGTTCAGGGCTGGATTTAGACCATGAGAGGCCCCTTCATATTTCTGAGCTCAGAACTTCTCTCTCAATAACACCACATTCAATTGCTCAAAATTTGAAAATATGAAAGCATTAAACTTTTCATTCTCCCCATTCATGGGTGTGAATTTTTGATTAAAAGAATGATAATTTACTTGAGGCAGTTTTGCTTTCAATTTCTTTGATCAAACAACCGCTACAGCCATACTTTAACATAGAAACTTCCAGCAGAATGCGCAAATTTATAATTTCCCTTATTATGATGCAAACGACGCAATAATGACTGTTTACAATGTGGTTGAAACTAGTTGTGTACAGAATTTTCTACTCTGAAAAGCTTGATATATATATATACTTTTTGTAGGGTTTAAACATGTCAAGTTTTCAAAAGAATTACAAACTTTGAAACCGAATTTCGAGGCTCTAGGTTTCAGCCTGCCTAGCCTATTGGTAAATCCAGCCCTGGTGATGGTCCCTACAGCAAATTTCTGGCCCTAATCACTCAGCAGATTGAAATAAATGGTTTTCAGCATTTATTAGCAAAGATAGATATTTTAATTAAACATATAGTTCAACTTAAAGCCTGTATAATGATATTATAAATATATGTCTCATTATTACTGCATTGTGAGAAGGCTTTCCACACTATCAAGTCTATAAGGTTTTAGCGTCTTCCAATGTCTCAGATGGAAACTTCAGTCTTCATTTCGCATATTCTTTTCATTAATGCCATTAGCATTTGAAGCTTGACTGATTCCAATGTACCTTTTCCATTGTTGTTGAATGTAATATCCTAAACGTGGCTTCAAATTTTTTTCTCACTTTAATCATCACATGTTTGAATACCCGAGCTGACTTCTACTGATTTGTTATTAATTTACAATTTTTTTATAAATTAACTGTCGTACTTGCTATGTGTCCACTAAGTAAAAATCTACAAAAAAAGCAGTGTTTAATAATGAACTACATTTTTAACCGAATCCAAAAATATTCCGTAACTTAGTCAACCCTTCCCCCGAGGAGTTTTTGTTAAAACATCTTAAATAACTGTTAATCTTGATAGCTGACTGTGATGGTCGTATCGCTCCCCAGTCTATACCGAATAACTGTGTGTTTTGTATATGATTTTTATTGATTCAATGCTTGTATTCTGGTTGACAAAATACATCTCCCTCTCGTATTCAGTCATGTTTTTTAACCTAGTTACGAGACCGGTATTGTACCATTATAGGTTGGAGATATTCATCTTTTTTGTATACCGGTACCGTACAACTTGTCCTGCCTATTGGCAAGTTGGCCAACATTTTTGTTCGTAGGCCTATTTCAGTACTTATTAAATAATTTAGTTTCCACCTCTTGCAGCCTTGGTACGGTACCGGTAGTTTAAATAACACGTCAGCATGCCTTCAGTAAATGATTGCTAGCTGTACAGGTATAAATGCGTAAAAACAGTAAACAAACGTGATAGAAATGGTACGGGTTATAGATTGTCAATGTTAAACGCTTCCAGTACCGGACGGACACGCACCCAAAGCGACATTAGGGCCGCATTTGCAGCGCATATCCCACAGAGCACGGCGCGTTGGCAGAATCTCATGGTCTAGTGAGAATGACGTCATCGGAAACACCGCGCTCATTAAAATTTTAATGAACGATTATCAAAAATCTTGACCATGTTTATCATGATAAAAATATCAAAAAAGATGTAAAAAATATTCTATCCTCAAAACTGCTCACGTATACAATGAAAGATATCTAGAAAATTACAAAAAATGCAAATTTCTGCTCTGGTGATCACATTTCCCATAAGAGCTAATGTTAAAAAAAAAATTTTCACATCACTTTTATTTTTTGCGCGTAGGATGGGTTTTTAATGAATAAGGTCTATTGCGGTAACATCTTTATTGCAGACAACATTGCAAGCTTTGCATTATGCTTCGCAGTTGATCCGCAAATAATAAGATATGTTGAATGGCCTGGGCCACTGAGCGCAAAAGAAAATTCTTCACTTGCCTATAAAAAAGTATATGTATAAATAAAATGATATAAATAAATATCCCATGATGCGGTAATGTGTCACTTGCCTGTCTCGCTGATAGAGCTTTATCTATACTTGACTTCATCATATTTGCCTTTTTACATTCTTGTATTGCAGCAGCCAATTGCTTATTTTTTTTTTGGATCATTGCCCCCTCCCTCTGAAAAACATAGGATTAGCTTAATTTCATTATCATCAGGTCTGCATATTACGCAAGAGTATTTGTTTATCTCCTTGTTTAAGCTTTTCGCTCTGAACAAGGCAAGTACAAGCAACACTTATATCCAAGGAGCTGATATACCAGGATCCTACCGGTTTAACATTACCTTTCGAATTGATTTTACACTGGTTTGGTTGTTGGAATGGGATTTGAACACGAGATGCGTAACCTGCATTGCCAACGCGGTGTACAAGAATTAGCCAGTGAGGAATAGAATGGAAATCTGAAAACTTATGACATGTTATAGTACAATCATTTTTTACCTCTTATTGCGATTTCCAATCTACGAGCAAGATTCGAAAACAACTTTGCTTTTGCTCTCTCACCAGACTCCTTAGTGCGTCTAAAACTATCATAAAACATTTTGCCCCCATGGCATTGATTTGTCATCCCAAGTGCTCGAATTTGTGAGGAAAAACATCCTGATTGGAAGGCAGTTTTAAAAAGGACTTTTTGCTTTAGCAGTGAGGGTACAGCCGCTTTAACGAGTTGGCATGTAAGCTTGATTATGAAAACCATATTGAAACTCTTCCAAACTTGAAAATGTTGCTTCCATTTACATTGTGATTAAAATTCTACTGTAATATCTTTGAAAGAAGAGAATATTTATAAATAAAAAGACTACTAAAAAGTAACGAAATTTCATTTCCAGCATGTTTGGACCTTCACACATAATTTTCATCTGAGCAATAGCTATATGTTACGCACACAAACACAATCATGATTGACAACATATTATAGTTTGTCAAATATCTGCTGCGCTTAAAATGCATCATCCTGCTGTTCAACATTCGAAGAGAGTCCTCTTTCTTTCATTGCTTTCAATTTCGCTTTTTTCTCTTCCATATGCTCTTCTTGTTGTTTTCGCTGTGCTTGCAATATTTCTTCAACAGACACTTTTTCAAGGTTCAAGTCACTTTCATTGTCCATTTCTCCATCTACTTCTCCGAGGAGAACGACATTTTCACCTCGGACAACAAATATTCCTCTTGGTATATCACCATATTTTTTACCGACATGTATTCGCTCAATAGTCCGGTGAATTACCAAGTTAGCAAACTGATCAATGCTTCGTAATATCCCAATAAGAGTTCGACCATCTCGCAAAACCACAAGTTGTTTTTTATCAATTTCTTCAATCAAGCTTGCTGTTCCAGGCATATAATCCATAATTACACTAATATGCCTGCATCAGATATTATATTTTTAATACTGTTCACAATACCAGCATACCACAGATTTCCCTGAAAATACAGAAATGACACTTAAAAATGAACGTGCTGACAGCAGTCACAAATAGGCATAGTCACACACATAGGCAGCAGTCACAAATAGGAAGGAAGGAAGGATTTACATATTTATCCCAGGGGAGAGGAAAGCCAATAAGACAGCTTAGTCATATGGCGAACCACGGCCTCTCGTACGGTTACCGGTCCAGGTCGGGTATGGGATTAGTTAGCCAGTTATTTGTTTTCAGAAGCATGGACTTGATGGTGGAGGAAGCCGTAACCGACCAGTGGTTACGTGAACCACCCTACGGCGGTGGGGAGTCTAGCATTCACACATGATCATCCCCGCATGGGATTCGAACCTGCGAATCCACGAAGGGTAATCAGAGATGCGGTGGCGAGCGTATTCCTAACGCTTAGCACGATGCGCCACACTGCTGAGCCTTATAAATAAATAAATATTAATACCTCTTTGGGTACACCTAGTACAACTACAAAATACCCACGATATAAATATAGCGGTATAAACATCTTCAACACTTGTATAACAACAATGTATCACAATAATTGGCAATTACTACAATTAAGACTAGACAAATTATGACTAGTAAAAGCACTGGAAAGGACATTAGACAATTATGGTACCCTCGTACCCAATGGTATAAGAATAAGTTTATTTCGACTCCATAATCAGCAAAATAGGCGATAAAATAATAGATAAAAACAAAAATAACTGATTATAGAATCGGGAGAGTGAACAAAACTTTGAGTAAGGTTTGAAACGTACAGATTTTAGATGGAAAGGTATTGATAAAAGAAGTAGTACGTTTTCGCTCACCCAAAAGAAAAAAAATTAATTAAGGCACGCACCCACACACACAATCATCGAGACATGAAACTGTCGGAAGTGAAAAAAGGAGACTTAAAATCAATTAAATGGTATTGCTAACCAATTGAAACCACAAATGTCGAAAAAAAGACTATCTAATTTTCTTCAATATCGTATTTGGGACGAATATATGAACGAACTTCAAACAATCTCCCATTTCAAACAATTTAACCAGGTGCTTTTTTTCAATTTTAGCCCAGTCTATCCAACTATCGCAGCTTTTTCGTGACTGATTTTGGATTGCTGCATCTAAAATAAAACTGCTCGGAAGACCGTACTGAGTGCTGATTGACCATTAAATTATTTCTGGCTGACCGGTACCTACCCGACATAGATTCACTGTCTCATCGGTCTACTTCTCTGTATGAAAATATGTGAATACTATCCTTTACATTTTACAACCGGTTCCCGTACATTTGAACCCACGCTTTGCACCTGCATACTATTGCACCTATGAAATTTTTTTTTGATTCACATATATTTGAACTCATACTAACCCTAACCCATGGGTTTTAGCATCCGGATATAGATTGAACCCGCGGGTATACGCATGGGTTCAAATGTACGGTCACTTTTACAACCATGTTAGCAAATCTGTACCTACCAACTTATGCTTATAACCACCGACGGTGTCGGAGAGCTCAGTCGTCAGTCTAGCAGTCCTCTGGCATATAATTACGGTACCGGTGTGCGCAGGGGTTTAGAAATGCTATTATAGCAAACGATTCGGAATGCAAAGCAAAATTAATCACAATATTATGCGGAAAATCAACAATTTGGGAATATCGAAATTCAGTAAAATATGATGAAATAGATAAAATGAAAAGTAGTATGCGTTCAATTTTCAAGTGTAAACTGGTAGGGATTTTAAATTTACTAAAAGCAAGCGAAAGAAATGAATTATTGTTATATGAGCACATGGATGATCTTTTACATAGGTCAATCATGATGTAAGTTTATATGCAACACCATACTCTGAAAATTATTGAAAGTATGTTATCTGTACATCATTTTCATAAGAGGAAGATGTATCGACTATGAAACATAGATGGCGAATGGGAAAAACCCAATATGAAAGCGTGGATTTTTCCATATTCTCTGTCTAATTTTTGTATTCTTGTATTTTTCATGCTAACTAAAAAATTAAAATAAAAACTGATTACCTGTGAATTAAAATTATATTCAACTAACTGCTGAGTGGATTACATGTCAGCATGTGGATTAACTCAACTTTTTTGGACATATATTGGATTATATTAAATTAATGACATCATGGTAATGGTATGAATTTTGTCTTTATTTTGATTTTTACTATTCATATGTATTGGGGGGAATGGGATTAAATTAAAAAATGATAAACAAAAACATGGAAACAAAAAAAAATATCTATTTATATATTTATAATAAAATGATTTGATACCAAAATATTAATACGAAAATTCCGTTTGGCATTGGAATTTATTTGGCACAAAAAAAAAAAAGTTTAGAAATGCTAGAGGCGATAAGTACTAGACTATATGCAGATACAGAGCATCCCGAGGAGGAAGAAAATGGGATATACGGTACCGTACCGGTACAGTAGCGTAGGTATTGTAGGCTACCAGCCTACCGGTACCTATTTTTTCTAACTGCCGGTATGAATCTTATCATGAACATTGTCCTACTGCAGTACCGTACGGTACCGGTACCTACTGTCCTGAAGTAAAATTTTATGACAAGTCTCGCTTTTTTCACTTCCGACTTTACCGTACGGCATCATGTCTCGATGCTTGGGAGTCTGGTATAGTTTAGTACCGTACCGTCTCATATGCACTTCTAGTTGGCCCGGCTCAACAATTTTCGCATATGTCAATCCTATTCCTAACCCTCTCCTGACTATGTCACCCAAAAATTACATCATTTCGACGTCACAGTGGCGTAATAAGGCCCACCAAAGTATGCGAATGGTCGTCCAAAGTGCGCAGACGATCACCCGAAATCGAGCAAGCTATTTCTCTCGTTTTCTTGCCACAATTATCACGATAGGAGAGAGATTGCCGGCTTTAGCGAGTTCGTTATCGGCGGCGCAGATGCCATTTCGGGCGATCGTAATCATACTTTGGCAAGCCCTACTGCCCTATGACATGATGGTGACGTAATTTTTAGATGGCATAGCCAGGTGGAGGTTGGGAATAACATATGCAAAATTCGTTATACTACGCCCACTGGACTGCTGGAAGTGCTTGTGATACTAAACTATACTAGACCCGATGCTTGTATGTGCGTGCGTGCCTTAATTAGTTTTAATACTTTTGGGTGAGCGAACATGTACTACTTCTTTTATTAATACCTTCCCATCTAAAATCTGTATGCTTCAAATCTTACTTGAGTTTCGTTTGCTCTCCCGATTCTATAATCAGTGTTTTATATTTTGTTTTTATCAATTATTTTAGGTCTACTGCTGATTATTGGAGGCGCAGTTCTTACCACTTCATGGCAGCCCCTGCCACGAACGAACCGCGGCAGCTCTTGCCATGGTTTTATAGCGCTATTCAGTATTCAGTAATCAGTATTAACGGTATATTCACAAATTAATGTACCAGATTTTAATTGATCATGTGGAATTATATCTACTTAAACCCTAACCCTAACCCCAAATCAATCAAAACTGTATCCATAAGAAAAACGTTCCAACTTACCTAATATTTGTCACCATAATAGACAGCCCTGTCTTTACGGCCCACCTGCCGCGGTTACGGCAGCAAAATTCTACCTGCCATTGGTTTTCAATTTGCTGCCGCGGTAACGGCAGCTCGACATTGGTTTGTGGCAGCTAAAAAGTCAGTTGCCATGAGTTTGGCCGCTACGATGGTTTTGCGGCAGCTGCAGATGCCACAGAATACTTAAAACTGCACTTGGATTATTGAGTCAGAATAAACTTATACTTATAATCAAGATTATGCAATACCGTGATGATTTTCCCAATTACCGGTTGGCTTCAGAAGAACAGACGATATTTATTATATCCTACCTCAGAATGGATTTTCCTCTGTCACAATCTATGTTTTTGATGAGCGGTTGGCACATTGCAGCAGATGCTAAGTACTGTATTAGATTATACCTCTGATTACTGGATTACCTTGTGTGGGTTCACAAATTCAAATCTTGTAGGGTGTAGTTGGGTATAAGAGAATTGCTGGACGCATGCCATTGCAGGGTGATTTAAGCATAGTTGGTGGATTGCAGCTCCCTCCACCATTAAGGCCGGGGTTTGTCATATGATAAGGCTGTCTTATCGGCTTCCCTCACCACCCTTGGGACAAATATGAAATTCTTATTCTATTACTGTATTATATATATAGTGAATAATCTCAAACATTCTATTACAGCTCAATTTAATATTATAAATACTGTAAATCTTCAAACTGTGTGGATGAGAGCTACCTCTCACAATCTATTTGTATTTGGTTAAATTTTATCAAAATATTAATGTCACCCCGACTTCATGTTTCGTAAATTTGCTTCTGGTATAGTTTGGAGTACACTGGGAACTAAGAATATGGCAAATTTGTCAAATAACAACTCATGGAAAGAAGGAATTTTAAGAAAACGAAAAGGCAGAACTCCTGATAAAATTAAAAGATTTAAAAGCAGTGCCCTCAGAAGTTCATCCATCGAAGGGAAAAAACAATGTGAAAAAAGATTTTTGACTGAACCAACTTCTTATTTTGCATCGAAACGATTGAGACTCTTGTCAATTCAAAGCGCAAACCTTGCTCTTGCGAACTGCAGGATCTTAGCAAAACCAGAGCATAGTGATGGGAAAAATTCATCTTTGTCAAATATACTTGTTGCACTTGATTGTGAAATGGTTGAATGTCAAGGTGTCACTAATTCACTGGCTCGTTGCTCAATTATTAACTACGATGGACAAACTGTACTTGATTTGTTTGTAAAGCAAACTTTAAGAGTCGTTGACTATCGAACTCCTCATAGTGGAATGACTAAAAAACTACTGAATAGTGACACTTGCGTTACCTTCCTAGAAGCACAGAAACAAGTTAAAAAAGCCATTGAAGGGAAACTTCTTGTTGGACATAGTATTCATAACGATCTCACTGCTTTAGAGATGAGTCATCCGAAACAACATACAATTGATATTGGTTATGGTTCTGCAAGAAAATTAATCGACCAATACAGAGAAAAATACTCATTATGTTTAAATAGATCTTCTTTGAAATTTTTTGCAAAACAGTTGCTCGATCGAAAAATACAACACAATCGCCATTGTTCTGTAGAAGATGCAACTGCCACGTTGGATATTTTCAAATTAGTTGAAAATGAGTGGCTCGCAACTCATAGGGGTGTTCTTGATAGTTCGATTTTACAAGAAGATTCATATTTTGAAGATAAATATTGGCCGAGCCATATCATGAATGAATGATAGGTTATTGTTAACACTACAAATTAATAAATTCCATATTCACTTGAAGTTTATTAAGGTCATATTTAGTATAATTTTACATCAATTCATTCGTTTTAAAATTGGTATTCACTCATTTACTCTATAGTTTATGTTTGTATTTGATTTTGACAGTCGAATTGTATGCATACAATATATCATACCTACAACCCAGACATGTTATTGGAAAAATATGAATTGTCTCTAGATTGCAGTTTGCTCTTTTAGGCAATGAGTTGTTTTCACACCTACACTCAAAGCAAAGCTCTTGAGAAGCAGTTAACAGATATGTGAAAATATTTTCTGAGAACTGGACACTTTCTCATCAAGCAAATGGCAAAACATATGTTTTCCGCATTGTATATCATATTTATATATATCTGTGGTGTATGATAGTATTTGAAGATTGGAAACAAGGCTGTTAATGTGGAAGTAAAAATGTGTGGCCTGTATTTTTGTCTAGTTAATAAATATTTTATGCTATAGGACAACTATTAACAAAATATGCATATCAGACTTACCTGAGTTTAGGCTTTGTACTTTGCATGTATACATTTGGCAAAGGGAGTTTTCACTGTTAGGAAATTGTATTTTCTGTTTTCATTTATGACGTTTCGTGAACATCAGTTTCCAAGAACTGCCAGCTAAATTTTTTGATGATAAATTTCAGACTATTTATTTGTTATATAAAAATGCATCCAAATCTTTCCCCGCATCTTCATACTCCAGAATGCAATGAAAAGATCTATGCTCTTTTGATGTGCAGAAAACAGGTATCTATTATTTTGTGATAAATACAATACAGGACCATTTGGTGATTCATTTATTGAGGTCCTTGATGATAACCAATAAGAATAACAGGAAAGGTGTTCATAATATTTATTTACGAAGTGACAATATTCAAATTTTTATTTTCAGCATCCGTTCAAGCAATATTTTGGAGCATGTAACCGTGCTGATCATGAGATGTTAGCTTGCTTCAGGAGGGAGGTATGATAATAGATTCTTACGGTAGTTTATTTTACAGACAGTAATAATATAAATGAATTAAATGTTACTTGGATGCCTTTTTGTAAATCCTTTGTTGGGTGTTTTAGAAATAACTTCCTTCCAAAATTGCATCAGATGGACAGACTCGAGCATAGATTGTATTTGATCTTTGTTAGAGAAAATTAATCTAGGTAATTGTATTAATTATGAACCTTTCGTATTTTATTTTAAATAAGATACTTTTCAATAACCATTAAGTTTTACATTTCATAACAATGGCATTAAGAATCGGATGACAATTTTCATGTTCGGTTTCTTGTCTTTGCAAAATTATGGACTCTTTCGATCCTTCATGTATATTTGCGAACCCCTTTTAATAAAACTAGTCAACAGATATATAAATGGTCTATATGTGAAGCAATGTTATCAGCTCGTAAAAACGGCTTTGAAATCAGAGAATGTTATAAGATGTCCTTCCCTCAGAAACTTCTTGTTTAAATGAGATTCTCAGAATAAACAGTGTCAATCTTTATGTTAAATCCAATAATCTTTTGAGAAAAATCTTGCGTTAACCCATAACCTGGTTTCTATAGGTTCCAATATGGGGTGTACTAGGGCAGTGGCTCCCAAACTGTGGGTCACGACCCCGGATGGGGTTGCGTGAAGATTTGCCGGGGTCGCCTAATTTCTGTCAAACATGCACACATAAGTGACTGAGAATTGGATTTTGACTGGATTTTTCAGCAATAATTTGGCCATTTTTTGTCCAAACGGCGCCGAAAATGCTTATTAAAACTTTCATGTAGTACTCAACCTTTCCTGCTGGTCGGCAAGTATTTGTTTATTATTTTGTGCAACGGAGAAGTTGAACGGTGTACTTGGCAGTCTAAATTGTTATTACTGGCTTACTATCTTTTTGGTAGGGAATATATGTTAACAATTTTGGCATCATGGAAAACTAGAAATTGAATGCTGATTCTATTAGCCTAGGTTGGCTATGCCAGATAACTAAATATTAATGTTATGGCCTAACAATATAATTCATGCCGGGTGTTTTTTGCAACCAGCAGTATTACAAAAAATGCTGCCTAGATGTCAAATAAATTAGCAATTACGCTCCTGTACCTCACATTTGGTAATCAATCTATCTGGAGTTATTTTGTAAACATGAGTTCGAAAAGAAAACTGACGAATTCCAGCAGATTTTAAACTGGATGTGGAAGGGAAAATACCACAATGCTTGCTTGATATGTCGACAAGTTGTGTCTGTGACGAAATAATATAATTTAAAAACGACGTTTTAGAATCTTGTGAGCAATGAGCATTTCACAAAGCATTTGCGGAAGTCTTTTTTCAGTTATGAAGAGTTAAAATCTTACGCTAAATTTAGATATAAAAGGACTTTTGCTGGTTTTTGCATGATAAACACTGATCAATGTGTTTGCACATTAAAATTGTTTGTTTGGCTATTCCTTTTGTGGCCCCTTGAGCCGACAATCTTGGATCACCCTGTTCTAGCACTTATAAAATGTGATTCCGTACACTTTTTTCCCTATTTTATTTACTCTCATGCTCTGTTTTATTGTCGAATTAATAATAGAGCAATCTGTAATATATTAACATTGAACTTAAAATAATAAAGACACTGATTGACTATGCTAAATAAGATTTTGAATTTATGTATATTCAGAAGCAATCTTACTATTTCCGAAGCATGCTATTTCCGCTTCCTTACAATCTGCCACATTTTATCAAGTTCGTCTATGTTTCGCCAATGATTCGTTATAATTCTGATTGAAGAGATATTTACATCATGGTTTTCATACGATGCCATGTGTTTCCGAATCTTCTGAGGATTTCCGACGCATTGCGTTCGTATATTTTTTTGGGACAATGTTCACCGTCAACATCCACTTGCAGTCGATATACAGGTACATTGTTCCTGTTGAGGCAAGTGAAACTGATATATTGATTTTTGAGGTTGCTGAACGTTTCCAGTTGTGGCGTCGCGAGTATATGTAGGCTCTGATTTTATGAAAATTGGGTTCGCGAAAAAAAAAGTTTGGGAACCACTGTACTAGGGTATTGTGTACTGAACTGCAAGTCTTTTCTCCTTTACTTTCTTTTATAGGTTCGCTTGATATATCTTTTCACATGAGTAAGGCAACAATGTTTAAAGTAGTTTTTTCCTTTCATCTTATGCATGTAAACCCCCAATTTTTTTTTGCGGACTATTTTTGGTCTATTGAGCACTGAACTAGTATGTTGTTTTTAATCTCAGCTGCGGGATAGAAGAAAAGCAAACTATGAAATGTATGCAGAAAGAAAGAAATCAAAAAAGAAAGTAGATTATGGCGAATGGAATTGGGATAAATAACGAAAGAAGTGGATCTGCAGATAACATCATAGTGGATTGTTTCACTTGGGAATTTAAGCTTGGTTTGATTCTTTCACTGTGTTAACTGAAAAACTCTGTCAACTGCTGTTCATGGCCCAATGTACATTCCGTGGACTGGTAGTTTTGAGTTTGCCTCTTGGCTGGAATGACTCCAAGAACATCTTTAATATTGTGTTTGATCTTAAAATTGCTACAATGGAGTGGGTATTTATATCACAAGAAAGGTTGACGACATAATCTACAGCCCGCCTTATCTTGTTACCAGTTTTGGGTAATTAACAGGTCAATTAGTAACAATTAATGCATGATTGATAGAAACCACAATGAATATATTATTGGTTAAATATTTAAAACACTTTTACATCTTTAGTATGCAAATATATTAATTTGAATATGCACTGTGTGATTTATTTTATTGACGGATGCTCTTCCTATCCAGTATTACTTGAGCTTTATATGTTTATCTCTATGGATGATGCGTATTCGTTGCATGGTGACCGTACATTTGAACCCATGCGTATATCCACGGGTTCAATCTATATGCGGGTACTGAAACCCATGGGTTAGGGTTAGTATGGGTTTAACTATCCGTGAAACAAAAAAAATTCCATAGGTGCAATTGTCATGGGTTCAAATGTAATGGAACCTCGTTGCATACTTGGAGAATCCTAGAACAGTGACCGTACATTTGAACCCATGCGTATATCCACGGGTTCAATCTATATGCGGGTACTGAAACCCATGGGTTAGGGTTAGTATGGGTTTAACTATCCGTGAAACAAAAAAAATTCCATAGGTGCAATTGTCATGGGTTCAAATGTAATGGAACCTCGTTGCATACTTGGAGAATCCTCCTAGAACGGTGACCGTACATTTGAACCCATGCGTATATCCACGGGTTCAATCTATATGCGGGTGCTAAAACCCATGGGTTAGGGTTAGTATGGGTTTAACTATCCGTGAAACAAAAAAAATTCCATAGGTGCAATTGTCATGGGTTCAAATGTAATGGAACCTTGTTGCATACTTGGAGAATCCTCCTAGAACGGTGACCGTACATTTGAACCCATGCGTATATCCACGGGTTCAATCTATATGCGGGTGCTAAAACCCATGGGTTAGGGTTAGTATGGGTTTAACTATCCGTGAAACAAAAAAAATTCCATAGGTGCAATAGCATACAGGTACAATTGTCATGGGTTCAAATGTAATGGAACCTCCTAGAACAGTCATATAACTGAGCAATGCTGAGGCCTGCTTAACTGATGAAAAGTACGTGGGATCATGATATGTATCGCTTTGGATCTAAAATGCAAACTGTATTCATTGAAAACTACTTCATATATTGCGACTTTGATTTCCTGCAAAGGAAGGAGCCTCTAGGAATTGTTCGAGTAAGTCAAATGTTACTTTACTCCACATCAGCATGAGAATAATCACGAACGATTGAGAATGCTCAAACAGCCTTAATTTGAGCGTGTGTACGGATGTGGAAAGTTTTGGAGTAAAAGAGTCGCTTCTCGAAAGGCTTGTCGCGGTTGTACATGGGGAAGTTGTATATATGAGGATATTTCGTCGCACCCCAAATCCGAGCAGTTGAATTTCAGTTTGAAGACCTGATACATGCTCTCCTGCACTAATGTCAACATACTCACCTTGACTGGTGACAGATTAGTTTTGGCGGACGGCTGAATAGGAAATTCGCATTCCATTATATACGGAATTATTTGATAACTAATATAACCTCCAAACAATATATTTCAATCTGTTTCGTACATGCGATGATAATAATGTTAACCTTTCGTCAGTTTTGTTGTTTCTCAACAACAAATACATTTGTTGTGATTGGTTGGCGGGCACACACACACTAATCTATCAAACTGCGCGTTCGCTGACTACGACATGTAATACGAGCGCTTTGTGAACCTCCATAGTTTAATATTTTAGTCCGTCAGAATCGGGCCTTAACATTGTTTTGGGACATAAAGTTTTTTTTTATTGTTTAGATATAATGTCGATGACATAAATAATGATACCCATGTTGATGTGGAGTATATAATGTTAAGCAATTTTTTTTTTAAGTGGATTTTAAATATTTGAACCAAGATGACACACATCCTGAACCCTAACCTGGTACACATACAGTGTTCAGGTTGTGCGCCATCTTGGTACGAATACTTCGGGAGCACCTTTTTGTTAAAAGCAATTATTTCATAACTACATGGTTTAGTTTTGCATACATAGTAACATTGAATCTCCTTACAATGTCAGAAATTCAATTTTAGTAGAATAAATGGTAGTTTATTTCACTAATATAGGCCGAGATCCATCGACAGCATCTAGCTACTTCTTTTTGTGCTCTCCAAACTACATTTGTATTGCCGCGCGCATTTCGTTTTCCTGCTTTATGCTTAGGGACTTGGAAAATATTTTATTAGTTGAAATGGATTGGAATATTCGACCTTGTCTTTCACTTCGAACAAGGCCATGTAAAACCATCCACTGGTATCTAACGATGTGAAACTATGTTTTCTTTTGGAAGAACCGGAACCTTCCAGGTGAAGCATTGACTCTGGTCAAATTAATATATTCTTGTGGAGATAGACTAGAGGGTATGCGTATGCGAAACCGAGATGTGCACCTGTTATGCCAACGTAGTTGAGTCAAACATTTTGATCACTAGTACATCACACACATTTTCCTGCGTGCTTCGGTTTTACGTAGTAACGCGCACATTTTTGCGCACATGCATCAAATTCCACTTGTTTATTGAGCCATAGGTTTTTGACGAGCTTTTGTGTATGATTTTATTCCATAGAATTTGTATGCTGTTCTAAAGAATACTAGTTTCAGCTTTTTCATTCACGCTAATATTTGTTTGCAATGCGATGAAATCCCATCCCATCCCATTTCTGCCTCTCGCAATTTCTGCGTGTATTTATCGGAGAAGTTCTGTGACGTGGTTATCAAATGAAGAAAACATGAAGTATTTTTTCTACTTCTCTACTACTCTCAAACCTTAACATTTTGTGGAAAATTTTTCCATTCAACCTTTTTTTGAAACACCCCCAACAACCACAATTAATTCTGTCATTAAACGTCCGAAACAAACACATAAAATCATCAACAGTCTCGTAAATACAGCACATTTGACTATGTTGTAGTGTAACTTTTTCAGCCTCACATTTTTGATATTTGTAGTTAGATCTCTTGTGTCTCTGTAAAACAAAGTTACATACAAAATGTTGGTTGTAAGTTGCAAAACATGATCATGTTGTTGGAATAACTTGGCATTGTAACACCTGTAGGCCTATATCATTCATTGTCGAGAATTTTAATGAAATCATAAAATCTGAAATCCGTTTTCTTCAATTTTTTGTTTTAGCTGAATTCGAGGGGACAGCATGACAACAGGCAAGAGAAGCACGGTCGCCTTTTTTAGTTTATGACAGGGTTTCTTAAAAGGGGACCCCGGCCTTCTTGGAGACCACTGATCGGTTATCTGGGAGCACAAACAAACAGATGGTAATTCGAATATATAGTAACAATGTCTTTTGATAGAAGAGAAAAAGCAAAAGTCTTTGGTAGTTTGAAAAGCATTGGCATGGAACATAAGAATGAACTACATTCTTTTACAGGGATATACTATAAAATGTAGCAATTTTCTCATTCTTGTTTTCGTGATAACATTATCTTTCACTGCATCGTCGTGATCATCCCACTGCATAACAATCCTTGCTAACAAATAATTGACTGTTCTCCACCGGGTGTATATCCACTTGAACCACTGCAGACTGCATTAGCAGGCTTGTTTTGTTAATTGCAATAAAAGCGGGCATTTTAAAATTGTACTCTATATTTTACGCGTATGTTTCAACAGTTTTATATATATTTGGGTCGCGACCCAAGCTGGGTTCAACAAATACCTAAAAGTTTTTGATTTATTTAATTTCCTAGAAAATTTGGTGCTTGCGTAGTTTGTGCACCACGATTGCGCACAACCTGAACATAGTATTGTAACAGGTTAGGGTTCAGGCTGTGCGCCATTATGGTGCACAGATTTGGCGAAAAACACTAATACAAATATCAAGCCGTAAAAAAATTGCTCAAACTCCACACCCATGTAGAAATGATGGGTAATGACCCCAAGACGAAAACTCACAAATAAGAAAAACTTTATGTCTGAAAACAAAGTTGGGCCCAAAGAAGCTCCTTACCTGCTGGACTATTGTCTTGGCAAGTTTAAAAACAAGTAGGTTGAAATTTTTTTAATGCAGATCGGAAATTGAGCATGTTTGAAGACAAAATTCCGTACGATAACCTAATTATTGATGGAAATAAAAAATATGTCCATGGTTGGTAGATATAGTTCTGGAACAATGCTGAAATCATTTACTTTACATTGATTTGGTAATGTGTGAATGTTGCTGACAAACAACATCATGAAATTATTAATTTTAGGGAAGTATTTTATTTTCCTTATTTTGCTAAAAGATCGTACAATTCATAGAGGATTGCCTACAGCAAGTTATTTGAACAACTAAATTACAGACACAACAGATCTACATACATTTAGCCACATACTGCTTGGAATTAAAAAAAAATGTTTTACAACTATTTTTCAATTTTGTAGAATATTTGCGACATTTATTGAAAATCCGGAAATGGGTCCTGTATCTTGCATTCACCAAGACAGGTATTAAAAGCATTATATTAAAATACATGCTGGAATTTGAATGCGCCAGAGAGAAAAACTTGCGTTACATGCAGGGACGTGTAAAACTTTACTGCTACCCGGGGCGAGTTTCTCATAAAATGCCCCTCATACCTAACTTCAAAAATAATAAGAGGGATAAACAAATTATAAATGTTATTATACATGAGTATTTATCAGGGACGAGTGAAATATTTGTAATAATATTATTTCAATCATCTAACTAAGCAACAAACTCACCCCCAATTAGTGCTTCTCAGGGCGGCTGCCCATATGACCCCCACCTGGACACTCCCCTAGTTATATGTTACACGCAACTTTAGAAATGACCCTTTCCCAAACCAATCTTTAAAGCTGTTTTCGATGATAATTTGTAATGTATCATCTTGCAGAACACTTCAAGTTGTATTCAGAACAGAAAGTCGGACTTATGTTTTAGATTGGAAGTTTGACGAAATGTGGAGTGGGTGGAATTGCAACTCTTGGAGTTTTATGCTTGAAAGAAAAGTATGAGTTGGAAAAATAAAAATACATACCGTATTATGTTGATGATAAATCTTGCTTTGCACTTGATTTTTAACATTGTGAAATGTAAATAGGGTTGGGCGTTTTAAATCAAATAGTAAATTTTCGGAATCGGTCCGGAAAAAAAATTCGAATCGCCACCATCTTTTTTTTCGTTCACTAAACTAAGTATTTGAAAATGCCCAGCTCTAAATGCGAACAAATGTTTATGGAATTAGAAAATATCAGCGACGCAACTAAGAAGAGGATTCGTATATTGACGCGTATATCCAATAGTTTCACATGAGCCTAGTTTAACACATATATATATATATGGTTCACAGTGAAGATCGGTATCTGAAAATAATAACATGAACGATGTTCGGAGAGTATAGTAAACATCGAAGGTGTATATTTTCATGATATGCTGTAGTCCATGCATCAATTTTGAACTGCGTGCTAGTGCGGGTAATCATTACAAAAATCGATTGAATCTGTGCACATCTGTGAGTCTCTTATTGCGAAATCCCCATCATTATCTAGAAAAAAAACTAGTACGACAATCGTTATCAATGGTTCATCTTATCAAGACTATTCAATAGATCTCAATCTAGCGATATATATATATAAATATATTTGGACATTTTCTATCAATAAAAAAATCTGTAGAAGCGGATTTTGCTCGCTGTGTAAACAATTATATATATATATATATAGCAAACATTTATGATCGGGAAAGAGAAAAAATTGGTCAGCAATATTTTTACATAAATTGGAAAAAAGAGCCTTTTTCGGGACTCAGAGAACATATAGACCATTTCGTTGTGTAAAGTTGAATAATGCCATTTTCAGTATACATGCTATTGACATCGTAAATACCTGGTGGTGAGTTATGAGATTTATGGTGAGTTAATTTGACATTAGTGTTCTTCAATAATACTTGGAAGATTCGTTTTGTCACATATCTTTTTCACTGCTAGCTTCAGTTTATATATTTGGCATTCTGACAAATGGCGTCGTTATTTTGGTGAGTTATTTGCGATGATGTACTGCAATAATACTCAAACTTGGCAATCTTTAGCGAATTTTTAATGTGTCATGACAAATGATTTTTTCCATTTTTTTTGTGTTTTAGTAATATTGTTTTTTATTATTATTGCGGTTGTGCGTGTGTAAACTAATGAATTTCAACATATTTTTTCAAGCGAATCAGCACAAAACTAACTTTGGGGCAAAACCCTATCAAGATTTTGTACGTTTAAAGCTCCGTCGAAGGTTTCCTCTCCCGGTTCTGTCATTGGTTTTTATAGGTTAGATTTTTACTCCTGGTATGCTGATTAGTTGAAATAAACTTATACTTGTTTCTGCTTGATCTGACGCTGACGATAGACTCCATGAATTGGCCAACTACTGAACTTCCCTTCCCGTGCAATAACTGGAGCAGATTCTGGTGTCATCTCAAACTATGCTACCAGCCGATTGAAAATTACCACACGAATTCTCATTTACATTTATCATAAAGAAGAAAATGAAACACAAATGTTCATGATAAGACCAGTGAATATAACTACCTCGGTGGCGTTGAATAAACGAACGAAAATACCTCAAAAAATTATAATAAAATGAAAAAAATATACTGTTTTAGACAACAAAATGCACCAAGATTCGTAATACAAATGGACCCACCAGCAAAGATCGAACTCGCGCTCCCTGATTTACAAGACTGCCCCAAATATTCTAATAATACTCGAGTATGGGTAGACGTTAACAGCGCAGACATCCGAAAGGTTCAACAACTCCAGGGGTCGGCAACCTCTTGTCGCTCGCGGGCCAAAATTAAAGGTTGCAAGTCATTGGCGGGCCGCACATATTAATAGAATGTTAAAAGTCGAATAGATTATAGATGACCGATGAATCACATTTTATCACACAGATCAGAAGTTAAATTTTAAACAGCGCGCGAAAACTGACAATTTGAATATTTTTTGCGCCATTAAACCATTTGCACTTAGACAACTTTTCTGCATTTTGTTGTCATTTGTCTAAATTACAATTAAATTATAGGCTTATTAAACGAGTAATTGTGAATTATATACTTGTAACTGTATAATATAATTTAGTCTGCACGTAAATTCTTTTGCGTAAAAAATATAATCGACAAAACAGCTATAATTTGTTACTATACAACATGCAAGCTTACAACATGATAAAGACATTGTTATTACTATTGTACAAGGTATGACTATTATATGTTACTCCATGGGTAGTCAATATTTTAATTTTTTTTAATTTCTTTAATCAATAAGTTATTACAATACACAGGTAAATAAATATTAAAAACTACAAAAGTAAACTTCAACAGAACATAAAAATACTGCAACCAATAGATTTCTTTATACCGTGCTCATTTTAAAACCAATTTGGGATGGTTAAAAAAACTAAACTGAAGAGTACATCAATTTAAATATTATAATGTAGCACGAAGCTGATAATGGATTCCAACTCTTGGGAAAGTCTTATTCTTAGATAAAAATTGCGTGAATATTGTTGTGCGCGATTGAACAAAATCGCGGTCGCTCACCGTAATCATTAATTTTAAAAGCTCACCTCGACATTTGGCAAAAAGTATTAACCAGCACACTTAAGACCAAGCCGTTTAAATTAAAAAAGTAAATTTTTTGTTAGTGAAGATAAAATTGATATATTAAATATATAACGAAATAACCGATTACTAACGTAGCTCGCATATATGAATAATTGAAATGATTTGGCGGTATTAGCAGTGATTATTTATTATATCTGCAACAAAAATTCAAGTGGATCGTCGAAGGGAAATGAAAGTTCGCGCGCTTTAAACTAAGCAGCAAACCCACCCATATGACCCCCTCTAGACGTCCTTGGTTGTGGGACTGTAGTTTTTATCAGTATAATGCCGTACATGCATCACACCCACAAGCGAAATGAATTACGCAATGAAACAAATAAAAAAGCAACGCAATAGCTCGAAAATTCGACGACATATCATGCATGATTGACAGTTTTATATCACTCATAATTTTTAAGTTTACAAACAGTTCACTTTGGTGACAGAAGTGTGTTACTTTTAGCTTCGACTTCCTTCTTTATTTCCGCAACAATGGCTAATCAACAGAAGTTGGACGTGACCAAAATTTGAGATTCAACTTTTCGCTCACACACTTTTTGATCGGATGACCTTGAGGGTTGAAACAAATGTTGCCCTGTTTTGATGGTCCTGGGTTTTCATTTACATATTTGATAGTGCTGCAGTCTGCCTATTCCTCTGTCTATTTCAGGGATAGATTGAATACTCAAAACTAACGTTCTTCTTCAAGTAAACTCGGCACAGCAGTGATCAGACAAGACTGAAATCAGCTATTGGTGCTTTAATAGCTGCTGCACTAATATTCTAAGGGTACTCCCGAAGTATGTGAACCAAGATGGCGGAGACCGGAATGTAGTATGTGTACCAACTACCAGGTTAGGGTTAGGCCACAATTTCAGGTACAAATACTACGGGAGTCACTTGGCTAGTCCCCGAACTCGTAATAGATTTAAAATTAGAATAAAATTAAAAATTACTAAAATTGGAATGAAATTATGGCCTAACCCTAACCTGGTAGACATACTACGTTCCGGTGTCCGCCATCTTGGTCCACATACTTCGGGAGTATCAGTTAAAGTCAGAATGGTGGGATATACTTTCAAGTTTAGACCAGTTTTTCTCGAGATATTGGAAGAAATCCACAGGCTTGGCAGATATACAGCGGGCGAATGTAGTATGCTCTATCCGTCTAGCTATCGCATTTGTTGTATCCAGTCTTGTAAAATAAATAGCAGCAGCTAAAGAATTCAAGACGCTCACCGTCTATGGAGCTGATAAATACCGTTGTCAGCCCACGTTTTACTTGTTCTCCTGCCTAGCTATATACCTCATAATATATTTCACAGTTTCGGGGTCCATCCATCTTTCTTTTAAAGCAATGTATTCGCACTGATTGACGTGCTTCAGTCTCGATCTTTGTGAATTTCGAATAAGTTCTTTCGTCGTCATCATCGCCTGAAATGCATACCGAGTGATAATAATATAGGATGTCAATAAAGTCCTGACATTTTTTAAAATTTTCAAGGGAATTAATCGATACCATATTTTGTTTTGGCCCTCACAGATGTATTAAATGAAGAAAAATACTTGAATAATTGCTGATTAAAAAACAACAAACCTGGTTAAGATATATTGACAACTGACTTCATACCAAAATTTTGAATTGTAGAGAAACTTTATGGACCCTGTATATTGCTGACTTACTATTTTATCAAGTTATACCTCACGAAAGACGCGATAATTATTTAAATAAGCATTTTCTCAACAACGGACCTATTGTAACTTGGCTGAAGTTTCCCGAAGTCACCATTATGATAAAACAAGCGATTATTTCGAGAATCTACTTTGCTAATATACAACCAGATCTCGGAACTTTTCTTCAAAGGCATATCGGTCTCTTCACGAATAGATAATCAGATAGGTCACTCAAGAAGAGCGTAATTCCCGACACCAGCGTAAATAAATTCATCCTATTAAAATAGAACTTCTTAATATGTAGCAGAAGAGTCAGTCGACAGCGATGTCATGAGAAATGATGTTTTATCCCGCTTATAATATCTTTCCAGAAATAGAAACGAGGCGCTTTTTCGACAGGTCGCAGGATATAGGAAAAGCGATGCTTATTGCAAACAATAAAAGTTGCTCTCCAAGAGGTGTTAAAATTGATGCGATTGATTTATGTCCTGAAGCTATTTCAAAACTTATCCCTAGACCAGATGAAAAAAGTGGACTGGTATCTTCGCAAATCTGGACTAGAAGTGGAATTTGGCTACATATCAGATCGTCCTTTGTAGTCGCACACCATTACATGACCTAATGCCAGATTTGTCAAACCCCAGTAGTAAATCGAGAAAACGAATAGACACGACAGGTACGCAGGTACCGCAATGGTAGGGGAACCTAAGGAACAAGGCCCCCTATGGATGTTTCCCCGAGCATCAATTTCCTTGTTTATTTCCGTAACAATTACAAAATCAGCAATAATTGGAATTTATGACGCCGCTCAGACACTTCTTTTGCTCAGATAGATATTCAAGCGTGGTTGTAAGCATTGCCACTTCTTTGAAGTTTTGCGTGTTGTTTGTCGAGTTGTGCTTCCAAAAAATAGTTGCAAATCAAATAACTTAATTGTCATTGTGTCTTCCGAGGACCTCGAGTTTAGTTGCAATAATCAAGCGCAAAGCTGCGATAGACTAGCCCAGGGTGGTCCAAACCCGGGCCCGCGGGCCACATGTGGCCCGCCGCTTCATTATCTGTGGCCCGCCGCTTTATTATCTGTGGCCCGCTTCGCATTCGGAGAGGAATTAAAAAATCGCATTTCGTATTGTTTATTTGTTTCGTCATAAAATTAACCAAATAACTTTTGACATATTGTCACATCACTATTGTCACTGAATTGACTAGTGTTGTGGCTTGCTGAGGCAACTAGCGAAGTTGAACGAGCGAAGTTCTTGGCGCTATTGTGGCCCGCGAACATTGCAAAAGTAATTTTGTGGCCCGCGGAACTGCCAATCTTGGACCACCCTGGTAGCCTAGAATCAGCTGTCAGTAACTATACCGATGAGTGGCACGTGGTTTATTGTTTTGAATGAAAATGATAACTTTGAACATGTGAGCAAGTTTGTAAGCGCCAACTTTTCAAAACACTATCGGAATCAGCGTTGCAAATTTTGCAATGATAGAGTTAGGGAAGAATCTTTCGGGCGTTAAGGGTCGCGGAAACGTCCATTGTGCGCTTAGATATGTTAGCCTTCAAGCTGTTCACTCATGAGGACTAGAACCAGTTTTCACCTTCTTTGAAACTTCGCTAGATGCAATGCGCCCAGGGAACTCTTTGGCGATTCTTGTTTTATATATATATTATTTTTTCGTTCCAATCTCAAAAAAAGAGACAACGTGCTAGGTATGTTTTGATTTGTGAAGTTGTTGTGTTATTTTGTGAACGAAGAATACTATTATTATGGTGCTTTGTGTACATTACGGAATCACAAGATGTAAGGGTGTTCATAAAAACACGCTACAGCTTCAATTTTGTTATGAAGTTAGTTCTCAATGTATCTTAACCAGGTTTGTTGTTTTTTATTCAGTAATTGTTTAGGTATTTTCAATTCATTTTATACATAAGTGAGGGCCAAAACAATATATGGTATCACTATCAATAAATTCCCTTTGTAATTTTAAATTTTTTTCAAGACTTTATGGACAACTTATATATTTATTGATATCAACTTAAATGTAGTGAAACGGGGGCGATTCGCGGAGTATCAGTAAACAATGCCTCAATACATCCGTTAGACCTATTACATGGACGTGGGATTCAATACCGTTCGGGATGTTTGATATTATTGTTGAGAGATATCTCATCCTTTCTTGGAAATTGGGCATCAGATATCAAACAAATAGGCCTAACGTCTTATTTTTGTTTTTCTTGTATATACATGCGGCAAACTAAATCTAAACTAGGCGGGAGCGCTTTTCGCGCATTCCCGATGTATTTGCAGAATATTAATAAGGACAAGTAATAACTTGAACTCTTCTTGCGGTTATGAAAATCGTCTCTGTGAGACATTTATACATCAGATAATCTGGGCCTTATTGTTGAATTGTTTGTTTGAGAATATAGGTTTATTTATAATACTTCTAGCAAACATCACTGCAAGCGTGTTTCACTCGCTCAAGCATGCTTGCGTTTCATGCACAAAGAGTATATATGCCAGAACATAGATGACGTAGCCAAATTTCTACCGTTACACTAATTGACACAAATTTTAATCACCCGGTAAGAATGTTTTTGAAGGGAACGTTGTCGAATAGAAAACATCTGATGCAATAATCTCGAGCCTCTCTGTAAAATAGCTACTATGAGTTCTGTGGCACTCATTTCCCTAACATTTAAAGACATTTATACATTATATACAGTGCGCTGTGCGCGGTCAAATCATTTTACAGCACGCACGATCATGAAATCATGTCCAAAAATCCAAGTTATAATCGCACAGCGAGAATAACTCTTGATTGCGATTATTGAATATGTCACCTATTTTTTCTCGGCGCTGTTCGCACAACGAACCACAACCATTCGTTGGTATAACATATTTCTCAAATATCGTTTCATGTTGTGCAATAAGATAATCGCATAATTTTGGAGCGGAAGTGAAACTGATTTCGTCAACAGCAATGACTTCACGTATGAGCGATTTGAAAGAAGAATCTCTGAGATAACTTGTCAAAATATTTTTATTTCCTTCGGTAGTAATGAGAGATAATGTCATAGAGATATTTATTATTACGGCGTAAAAAATATAATCCGACGGAGTGGTTTTAAATATTTCCAGTTTTCTGACTCTCACACAAAGAAAACTAGATAATCATAACAACCACGGCTGTTATATGTTTAACATATCATTACTCATTTAAACATTTTTTTCATATAAATATCATGATGTTTTAAACCATACACCACCAAAAATAAATCATCTTATTTCTTATGGTCTCATATTATTCACATTGATAGCAAATCAAATGTGACAGCACAATATCAAAAAATTGAATTTTAAAACCTCTAATACCACATAAATGCTAAAATATTATCTTGTCTCGAAAGCCGGAAACTGAAGAAGTATATAGGAGTTTTACCTTGGCCCTAAAGAAATAGTAAATGTAATGGTACAGCAGAAGTGTATGTACCAATAGGGAGGCAACTACGGTAATTTTGTTCGCCTACTTTACATCAAGTTGTATAAAGGGACTGAAAGTCTGAAACCTATGAGCAGGGCGTGGGTATATTCACTTGACTAATACAGACAGTCGCCGAACTCGTAGTAGAAATAAAATGAGGAAAATCGTAATAAAATTATGGCCTAACCCTAACCTGGTACATATACTATGGGAGTACCAATTTAATTAATATAAATACCTAATAAATTTATTGAAAAAGGTACTCACGTCTCGAGACTTTGTCGTCATGTGTTTCAACATAGGTAGTACGTTTCTCCCTAAATGGTCATGAGTGTAGACTTCAGAAACCAATCCTGCGGCTTTCGCCTCTTTCGCCGTCAAAGTTACTCCATTAAGAAGCATATTATTCGCCTATGAATATCAAACTAAAATTCACTAACACTGGATTGAATGAGGAAAATACTATTGTGAATGTGGTCATCGAATTACCGATAACTGCATATATTTATATACCGTATTATAGAATTCTTTATGATTAACCATTCCTATTCAAATTCACTAACACTGGATTGAATGAGGAAAATACTATTGTGAATGTGGTCATCGAATTACCGATAACTGCGTATATTTATATACCGTATTATAGAATTCTTTATGATTAACCATTCCTATTCAAATTCACCAACACTGGATTGAATGAGGAAAATACTATTGTGAATGTGGTCATCGAATTACCGATAACTGCATATATTTATATACCGTATTATAGAATTCTTTATGATTAACCATTCCTATTCAAGCATAAAAGTAATCCACTACGTACACTTTAACACATATCCACTGTTACATGTTCTAAATTATAACATTGCTAATACCGTGTTTCCTCGAAAATAGTCCTCCCCTGGAAATGAGACCTCGCATGAATATTAAAAATGATCTTAATATAAGCCCTAGTCGATAGCGCAAATTTTTTTTGACCTAGTCGATAGCAAGAAATCGTTCCTACTCGTTTTAAAGGATTAATAAGCTATGTTTAGCAGTTATTTTAAATGAAAACGTGGTATTTATAAGTAAATGGATCTCGGTTTTCATATTTTGTATATTTGAAAATCTCGTTATTCTCTACATTGTAATTTTGTTTTTGAAAAATGAAAATAAAAGACATCCCCAAAATAAGCCCTAGTGTTATTTTTCGAAAAAAAAATTGAAATATGAATCTGTCTTATTTTCGGGGAAACACGACATTGTCAAGCTATTCAGTTTTTTAATCCGTTACAAGAACACTACAAAATACTCCGTGGTCACCAATCCATAATTCTAATATAAAAGTAACCCACCACCTTGAGTTTAACAAAAACAACTTTCTTTATGAAGCGGGTAAAAGGAAATTTTGTCATGGCTTATCTCACATCGCTGACAGGTGAATCTTACACAACTTATGTTACACACCAGTAATAAAATGTTGCGGTGACTTTATAAAATTTACCAAACGAATGAAGTATTGCTTTTTGCTAAAAACCTATGTGACTTTATAAAATTTACCAAACGAATGAAGTATTGCCTTTTGCTAAAAACCTATGTCGTCATGTCTCACATATGATATTTTCACACGATGCATGGATACCAATTCTCTTTGACTACAAGTTTGAGTAAATCAACTTACCAAAGAATGGCCTAACATCCTCGGGAAGATATAAGATGAACACGCTTCCGGGGTCTGTCCCATTTCCGTATATGGGGTTACAAAATATGCGCGTTCAGAAGCATACACAGTGTCAAAATGAGGCAATATAGAACATCCCAGACCAATTGCTGGGCCTTGAACTGACGCCGATATCGGCTTAGGAAAGTCGATCAGGCAGTTTACAAAATTTCTAAAGAAAAGTACGTCGATATGAAGAATTATTGAAGTACCGTGCGCGCACAAGTCACTCCACAAAAATCTATTGAAACATATACGGTCTGAAAAGTACTTAAAGTTAGGACTTAAAATGAAATATAAACTTTCCAAAAGTTGCATAATTGGGAACACAAGTAATTATGCTATACCAATGGATGTTTCCCTGATCATTTCCTTGTTCATTTCCGTAATTTTTCTGGGATCAAGGGCCGGGGAAAATCCATAGACGTATCCAAGATAGCGTTATGTAATAACCAGTGCGGAAAAGATATATGCAATTAATCTGCACGGTGTTGTTTGCAAACTTATATTCTTTATATGAATGAATGGAATTACAAACTCATCAAACAGTCGATTGACATTTCAAATATTGTCATTGTTAGAAATTATATTCATTTACAAAGTTCCAAAATCACGTTTCCAAGGAATAACGGAACGCAATAATCACACATACAAAAGTTCTATGCATTTCTCATTTTATTCAAATCACCAGAAAAGTAAAATTTATTAAAATAATGGCAAATGCAATTAACTTCTAGGTCTCGGTATAATAATTAGCATGTTCATTGAATACTCTGCAAATACCTGCGATTAAAAAAAAAAGTCCACTTACCTTATAGATGCAGCACAGTGTTTAATTAATTCCAAGACATTGGCATTGGTGTTGATTCTATCAGTAAGATATTTTAAATCAAACCCAGTACAAAAGTAATCGCCGACAGAACTGAACAAGACCAAAGAAGAACGAGGATTCGCCGCAACTGAATCCAGTAATCGTGTCATCTCGTCCAAAATCTAAATAGTTGCATCAACAAAATGTAGACTAAGGCAGTGGTCGGCAACCTTTTTTAAAGTGACGGACCGGTAAAGCCTGACCAAAATTTTGGCGGACAACCTTTATACAAACGAGCTAAGCTTATGTAGTAAAATATGCGCGTTAGAAAATTTATGTTGAAAATATCTTCAAAACCAGGGGTACTGGTGATGCTATTTAATGCGAGATCTGTATTTGTTTGCTGGCATTAACTGTTCCCAATTTGAAGATATGGTCCAAAGTGATACACGTAACGTGTTTCTTACGTCCACCCTATTTCGTTCGGTATTTCGTCTTTCAGTTGTAATTGTAAATATCGAAAACCCGACCTCGCATAAAAAAGTAACACTGTCTGTGAAGCTTCTCTTGCAATGTCTGAATATTTATCTAAGAGTATCGACCAAAATACTGCCAAGATATATATCGCAAATACGCCTTCTAATTCTTTATCAATTGAAATTTAATAGCGGGAAATTTAATCGTTCTGCGGACCGTTAGTAATCTTAGTAACCGGTGTTGCCGATCACTGGACTAAGGCTAACTTTAAAGAAGCAATTGTTTACTCCTAATTTCGCAAAGGTGTTATACGTTATATAACCGGCGTATGTTTGTCACCGAGTATTGGAGATATAAAATGATCAACCAGTTCAAGGTAACGGTTGTCTGAAGGCCACAAGCAAATGCCTTCGCTAGGTACCATTCGAGATGACTATTCATTTGAAGTAAACTGTCCACGATTCATTCAGTTCTTTGCGTTGATATATTTATTCTTTTACTTTTGTTTGTTGGCTTTCTTTTTATTAAATAACTTTCAATATCTTTTTTATTGTTAAAATAACTGATGGAAACTTGTTAAAAGCAAAGCTACTCATAGTAAATAGATGTTGACTGTTACTGAAACCGGGTCACATATCATAAAGGTTTGAGGACCTGATAAGCGTTTCTGGAAAGGAATTCGAAACGTCGCCAAATTACATCGTTTCGCCTACATCGACTGCGCCTATTTATGATAAGATATAATAATATTATATGCCAATTAGAGCAATTACACAATTAAAACGATAATTTTTAATACGATGTAACGAAGAATCTTTGCAATAGCAACTTATAAAATGTACTATTTGTAATTCGTTTTCCGATCGTAGTTTGGTATCGTTTATGATTGGTTAAGAATTGTGATGCCCTAACTTTATATAATTATTCTCACGTCAGGTTTTCAAAACACCAAATAAGTAAGAACGATAAATTTAACCAATAAGTAGTCCTTCGAACTAAACTCTCGCAAAGTAATAAGTAGAATATTTCCTACCTCTGGAGTGACCGTATTTTTCTTTGCTTCGTTTGTCAATACAATCTCAGTACAATGTCCTCGCTTCAATATTTGAACGTTCTCGTGTTTGGAAAGGCTTCCTCTTAAAGAGAATTTCCTATCCAATATATCTTCATATTTAACAGAATTTGGCTTCAAAGTGAAGCCTGTAGCTTTAGATTTGCTTTCAGCGCTGCGAGGAACTTCGGCGCATTTTGTATCAATTATGACGTCACCTTCAGATTTCGAGTCTTCGCTTCCGCTTGATGATGGGCTGACGTCACGGCTTTTACGCCAAGAATATTCAAACGTTTGATGCCGAGGCTTGATGTATTCGTGGTCTGTTGAAGGGGGACTGGTGCAAATTCCATTACGTGTTCCAAAATTCCCTCGTTTTTGTGTATCTAAGAAATTACTCAAAGCTTTTGACGACATCGGCGTCAAACTGACTTGGACATCTTGAGGACGTCTGATATATCGTCTTGTCGGCGCAGGTGAAGATGATCGACCACGTCGTTGCTAAAGAGGAAGAACGCTGTTTACAGGGTACGCACAAAGGGTACTCCCGTAGTGTGTATACCAGGTTAGGGTTGGACCATGATTTTATTCCGATTTCAATTTTTTTAGTTCTATTACAAGTTCGGGGACTGTCTGTGTTAGCCAAGTGAATAAACCCCCTTGGTCACAGGTTTCAGTCCCTTTACACAACTTGACGTAAAGTAGGCGAACAAAATTACCTCCATATTGGTACACTCACTTCTGGAGCGTTGTACAAAGTGCCTCACTATAAGGAAACACTCATTGCATGGGAAGTCTGAGTGAGCCAGAACTAGAAATAATCTAGGAAATTACGTCAAGTAAAAATCTCGAGACATTAAGCACAAGTTAGATATAAACTATTTTCGACTTCTTAATCTTATGACGAATCTCAATATTCAGAGTATGCCCATGTGGCCATGTATGGTCATCTACAATAAAATCTCTACGATTAAAAGATCTCTTAATTCGCCAGGTCTTATAATACAGCAAAGAGTGCGCGAAAAGCCCTATTTAATTAAAAATCAAAATATTCTTGTAAATTATTTAGATTAAGAGGTTCGATGTATCGAGAAGAAAGAAAGCCCGAAGCACAACAAGTTAGCTACGAATCCTCCTGAACTTACTTAATATTCCATTAAAGGGAACTTGAATGAATAGAAAATTATTCCATGAACATTTACAGATACTGAATGCTAAATAACCAACCCGAAGACTCCGGATGAGACGGGTTCTTTTGGGCAGAAGTGTAGCAGATTCTCGAGTATTTGGTCGTTTCCTTGGCACAACTGACGATCTACTGCTATTGCTCGCTGAAACGAAATAATAAAGTATCCAACTTTAACTCACTGTTTATTGAATAATATAGCAATAGTTGTGCATTTATATGATGACAAGTTGTTTTAAGGTGCAACTTTCCAAAAACAAGTTTAAAAAAACGATGAGATGGTAGTATAACAGTACAAGATTAAACAGCGAACTTGTCATTATTTTATTTTCGTGATGATATCTGGATTACTTTTGCTCTGTCGATTCATATCTTATTTACTTGATTCTAACGTATTTACTGCAAAACAAAACCTAATCTAGTTTACGGGTGAGAAAAGGGACAAAATATAGGAGTTTTGAAACACATATTTACAAAAAGGTAATGAACAAGCAAATATAATCACACTGGTTTGGCACATATGAGATATCAGAAATTATTTGAAATGCAAGTTACATACCATTGCTTCGTCTTGAAGAGTTGGATCTATCGCTTGCTGCTTTTGGTGGTGAGTCAAGAGCTCTTATTGGTTTTCTTATTGTCCGCCTAGGCCTGGATTGCGACGAACCGTTTGCCTGTTGTAATCTTCTTTCCTGTGGCTGCGATGACGACGGTTCTTTTGAAGAAATTAGAGTTGATGATGGTCTGGTACGTCGTTTCACTTACAGGTAAAAACAGATTGGAAGTCCTTATCCACACAACTTTTTACATAACGCAACAACTTTGTCGTTTTCGAAAGCAATTTTTTACTAATTGCAGCCCGATAGGTGATTTTGCTTACACATAACACAAAAAAATCATCGCAATTTATTTATAAGGTTGAATTACCAGCTCATTCAGTTATATTCTCTCGTCGAAGTTTAGAAAAAACTATGATAAAACTAAAAAAAAACATGTTTTATAATCCTTCTGAAGTTCAGTTGGGACCATAAACGATATCTTATGTACCATATTCCGAAGTAAATGTAGACTTTTTTCAAAAGAAAACTATCACTATCTTTCCCTAATCTGGAGTTTATGAAAATAAAACTTTGCTCCATACAAAGGCGGTAGTTACATTATTCAGAATCGATTTACCTGCATTGAAATCTTGAATCAAGTCCATGCATGATTGAAGATTCGATAATGGCTCCCATGTGTCGTATTTCTTTGAATAACCTTTCCATCTCACCAAATATTCTACGCGATTGTTTCGATATTTTCGCTTATTCATCAACCGCTCTACCTGTAACGATAATTTAAACTGGTGATAAATTTAATTTTGACATTAAATTTTACTTGCCAGTTATGGTGAATATTTGAGGTTTTAAGTAATGCGCATTTCTGTATTAATTTGGTTCTTACAAGTTAGTCACAACCAAACCTAAAAACGGACAAAAGTCATTACTTAAAACAGGTACAGCTTTGAAACAAAATGATATTCCCTGGTATATAATGACAGAAGATAAAAGTTCATTTCTGAATAATGTCACAAAAGCTACTTTGTTTTTACTGCGGCACACATACGTGTTCTGAGCAGCATGGGCGAAAGCAATCATACGCATAACAAAAATTCCGCATTGCTATTTGAATAGAATATTTATCTTAAGTTCACTGTGAGAAATTTGATGGAAGTAAGTTGTTCTTGGTCCCTAATTACGGCATAGCTGGCAAAAACACGAAAGTCAAATGTATAACCGAACTTCGACACAAATAGTGTTTTATCAACCACGTATATGCTCCCGCAAATTCTACATGGCAATATCAGTCTGCGGTAAATTTGCACATTTGTTTGACAAAGTATGTAGCTGACTAAGCATGCGAAATTTGACATGTTCTAGAATCTTCTAAGCCTTTCTCCTTACTAACACGCGAGTCGGTAAATAAAATTCGGAAATCCCACTTTATTACGCAATCTTTATCGGCCGCGATACATGTCGTACAGTCTCGTTGTCTATGTTAGATCAGTATGTGCTTGTAAACTGCTCATATTTTCGGTATTTCAAAACACAAAGTGCGGAATGCTACCTTTTAAATCATTAACCTTCCTATCCGTTTAGGAATCCTGTAAAACAGCGATTAAACTGGTTTATTTCAATAAGTTGGTCTGCGACACTAATGGGTAGTTTGTACCTGATAAAATTGGTATATCCTCTCAAAGCTACAATTATTGTCATCGGGCAATAGGCTACCTATTAAGATAATATGTATATAATACTTTCATCATATTGTCGGTGGTGCGAGAACAATTTTCCGGAAAAGTTGTTTTACGAGTGTCAAACTGATTATCTTTTCATATTGTTAATTCGAGAACGCCTCTCCTTTTCACTGTCATTGATGAAGTTTTCACGTGTGAATTTATCAAAACGCAATTCTCAAAACAGGGCCCTACCGAAATAAGATCATTCAAATCAATTTGAGACATTGTGATTCACGGTCATAGGATGAAATAGTTTGTTTCTCCCCGATCTTCACACTTATATATCTTTTCTGGTGAATGCCTGCTCGACAAGTGTTGAAACACTTAAATGTAAAATTGAGTTTGCATACCGTGTGGAGTCCAGGCACAAAATCCCGAAAGCACAGTTGATACAGTACAACGTAATTCGTGTACATCGCTTTATGGTGTGTATCAGTGTGTCTGTATCATGCAATTGCCGTGAAAGAAAATTCGATGAATTACAAGCATATAAGTGGAGATTCAAGTTTGTAGAATATTTTCTCTTAGAAATTAAAATTTTTCGCTGTAAGAATAGAAGGCAGCATCTGATTGTTCATTTAAAAATGTTGAATCAAATAATAACGCAAGAAGTTCACAACAAAGAAGATAATCGATAACCGGAATCGAACAATACTATCATCCTATACGACAGAAGTTAAGACCGGAATTTGAACAAAGAAGTTTTCTTCGAGAGATTTTGATGCAACTCTCGTAACTACTATAAGTAACCCTTGTTCATCAATGAGAACAGCGTGCAAATAATTCATTGCAAAACCATGCGATGTATGAATCCAGAAGCATGTAATAATATGGAATTATGGGGAATGTTGAGATGAATGAATTAGTCAAGTGCTCTTTGATCTGAACTGCCCCATTTGATGCCAAGTCGTATCTCCGTAGATCGATATGAAAAATAACGCGTTGTGTTTTTTAAATTACTAATCCCTTCTAACCATGCTTTTATTTATTCATTTATGTATAACAATATTCACATCGTCGTCCGCACTCCAAAATGGGGATTGTTTGTTCTATTCGGGAGGAGCATCTTCTTTTTTATTAAACAGTGCTGAAAGTAATTTTTCTACTGATGAAAATCCTTGGTTATGAATAATTGCGAGGTGTACGATTGCATATATGCTTTTGTGAATGCGAAAGCAAGTTGGAGATTGCTATTTATTTGTAATAAGAATAGCGTTAGAGTAAATTGTCAAACATATTTCAATCAGTTTTAAACCCGTACTATAGATTTTCAAACTTTCATGTGTATGGTTGTTTCGCATTGTGCATGTTTCTCCGATAAATTGAACGTATATCTTATTGGACACGAAATGTACATATGGATCGTTTTGTTATTACGTTGTTGTTCTCGTTGGTATCTTTTTTCCTATCTTCATGAACAAATCGCTTTTCTCATTAACTATTAGACCAATTGCTTTGAAATTTCAGGGATTAAAGATTGTATTTTTCGCTGGAAGACTATTACTTTTATTAATTTCAAAAATTTATGTAGGCTTTATGAGATTCTTTTTTGTGTGCGATGACGATTCATCCAAAATTGTGCACCTTGTGGCGGTTTCCCTTTCTTGTTAGTCGTGAAGAAGGAAATACATGCAGCCTACTGTGACAGATTGCATACTCGTACTACTTTCTTTTGGCATTCATGTCTATATTTTTGATCCTCGCTCACTTGTTTATTAGTAATTTGCCTTTTTTAATAAATGATTCTTGTTTTTCCTCACGCTACACCATTGCAGTGATTTATTATACTGCTACAAATGATATTTTATTTTTGAAGGGCGGGAAAAAGTGAAGGTTTTTGATGGAATGAATAAGGCTCATAACGAAATACAACATATACTTATAACTTCAATAGAGTGAAACGCAAGAGCTACGGAATTGTCTTCACATATACGTTTAAGGTATAGCAATAAACAAGTCTCAACTATTTTTGATATATATATCTTTAAAACAAAATATACGACTTCCTGTGACACCCCACAGTTCGTCATATGTTGGTCAAAACTAAGTCGACTACGGTGAAAATTAGGTTCTAATAATAGCGCACCCACATAGTTCGTCATATGTAGGTGAAAACTAAGTGGACTATCGAGGATTTACGGACGGAACATTGAGAACACGCCATTATATCTATAATTTACAATGTGCATCATAATACCACGAAAAATGAAATTGTTTTGGTGAGTTATGCTTCCGGTTTAATGGGAATATTGTAGGGACTTGGTAATGATTTTCTCTACTTCCTCTCAAAATCCTATGTTTACATTTAGGAGACGAAAGTTCATTCGTATGACTGATCACGTCAACCAGGAAAGGAAATACTCACCGTTACACGTTCCATATACACGGGCTTAGAATGCAAGCTTGGGAATTGTCATGAATATTTATTGCGTGGAGAAAAACCGAAAAAGCAGACTGATGAATATGAGACTACGGCGTCGCACAAGTTAGCCGTAAACAAGTATCGCCTGGGAGGAGTCCAGCAATCTCGCATAGAAGACCACTTACGGAACAAGCAGGATAGTAAGCGATGCGACGGCAAACATCTTCTTGCGCGCCGTCGCGTCTGGATATGACGGGGAAGTATAACGATGTTGACGCACAGTCATCCAGTGCGGAAACCGCGGAACATACGCGGTGCAACAGAATGACGATTTCACCTTTCGCCGAAGCCCCGCCCCGATTGTACAGCCGGGACTTGAAGAGTCTATTTCCGGCAAAAATAGTTCTAGTAATCGTAACTGATCACGGATTGGAACTCGTCTCCGATGTACATGATACGAAGTGGTGCAGCGACGAAAACGTCCCTCGAGCCTTTTTGGGTTTTTTTCTGATTGTTTAGCTAGATCTGAATAAAATTTCTTACGAAACCTGTATGTCCGCTGTATTGAAAATTTCGGTAGAATGTGAAATATAATAAGGATAGAAAGATTTGACCGTCAATTCAGCAATTGGGAAGCTATTCGTTGGTCTGTGATGCACGTCTGTTGTCTTCGGCTAAATCTCTGATTTTGTTCGTATCGTATCGCAATCTTTCATGCGAGTGTTATCAACACACCAGCCTCTCATCTAAACTCATTTCAAAATCGTCCATGACTTGGCATATTAACGTGTACAAACATGAATTGGTTCAGACAGTTTCTAATAAATATCTACTTATGCCTGTCTTTTTGTGCTTGGTAATATTTGACATTGTGTTATCCATATTAGGCATCATAAATGTATCATCTTTCAATGTTGTAAAAGCCTTCCAACTGATATATCGTAGCGAAACGATATGGTGAACGTAGCCTAATAAGCCAACACATACACGAGCGTTTCAAGCATCATAGGTACACTAATAAACCACATTGTGAAGTATATAATCCAAAGTTTAGTTACAAACTCCAAACTACCTACCTTTCTCGTACCTTTTCTGCGAAACTCCTAAATTTTGACGCAAAAAACGCCAGTCAATCCAGGCTTTGGGCGTGGGCCCTTCGGGCAACACCGAAACACGGCTTTACATGTTGAATTATACGATATTTTGCCCAAAATGAATTAACATGTCACACAAAATAGATAGAAAAATAACTATTGAATATAAAAATATTGATTTTATTCCACTTACCTCAAAAAAAGAATCCCTAGGCATGTTGAAAGCCGAGTCCTACACAGACAGAACAGTCAGCTTCTGACTTCCGCGACTCGAGTAAAATTTCCCATAAGCTGTCTAGCGCGAACTAGTGGCTCGCGAATATACCGCAATATTTATGGCTCTTTGACATCTTAAATTAAATTAAAAATGTATCATTTCGAGTTTAATTTTTAACAAAATTTGTGGAAAAATATTAATTTATATATTTATTATTTTTTGTTTATTTTCAAATCTCACAAAACGAACGAATATGGATCCAAAAGTCGTATATTTTCAGTGGCCAATGAAGCGTAAGTGTTGCAATTTATGCAAAAATGTTTGCGGGGGTTTTATATTTTCCGCCAGCTCCCGCGGTCCCGTTTTCTGGTCGTACAAAAGAGTCTCACTTGTGTTTTGCCAGGATTTAAGTTGCAATTGTATCATGTTTAGAAATTTTTCATATGGCATCACAGATTGGCAGCAAAACCTCATGTGTTCTGTGCAACGTAAATGTTGTTGAAGATTGTAAACAATTGATTTTCACTCATGATTATGTAGAATTATTTTGGAAATAGTAGCCTAAGTAGATTACTGCAGTAATGAGAATTACGTACCGGTAATGTTTAGTCTGAATGTAAAATTAAAGGAATGCTTTGGAAATATTACTATTTTATTCAAAAAGGTCTAAACATGCATGCTTTTGTATAAGAAATATTTTATAATTGTGATACACACCTAACATAGGTACGGTACTTCTAGTGGGCGTAACATTGTTTGTTTTCGATCTCATACTATAACTGTTTTGGTATTTTCTAACTTAAATTCTTGTTTTTACACGTTTAAATTGAAAAAAAAATCTGTTGCTGGTGGCAGTGTGTTGTCTTGGATTTGTGGAGTTAATTTTAATATTCCAGCTACTTAAAATTAACTTCTACAATAGTTTTGGAACACAACACATTTGTAAGTCTGCTGTTTATCAGATGTGATAGGTTGTATAATTGTCACAATGTCGGCATTCAATAGAGTGATTGTTTTAGTTGACATGGACTGTTTTTATGTTCAAGTTGAACAAAGACGAGATCCAAGTTTAAAAGGGAAGCCTTGTGCTGTTGTGCAATATAGAACGTATCGTGGTGGAGGAATCATTGCTGTTGGTTATGAAGCTCGAGCTGCTGGAGTGACTCGTGGAATGATGGGAGATGATGCCAAAGAACAATGCCCTGAAATTAATCTCTGTCGAGTGCCAGAAGCAAATGGAAAAGCAAATTTAGACAGGTATTTTACTTTTATAATAAAAACATTATGTAATGATAATATATTGATTTCTGGCTTCTATTTTCAAGTGTTAAAATGATCGAAATAACTGCTTTTTCTAAATTTTCTTTTTCAATATAATACATTATTAATTAATATGTACGGTAATATCAAAGTAAAGTTAGTAACCTATTTCAATACTTGACCTAGACTGGCAACCGGCTTTTGGTTTTCCCTCCAACTTTCCTCTCCCTCTGAGCTAATATGAAAAATCTTATGCTTTTCATCCTTTTAAAGGTACAGAGAAGCCGGTGCAGAAGTGATCAATGTATTATCACAGTTTGGCGGTCGAGTAGAACGAGCAAGCATTGATGAAGCTTATATCGACCTCACAGATGTCGTTGATAAAATAGTTTCTCAAAAAAGAGAGGGAGAGTATTTGTCTACTCATAGACTACTCAACACTCATATTGTTGGATGGCCTGTTGAGTATAAAGAAAATGAAGAAAAAGAGGCTGCGAGGTTTGGGGGGTTGGAAGAATGGTTAGGTCTAATTTCATCTGAATCTTCAATCAATGAGAATATACGATTGGTGATAGCCGGGGCCATCACTGAGGAAATCAGGGCCGCTGTTTATCATCAAACTGGGTTTCGTTGTTCAGCTGGTGTGTCCCATAATAAAATGTTATCAAAACTTGCATGTGGTATTCACAAGCCAAATAAACAGACTATTTTACCAAAAGAATCAATTACTTCACTTTTCAGTTCGGTAAAAATTGGAAAAATTCGAAATTTAGGTGGCAAACTAGGAAAATCATTAATGGTAAAATTTGGTATCAATTTTATCGGTGATGTGGGGCAAATTCCTATTCAGAAACTAGTTGAGGAGTTCGGCCATAAAAATGCTTATTGGCTTCATGAGGTTTGTCAAGGTATAGACCCTGAACCTGTGAAAGAAAGGCATGTGGCACAATCTATTGGTTGTGGAAGAAATTTCAATGGTCCAGAAATGTTAAACACAAAAGAAAAAGTCAATAAATGGCTTGATGCATTGCTAGTTGAACTGTCTGAAAGGCTCGAAAAGGATAAAGCTGCAAACAATAGAATAGCAAGAACATTGACTGTTCATGTTGGACTAGAAACTGGACAAACCCTGTCTCGATCGGGACCGTTGTCAAGCTATGATCGAAACGATTTACACCGGCAATGTCTTCAACTTATTAGGGCTTTAGATACAACATCTTCAAGCGATAAAAGATGGCTGCCTGCACTTACCAACTTGAGTGTGAATGCAAAAAAGTTTGACTCTGTCATTGGAGGGTCTTCAATTCTGAAACATACTTCTAAAATGAAGCAACCATCTATTATAGATACTGCGCAAATACCTACTGAGAAACCTTCAACTTCTGAATTACAGTCAGTAGTACAAACTGAACCTGAAGAAGTCCAAAATGTATTGTTCGCCTCTCAAAAGCAGTGCCTGGAAAAACCTGAAAATCAAAGTGCTAAATTGATTGAAACTGGAAGCCAAAAAATTGATAAGTTTTTTAGTGAGAAATCGAAAGATAATTGTATTTCAAATATGAACAGTTCTTTCAACAAGTTGACGCAGAATTCATCTCAGTCCACACCCACAAAACGTGATGACGTTTTCTTTGTTGATCAGTCGAGCCAGAAACAAAAATCTATTTCACCAAAGAAATCATTTTTTGAATCTGTTAAAAAAACTGTACAAAAGAATGGCACAATTTGCAAAATTGATAAAATGTTCTTAAAAGAAAAAGAAAATTTGACAGAGAAAGCTGCAGTTTCATATACTCTACCAGATGGGCCAGTTTTTCATCCTTTATTTGGGGAAATTGACAAAGACGTTTTTCAGCATCTTCCTTTGGATATTCAACAAGAAATTTCAAAGTCGTATAAAATCACATCTTCTGTTATTTCATCCTCACCGCTGACTTCGTCCCAATATCAGCAAGGTTCATCAAAACATGGTGACAAAGGTCAAAGACTTATTTCAAATTTTATACCTAGTTCTCAAAATTCTCCTGAAACATCGTATATATCGCCCCAAACTTTACACAAAAAACGTAAAAGCTCTGGTCCTAGTCCACTTTCTAGCAAAAAGCCTAAAACTAAGTCACCTAAGACAAGAAAAAGTCCTGGTCCTAAACCCAAGATGCTCAGTTTTTCATCGAATACAAAAGATGACAGTGTTCCTTTAGGATTTTTCAGACAACGTTCTCAGTTAAATAATGCAATAAGTAAGGCATTAACAAAAGAACCACGAAAGTTTAACAGTTGAATTTTGGTTAAAAACAAGATTTCTCAATGAATCAGCAGTGAACACTGAGTCAAACATCCTGTGAGTGCTAATTTATTCAGCAGGAATATCTTGAACTAAATAAAGTTGTGTGCAAAATTGAGCAGTAATTAGTAATGTGAATGTCAGTATTCAATATCAATTACCGGTAATTAATTAAAATTTATTTAAAATAAAAAAATGACGATGTTGTAAGAAATTTTTGAATATTTGAAAGTATGAATGCATGCTTATTTCCCAGAAAATGTTGTATTTAAAAAAAAGTGGTGGGCTGTGCTGTGGCGCAGCCAGGAGCGGTTTCAGGTCGAACCACCCTTTCAAAATTTTTGGGCAGTACAAAACCGTCATAAATAAGGTGTATGATTCGCTTAAAGCTAATTTTGTTAAAATTGCCAAAACAGCTAATGTAGCATCGTTAGGATTAATAAAACAATTCAGACATAAGTCTGTTAATGATAGACTTCGTATTCTAGCTATATCCACAAATAATATTACATCTTTTAATATTTACTGCCATGTATCTCATCAACGTCATTATATGCCAATGTGTTATCTTTATTTTTTTTTAACTTGAATGCAAACATTTTTGCAGTTGTATTGCCTCAAACTTATCAAATGCTGTCTTTGCTGCTTGACTGCCTTTTGCCTAATTTTGTGTTATTTTCGTATTTGTATTACTATTTGTTGATTTTTTAAATAGTTTATATTACTGTATTGAAGTTATATTTTTCATTTTTTTTTATATTAGCTATTTTCTTTAGCCTAGAATTATTAAGTATTACTAGAAAGCATTGAGGAATGTCTTCTTCAGAATCAGATGATCTTGAAGGATTTTTTGCTTCTCTGCGACCAAACAAAGATAAAGATAAGTTCCGATTGTCATCTGGGAGTTTGGATGAGTTTGTGGTCAGTGATGATCATGTGTCATTTGATGAGGAGGATTCTCACAGTGACATAGAATCTCCTAAGAGGACCCAGGATTCTCAAGACAAGGATTTGAAGAAAACTATTGACATGATTTCTCAACGATCTTCGATACACATTAAGGGAAAATATGACGGAAAACAGAAAAAAATACAATCTTCTAATGATATTGAGATTGATTTTTCTGCTTTGCGAATATCACGAAAAAATGAAGACGATTCATCTACATCTGAGAGTAGTGAAGAATATATCTCTCCCAATGAAGAGCATGTTTCGGAGAAACCTAATAAATTACTCGCGAAGAATTCATCACATGATAATGACAATAGCAACCAAAATGGTGATTTCTGCAAGCCTTCTCCTGAGAATACCTTATCTTCAAACATCGGCAATGATTCTCTGCAGAACACCAATAATAATGTTTCCCTCGAGTTGAAACTGACTTTAAGTCTAAGTGATTCTGACTTATCTGGTGCAGATTCAGCTGAAGATAAAGATAAGGTTGTATTTTCAGCTGATAAGGAGTCATCTGATAGTGATGAAGCAGGGGAGGATGCAGAAAAATCTAGAAGAAATACTCGAAAAAAGCAAAGTAGCGTCGGCTCTCAACAAAACACCAATGATAACATTTCGCCTGTATTAAAACTGACTTTAAATCAAAGCGATTCTGAATTCTCTGGCATAGATTCGATTAGAAAAGAGGATGAGGATGAATTATCAGCCGATAAGGAGTCATCTGATAGTGACAAAGTAGATAAAGATGCAGAAGAATCTAGAAGAAATATTCGAAAGAAGCAAAGTAGCGTCGGAGAAAAGTTTTTCAAACCTGCATTGAATAATAGTCTTTCCAAACGAAATACCAACTCAAGGAATAAGAAATCTGAAATGAAGCATTTGGATGAATTACGAAGACGTGGGAGCTTTACTCCTCGATCTTCGTCAGTTGCTAAGAACTCAAACAAAAAGTCAGTGGCGACACCCAGGATTGTTTTTTCTTCCGACGATACCAGTGATGAAGAGTGTGATGTTTTTCAAAATGTTGATATTGTAAAAAATCTCGTACCAGACGAAGTTAAAAATGATCCTATTATTCTTGAAGAAAGGCATAATAATATAACTCTAAATAAGCCTGGAAAAACTAAATGTAAATCTTTGAAAAAGTCACCGAGGGTTCTGTTGCCTGATGAAGACTTTTCTAGTCTATTAGACGAATGTGATACGTCTGGTTTCAAAACTAAAAGAAATAATAAAAAGTCATCTCGAATACTTTTACTTGCTGACGATAATGTACCAACTTATAACATAAACTCTTCCACAGGTAAATTTTCTAGCTTGTCATTAGAAAAGAAACCTAATCTTGGAATTTATGAAAATGAAACTGCTTCGGCAAACAAAACAAATAGCAAGAGTCCCGCAATTGATACAAAGATTTGCTCGAAACTTTGTGGTGATATTGAGACAACTTCTGCTTCTGAAAATGGCTTGAGAGCTCAAGAAATAAGCCCAGATGCATCTTCAGAAAGGGAAGTTCCTGGCTTTCTGCTATCTGATGAAGAGATTGTGTCATCAGCTCCAAACACTGGACAAAATCAGCCATCTAACCGAGCAAAATCAATCATATCTTCAGCTAAGAAGACATCAAGGATTCTAGTAATATCAAGCGATGATTCTGATAATTCTGATCTCGATAATGATGTTATCTTTATTGATGAAGATACTGATAGCAGAGATAAGGAGAATTTAGATAACAATATTTTTGAATCACCTTTAAATTCTAATATTGAAACAGATTCTGTCTTTGATAGTCCAGTTAGTTCATCGGAGAAAAAAATTTCTAATCCAATTTCAGATTTGAAAGATCCTGAAGAAGACGATTATACTCCTCTTGTTGCTAGAATTAATGGTGGGAAGTCATCTGCTCTCAAAGATATACAAAATCAGGATTTTATACCACCAAGGCGTAAAATATCGGAACCTAATTTGGAAAGAAAAACATTTACGCCTCTACGAAAACCGCCAAAATTATGCTACACTGAAAAACCTGTTAAACCAAAAACTGTAAATTTAAGAAGCAATGGTATCCCTACTAACATACCATCCAATTGTGAAAAAGGTGCTGGTTTTAAAAGGCGACGAGAGTTGGTCACTAAAATTCTTTACGATTTTTTCAATAAAACTATTTTCATGGACCGTTTACCAAAAGATATGATCGTGGAATGGGATAAACGACTTACCAAAACAGCTGGTGTTACGAAATGTTCATCAAGAACTGTAACCTCAGTTGAAAACGGTATTCGATGTGTCAGTAAAACGTACAAAGCAATGATATCACTTTCAGAAAAGGTTTTAGACACGCTACATCGATTGCGAGATACTTTATGCCATGAAATGTGCCATGCCGCTGTATGGTTGCTCGACAATCAGAATGACGGCCATGGTCCTTATTGGAAAGCATGGGCTCGCAAAGCTACATCCGCACACCCTGAAATGCCAGTGGTAAAACGATGTCATAGCTATGACATCACATACAAGTTCCACTACCAGTGCACAACTTGTCGTAAAATTTACGGCCGACATTCAAAATCGATCAAAGTGGATAAACAAGCTTGTGGCATATGCCGCGGTAAACTTGTCTTGCTGCCACCGACAAAATCTGATGGCACGCCAGCAAAAACAAGACAGCCGAATAAGTTTGCTATGTTTGTTAAGGAGAATTATAAAACAGTACAACGGGCCAACTCAGTAAGAGGAATGACTCCGAAGCATTCGGATGTTATGAAGGCTCTCAGTGAAAAATTTGCTACTCTGTCGACTAAAAAATAAACTGTATAGATGCTCTGGTAGCTTATGTGATTATTCTCGTTCAATTGTCAGCATATTAATGTTATCTAAGGGAATTATTCCCATGCTTCATTTGGACTGGCAACTGGACAATAGGCTGCAGTTTGTTGTGTGATTAGGTCATCCTTCCCTCCATGGAATAAATATGAGAATTTCTTCTTTATTGTGATATTTCTTTTTCTTAATCAACTTTTTGTTGTCTATCGATATGTTTTTGTCCTTATTTTACAATTGATTTAATAAGTAGGGTTCTCAGATACATTTCATCTGCCTTTAGGGATGTTATATAAGGATATTTTACAATTATTCTTTTCACATTCAATTATATTTGTTCAGTTTCATGAATATGAATTGCTGAAAAACGTATGGAATATGAATTCGTAAATATTTGATACATGTCAAAATTTGTAACAAATTGGATGAAAAGATCTAACATCGTGATATTAATTAGATGGATTTAAAAAACATTTCCTAATATTATTATTATTATTAAGATTATCATTTAATCTCTGCCTACTGTTTTGACTCATAGGTAGGCTACATATAGCAATGCTTTGTAGTTTAATTGATTTGTTGCTGTTAAATAAAATTGTTCATCATGATTCTTACTCTCCTAGATAAACCATTTTATAGATGGATGGCAAAAGTGCTTTTGATGTTTGATGATTCAAATTTACACAAAATGACAATTCTTAGTAATATATTTATTGTTCCGCTGTCTTCTCCATGTCTCTTGTTTCATATCGGCTAAATGATGCTAAAAGCTTGATGTTATTGTCTTGTATTGTGTAATTTTGTATTCAATATTACCTCAAATACAAATCTGACCTGACTGCCATTTTTTCATCTTTATAAGAAATGTAGGCAATATAACTATAGGTTAAATATTGGTGCTTACAAGCTGAAGGAGTAAATTTTAAATCATTTCCAGCATATATTTCAGAATTAAACACAGCTTATAATGGATGTCAAAACAGCACAACATCCAAATATTCAGGTAACCACATTTGAATACTTACAAGAAATCACGTTAGTGTCAAATCAATCGCAGGCTTACTAATCCCATACCCGACATGGACTGGTAACCAGACGAGGGCTTAACCATATGGTTCGCCATATGATTAGGCTATCCTATTGGCTTCCCTCTCCCACAGGATAAATATGAAAATCCTATCTTGTGTAGTGAATAAGGAATTTATTCTTCATGGAATAAACAATGTTATCATTACCAATATGTAACTAAAAGCATGTTTTGAGGACATTTTAAAAATGTGGTTTGGTATTTCTTCAGATCAGTATAATGAGCCCTCAACTAAAATAGAAAAAGTAGTAATTGTAAGCTATACTGACAAAATAAAAACGGTACCCCCGTAGTCTGTGTTCGAGCTTAGGGTTAGGCCATAATTTTATTCCAATAGTTGCTCATAGTTTTCAGTCCTTTTACACAACTTGATGTAAAGTAGAAGAACAAAATTAGTTACGTCCATATTGGTACACACAATTCTGGAGCGCCATAAAAACTATACCAATCATTCTTTAAATGTATCATTTTCAGGCAAATGCCATGGCCGTGGATTTTGACGGAAGGTACTCAGTACTAGGAACTAGGCGTAACATCATACTCATCGATCTAAACAATCCACACGAAGTTGCTCGTCGTCTTAATCGACAAAGTAAATGGGATATTTCTCATGTTCAATGGAATCCATGTTTCACGAAGAAACAACATTTTGTCGCTACTGTGAGTTTGTTTCATAGCTAATCGTTTTTAAAATCTTGTCCAGAGTGAGCTTTGGCCACTTTCATTGTCTGTTACTTACTAAATTAATTTGGGTCTCTTGCATCATCAGATACTTTTTGATAAACTCTATATTGTTTTCCTGGCAGTACTGACTTGAGTTATTAGTTTATTGTCATCTGGTACCTACTAGCATCTGTTACTGAATAAACCTTTTCGTAGCTCTTAAGTGTGCCTAAGTGAAAATATCTACCTTTGTAAATATACCAGTTCTTGAGAATTCAAGTTGTACCAAGATTATAAATTTTAATTTGTGGTGATAAGTGAAGGGTTCTCAAAAAATTGGTAATACTTTAATGTTCAAGCAATAGGATGTCAATGCAGTAATTGCTGATTCTCTCCGAAAAAAGAGTGCTACTTGTTTGATAATTGTTTGAAGCGCTTTTCTTTGTATTTTGAGGATGTAGGGGTTTGAAATAAATATCAGAATCATGCACAGCTAGAAACATTCAAAAAAAAATCCAAGAATGGAAAACAATGATAGCTGACTCAAAATGGTTATTTTTTTCTATTTCATCCAGAAACTCTCTATCCATGGGAACTTTTTTATTGCAATACAGTCAATGGGCTGATCCGATCCAGATTTGGTATTCTCAATTGTCCATCCCTATGCTCAAAGATCTTTCTTTTCTTTAAACTTAATGGATAAGGGACTTGAAATATTCAAACAATACCTAAGATTAGAGAACAATGGAGCTGACCCTGGTATTCCATTTTTTGTTATTTAAACCAAAAACTGCAAAAAGTAATTCAGAAAATTTAAACTCTTTTATTGCAGTACAGTCAATGGGCTGATCTATGGACATGGGATGAAGGAGCTGGATCTTTGCTTGCAACATTACGTGGACACACTCGTGTTATTAGTGATGTTGATTGGTGTCCTTGTGATGATAATTTACTCGCAACCTGTTCCATCGATACTTATATTTATGTATGGGATATCAGAGATACAAAACGACCCAAAATGACACCTTCAGCCGTAGGTCAGATTTTGTAACTTTCGTTCGCTAATCTCTGATACAGGGTTACCAGAAATAAGCATAACCCAGGTCATCGAACATATCTGGAGAAAACATAACTTTTGTGCAAAGGGGTACAATAATATACAAACAGAAGTTTTAAGCGTTAAATAATTTTGTAAAAGTTATGGGTTCTGTTTTTTTGATCACCCTGTATATTACATTACCATTACCACATTTGTATATTATTGACATCAATTTTTCATTTAAAGTCAGACGAGAAAATATGGTTTGGTATTTATTTAATGATCCTTTTTTATTCAGCTGGTGCAAGTCAAGTGAAATGGAATAAGTTGGCACCCAATGTTTTGGCAACTTCACATGATGGCGATATAAGAATATGGGATATAAGGGTAAGGCAGATTGTGCGGTTTCTATTTGAATTTGCTCATTTTTTAGCTTCTGGTTAGTCTTGATGAAGACTACTTCTATCCCAAATCTATTAGCTCCGTCAATCTATTTGTCTTCTTCTGTTGGTGTGATACTTTTGCCTTGAACACCAAATCACAAACGAGCATAAAAACCTAGAAATACAATCTGTTAAGAATCAAATGTAGAGAGAGATTTCATCGATGCGCCAAACTAGAATACACCACATGAATATGTACATACAAAATAACGATTCCAAATTTCTGGTAAAGGACTGGGTGGTGGTAATACTTTCAATAAGTTTATCAAAGCCTTTTACCAGCCAAAAACAAGTACAAAAATTAGTTAAAAATGTTCAATATTATTCTTTTTCTGATATATAATATTTATATACGCCAGGGGTGGGCAATTGCTGCTCAGGTTGGCCAGTTACAGATAATAGACTTAAAATCAATATGAAAAACTTTGAATAAAAAATCTTCAATATTTTTGACAGAAATTTATATTCATAAAAACTATAATTTTAGCAGACTCAAGCAGGCGAGATGAAACATTTCGGTGGTTCGGATCAGGCCCGCAGTCCGTAATTTGCCCTTTTTATTCCTTCTCAAAAAATTTTCAGAATGGCCGCACACCGATGCAATACATCACTGCACATTTGTCAAAGATTCACAGCTTAGATTGGAGTCCAGTAGAGCAAGATATACTGGCTTCATCTGGTCAGGATACAACGGTTAGATTTTGGGATACAACTCAGCAGTCATTGCAAGCAAGTTATCAAATATCTGCTGGAGCTCCTGTGTGGAAAGCTAGATATACAGTAAGACAGTAACATATTTGATTGTGTTGTGACTGCAGCATTGATTTATATATTCACAATTAAATTTTATTTTAGATTCCATCAATTTCTTATTTACCTTTACAAAAATGAAGAAAGTTAATACAACACTTGAACTTTGGAAGTTTTACATCTTATTATGTTGAAACAGGAAAAGATATTACTTCGTTCATTGCCACACTATAATTCTTTTTTCAGCCGTTTGGTTATGGAATGGTTACTGCACTGATGTCTCAAATCCATAGGTGGGACAACAGTATATTGTTGTGGAATGTGCAGAATGTATCTTCAATTGTTCATAGTTTTGTTGGGCACCGAGACGTCATCTTGGATTTTGGTTGGAGATATAATCAAGAAGGTGAGTGTAAAATTTGTTGGTAATTTTTGAAAGTTTGATCAGCGGCGTTCACAAAATAGAATTTAGGGTTCACATATTCATCTTGAGAGAGGAAAGTTGTAAGACATCTCAATATATGGCGTACCACGGCATCATAAGGTTACCAGTCCATGTCGTGTAGGGAGGGGATTAGTAAGCCAGGTATTTGTTTCCCAGAAGCATGGACTTGATGGTGGAGGAAGCCGTAACCGACCAGCAGTTACATGAACCAACTTATGGCAAAGAGGAGTCCAGTAATCAGAGGTACGGTGGCGAGCATATTCCTAATGCTCAGCATGCGCCACATCCTATTATTAGTAAAACAATGTTGCCCAAATTCCTGCTTTGCTTCCCTTTTTTGCTGTGACTTGTAGTAAAATTTATGCAAGATAAAGGGCAACTATGTTTTTGTAACTTGAATTCGTGTAAATTTTGTTTGCAGATACTTGTGCCGAACTCGTGACCTGGTCAAAAGATCATTCACTAAGATTGTGGAAAGCGGATAGCTCTCTGCTGAACCAGTGTGGTTGTGGTGATAATCTACAAGATGAACAACTTGATGTTGAAGGTCAGCCCGCACCTTTCCACATTTTTCTTATTACAATCTTCAAAAAATTATAATATATCAGCAACATAAGACCATTTTAAGAGTCATTTTGACAAAATTGAAATATTAACACTTGGTCTGATTTCATTTTACCCCTGAAATTTTTTTTAGGCCTATAATTCTTACCAAATAAGGTGCAATTTTCCAAGAACATAGTCAGATGTAATAGATTAGGCCAGCGACACACTGGTGGGTCGCAAAAGGAATCTTAGTGGGTCATGAAAAGATGTAGAAAGCTTTGATTTAATATACTGGGTATTAGGATCGGTGGCAAGTCGAATACGTAAATCTTCAAAAAAAAAAAACACTGTAGAAAGTCACGAGATAGTCTAATAAACATATAAAAACCGACATCCATTGTTTTTTATTTTTATTTGTGTTTCCTATACAAAAATCAACTGACAAATAACATAATTGTGATTGTGACGTCACACAATCTTGAATAGTAGTGTGATCTCCACCTTACCTCAGGTCATTGAACGATTCCTCTTCCACACATTTGGAATTTATTTTAAGGGTAGGGTTTAATTACAATCATTTTAAAAATTTAAATCGGCCCTTTTCTCAGGCCAGGTCTTATTTTCGAGGAACACGGTAGTTTTGCGATGATTAGTCATTGCTATGTTCTGTGTTATGTCATAAAAAAAAACAAAAGAAAATAAAACCAACAAAGATATTTTGTTGTGTAGGTGCGCTGCAACTGGCAGTTGTAGTTTTGAAAGTTAAAAAAGTTAAATGGGTCGCCATAAACTGTGGTAATAAATAGTGGATCCCAACCACTGGATTAGGCTATTCTATCTTTCCTAATCTGATCCATTGATATTCTTATTGTCTTCTGTGTGCACGCCACATTTTGCATTTTGTTCTAGAGCAGTGGTTCTTAAACTTTTTAAGTCGTGTGCTTTTTTACTTATCGATCTTGATTGGTAAGTATGTTGATAGGTATTTTTCTGTCTGTTAGATGCACGTGATATCTCACGAAAGCGAGGTTGAATCTGCTCCAAATTTTGCATGTGCATTCATCATGTTATGTCGTATAATAAGAAAGTTATTAATTAATTAGTGATAGGACACGCGGTGTCACCATAGAATCATGAATCGAAACCGCAGTTTCGATCGATAAGTCTTCCGTCTCCGACCGATATTCTCGTTCAGAATTTGTCAAATTTTGCGCCCCACCTCAAAAATGACTAACTAACAATAATCTACAAATAACAGTTAGTGAAGCGAAAGTATGTTTTATTCAAAAAACACGTTGAAAGTACATGGATTTAGCGAACTAAAATAATGAAAGGAGATTTTTCTAATATAAGGCGGGATAGATCACATCAAAAAAATATTTATATTTCGAATTGTCTACGCCCCCCATCGTTTGACAACCACTGCACTAGATATAACGTATTAATACATTTATTAATTCATACAGATGAAGTTTATGATATCAATGTGACAGCAGCAGATGATGAAGGGCTACAAATGTCATTGGATAATACTCCAGGAATAATGCAATCTCCTCTACCTCCTAGTTTCGGTGAGATATTAGTACATAGTCATATTCTTTTGCATTTTGAGCTGCTTTGTGATGGGATAATTTAACATAATAGTATAGTTATATTGACTTAACACAAAGAGTTGTATCTATCACGTATCACGCATACTAGAGATGTTTATATCTAAATAGCCGTGTGTTCAAGTTACTCTTTTGCATTTTATTTTAAATATACTGAGTGCACCTATTTTATAACAAAATCATGTTATTATATGCCAAGTTAACTCGTGTCCGATTCCAAAGTCTTAGTTATTTGGAAAACAACACCGGATTATAAGAAAACAAACTTTTGATAACAGAAATTTGGCATATTCAACCCCTTATTATTTTTTTTTGAAAATGTTTAGTAAATGCTTTGAAAACTTTGAATTCGATTACCATCATTAAAAATCTGAAATTTGACTAGAACTCTCAGCTTCGGGGAGTTGAGAAATGCAACTCTAGCTACAAGCATGCCAAACTCAACAGCCTTGATACTTTTATTACAAATATGTTAAAAGATTTGTTAAACATTGTTTTTCGATTCCTCTCATTGACGTCTTTTTCAGTCAGTCAATTTCATCGTTATTCTTCAATTCTTTTTCCTTCCAGTGCTTGGTCATGACGTTTTACCTCAGATCTATGTTATACCACCTGATCAAAAACAGGAGAAATTCCTTATTTTTGATCCAAACTCTGGTATTTATCATTTGCTGTGTAACAAGCATGCACACATCATGAATGTTCTCATGTCATGTTAGAGAATTTTTATTTTTCCATGTTTGAATTGAATTTAATAATTTTTTTGGGCGCTCCAGAAGTGTGTGTACCAATATGGAGGGAGGTAACTAATTTTGTTCGCCTACTTTACATCAAATTGTATAAAGGGACTGAAATCTATGGGCAGGGGGTATATTCACTTAGCAAACACAGACAGTCCCCGAACTCGTAATAGAAATAAAATAAGGAAAATCGGAATAAAATTATGGCCTATCTCTAACCCAGTACACATACTACGGGAGTACCTTTTTTTGTTTCAGCAATTGAAAGTGGAATAAAGTAATTACCGTATATATGTTAAAACTAAGGTTGAATTTATGTTTTTTTTCTCTCTCTCTCTTTGTCGTCCATTTTTGTATGATTTAGAAAAATTTATGCGCCAGGTTAAATTTTTTTGTATAGAATGAATTTAATTACGGTATTTCGAGCGGTAAAATTTATACAACAGCTAAATCTATGGGTATAATAATTTGAATCTTGATGTTTTAGTTAAAAATAGCTCAAGGAATTTGTTGAGATTGCGTTCAAATTTAGTTTTGGCACGAGGCTTATTGTGTTCCACTTCTGTTTTTGTAACACTGTAAATATTGTTCGTAAAAGAACTTTTTACATCACCCCTATATGGCCCGCCAGTCTTGGTTGGCCCCTGGTTCAAAATCCTTGCCCATCCCTGCTCTAGTCTTATCTGTTTTCATGATTAATTTGGATGTATATGCTCATAGCATTTATTAAATAAGACTCGCTTATCTTCGTTTATGTCATATAATCTTTGTATCTTTCTATGGGTATTGATCCAAACATTTGGGTACTGTGATTTCGGTACTCCTGAAGTATGTGAACCAAGATTGCGGACACCGGAATGTAGTATGTGTGCCAGGTTAGCGTTAGGTCATAATTTCTGGTACAAATACTACAGAAGTCACTTGGCTAGCCCCCGAACTCGTAATAGAACTAAAATAAGGAAAATTGAAATAAAATTGTGGCCTAGCCCTAAAAAAAACGATATTTGACTTTTGGATCTTTCTGATTTTTCTTGGCCTTCGCTGTTTTTGTATGTCATAATTTATTTATGCTAACTTAGATTCGACAATTGCATACTGATCAATCAGCTGAGATTAAAGGATCTGTCAATGTGAAATAATCATTGTAACAGACATTCAAGACTTGATTTCCTGATCTGATTTGTTTGCCACAAGTCAAAATCAAATTTTGGGGACTGGTGTACGTCTTGTTAAAAATACTGTTTTAGTCAGTAAAATTTGATTTCTCTTGAAACTAAATTTCATGAAAATCTAAATTTTTAACATTTTTTTGTCATCTCATGTATGGGAAATTTTTTCATCATCATTGGTATTATCCAGTTACATGTCATGCGACTGTATTTGGAAAATGCCGGTAATTGTACATAAAAAATGTTTTTTTTTTGAAATTTGAGAAAACTGATGATTATACAATATTACAGAAATCAATCAATATTACAGAAACTTTTTCAACTTTTTTTGTCATCTCATATTTGAAAAAGTCCTTTCATTATCATTGTTAATATTTAGTTTAACAAACAAGAAACAATTAATTAGGCCAGTTAATCTATCTCTGCATAAGAATACATGCAACCGAATGAATAAATCTTCATAATAACTTCCAACATTGTCGCTTGTCACTTCTGAGTTAAGTCTTGTCACTCTTGAATAAACTGTGCAATATTGCTTCGAACAGGCTCCCATAAAAAAATTGATTCGAAAGTAAATGGGCTCCAGGCTATTTATGAGTTACATAATTGATTACCTGACAACAGAATCCTATATTAATGCCTGAAGCATACTCAATGGTCAGCACAACAATTTATAAGCTGCTATTTTTGAGTTGACATTGTTGATTCAATTACTTCTTACAGGGAGTGAGTATAGCGTGTCAAGAAAAAGTAACGAAATGGCGAAGAACATGCTGACCCCTCGTAGTGGGTCAGGGTCATTTCGACCTCAAGATTTATTCCTGGAACGAGCGTCACCGAGATATTCTACTTCACCCACTTATCCGGTTATTCCTTCACCCCTCACCCAAAGTACGACACCTATTGGATCACTGGAACAGGAATTTAAATTGATGAATATCGATCTGCAAAATCTGTACATTGAAGAGGTGAAATTATTGTTTGGGGTTACTATTAGAATTGTCTAAATTAGTGGTTTTCAAACTATTCAAGCCTTTTTAGAATTTATCAAATCTCGTGTCTAACCTCGAAAATTACTAGCTAATAATAAGCTACAAATAACAGATAGTGAAGTGAAGTTTTATTCAAGAATCAAGTTTAAAATATGTGGATGGAACTGCAATATCTAAACCAGGGTGGTCCAAATCCAGGCTCGCGGGCCACATGTGGCCCGCCTCTTCATTATCTGTGGCCCGCGTCACATTCGGAGAGTAATCAAAAATTCGTGTTATTTTGTGTCATAAAATTAATCAGAAAAATCTTTTGACATATTGCTACATCACTAATGTCACTGAATTGTCTAGTGTTGTGACTAGCTCAGGCCACTAGCGAAGTTGAATGATGTGCTTCTCAGTCTAAATCATTATCTGGCTTTCTATCTTTTTGGTCGGGAATATATGCTAACATCATAGAAAACCAAAAATCGAATGCGGATTCTATTAGACTGAGATGGCTCTGCCTGATAACTATGTGTTTGCACAATAAAAGTGTTCGTTTTTTATTGCACTGTTCACCTACTCTTGGCACTAGTTTGGCCCGCGAACAATGCAAAAATAATTTTGTGGCCCGCGGAGCTGACAACCTTGGACCACCCTGATCTAAACAATAAAGAAATGTAAATATCTAAAAATTGTCTGCACCCCATTGTGGGGCACCGCCATCGTTTAAGAACCACTGTTCCAAATTGAAGATCTTAGTTTGATTTTATTTTAATGAATTCAGTAATTTAGCATTGACTGGACTCTAGTTGGACTCAAATCTTGATTTGTCAACGACTCAAAGTAACTAAAGTTATCTAAATCAGTGCTTCCCAACCTATGGGTGGTGACCCAAAACTGGATCGCCTGAAAATCTTCTTGGGTCGCTAGTTTTTTCAATGAAAACCTCAAAGTTTCAACAACTCCCAAAACTTGCTGATAGCAAAAAATTGCTGCTTCATCGCTTTGAGGTAATTTTTAAAAAAGAAATGTTATGTAGAAATGATTTATTATAATGTCATTTTGCGGCCATAAAAACTCTACATGCCATTCAGTATTTGATCATAATCTTCGGTTTGCGAGATTTATATTTCATCAAAAATATGGGTTTCATGAAAAAAATGTTGGGAAACACTGATCTAAATTAAATGACTTGGACTCGGACATAACTAAATCAGAGTGAGAATTAACTGTAATTGGTTATACTTGACTTGAGATTCTGTGACCTGTAACTTGACTTGCCCTGTGACTCATGGTTGAAGGATTTAATATTTTGAATTGGTCGATGATCCTAGTGAAAAATTTTACAAAAAAGGTAATTTTTTGAATCAAAAGATTTTCTGGTGAAACGCTTATTTGGAAATTTGAATAGCATTATTCTTGATTTTTGTAAATATAATTCTTTTGAAATCATAGTTTTATTTATTTTTTATATTATTACTACACTATTTTACTAGCGATTTACATGATTATTTTCATTTTTTGTCAGCTTGATCCAATCCATCGAACATGCGCCGTTTTAGTTCAATCAAACTACATCGTGGTAAAAGTACTTTGTCAATTTCCATCTCAGTATCCGAACAATGTTTCACCAACTTTTCATTTCTTGAAACCGACAAATATAAGCCCGAGTGCAGTCATGAAACTCTCAAATGTAAGTTATCGAGTTTATTTTTCAGTGAATTGATATAAGAGTTGGACTAAAATAGGCTGGAAGAGAAATTTTTTTTATTCACAGTCAATAAATAAGATAATAATAGAATAGGATTTACATATTTATATCTCGGGGGGGAGGAAAGACGATAAGCTGTTAAGACAGCCTAATCATATGGCGAACCACGGCATCTCGCCCGGTTACCAGTCCATGTCGGATATGGGATTAGTTAGCCAGTTATGATGCATGGACTTGATAGTGGAGGGAGCCGAAACAGACCAGTGGTTACTTGAACTACTCTATGGTGGCGGGGAGCCCATCAATGCTCTCGCACATAATTATCTCCCACAGGATTCGAACCCATGAACCCACGCGGGGCATTCAGTAGTGCTGTGGATAGCGTATTCCTAACGCCACACCGAAATGCCCTTAATAGATGATTTGGATAGTTTATTTATGTGGGAATGGCCAAAACCGAATGATTCACTATTCCAAAATCGTTTCGAAATATTGCATTTTAATGTTGAATGTCAAATACATTTGCTTAGATAAATTCACACGAAATAATAAAACACATTGGGACTACTTAATAAAATTAGTTTTTAATTTGCTTTTCAGTTTTCATAGAGATTATTTGTTTCATTCATATTCCAATGATGACAATTTTATAATAGGTTATATAAGTTTGAGCGCTTTCCTAATGCTTGGCACATGGTAACAATCGTTCAACAGCGCTTTTGATTTCTCAATGCTTTTATAACACACATAATAGATCCATTGCCAATTTAAAAATGATACAATCAATTTGCATTGTAATATTATTGAGATTTTGTGGAAAAGAATCAATGAATGAATGCTTCTATATACTCAAATCCTACATATTGAATAATGTACAGATCATTATCACATTTTCATTGATTATTTTTTCCAGATGTTGAGAGAAACGGCACAGAACCATGTCCGAAGCAATCTAACCTGCATTGAACCCTGCTTAAGAATGTTGTCAAGTCAAGTGGAGAACATGTCTGTATGTATAATGTCGATTATTATCTTCTATTGGCTTTATTTGAGCTGAAGAAAAAAAATTTTCCGTAAATTTCGAAACAAAATCTGTATAGTGCAATTCAAGAGTCCAGCTGCACACTAACACAAATGTATTTCTGTAATCAGTTTACAACAATGGTCATTGTGTATTGTGTTGTGTGCAGCAGGACTCTTGAATTGTATAGTATGGTCATGTTTATTCCTGCTACAGCATCCTTGCATTATACACATAGGAAGCCACCAGCGCGAAGGCATTGAGGAAGGATTGGGAGTTAGTCTCGCATAACCTCTACTGATAGTAAAATTTGTATATATTGGAATTTTAGTTTTTTTTGAGCTTTCGAGATAAAATCTTGATATTTAAGCAATGGATATGGCGACCACTTAACTATAATGTGATTTAATCTACATAACAAGAAAGGTGAAAAGAGCATCGCTACTATCTGGCAATAGAGATATGATTATTCTGAACAACCATCGATTCTGCGGTGTTTTAGTAATATGCTTGCCACCGCATCTTTCATTAGCCTGCGTGGTTTCATAAGTTTAAATTCCATGTGGGATAGTTATGTGCGAGAGGATTGCTGGATTCCTCGTCGCTTTAGGGTGGCTCACGTAACCGCTGGTCCGAAAACAAATAACTGGGTAACTAATCCCATACCCGACATGGACTTGTAACCGGGCGAGAGGCTTTATAATTAAGCCGTCTATCGACTTTCCTCTCCCCCAGGATAAACATGTATCCATGCCTTAATGCTCTCTAGTATGTTATTTTTAGATTTAGAAGGTTGAAAATCATTTGACCTGTTTTGAATGTTTCTGCATTTTCTACTAACTAGACCTATCTCTTGGGTTGAAATGAAATCTATTTTAAAATTTTTCTTCAATTTAATATGAAAAATTCCACACTGCTTTCTGTTAAGGAAAACCTAGAAATCTATGAACTAGAACTAGCTGTCTCTCCGTATCAGTGGCCGTTTGCCTACAGCAATTGTAAAACTCCTCGTAAAAATGAATGTGAAAATAACTGTGAGAGCTTCAAGCTCCTTTCCATTTCATATTTTCGACTATTTATTGAGTGAATTATTATTTCCAGCATTCAGAAATCAACAATCAAGATATTTTTCCTCCTTATTCCAATATGAAATCTCAGTCGGGATATGACAGAATGTTTGGAACTTACCAACATCTTGTCAATATTCCTTTCCCGAGAACAAGTGGAGCAAGGTTGGTTTGTAGTTCTGTTGCAGTTTGAAAAATTTCAACATTATTTGTAATCCTTGTGCTATCTTGCTTTTTGTACAAAGAGTGTGTATCCAGGTACACAGAAGTATAGAGCACAGAACAACAGTGAGTACTCCTGAAGTATGTGCACCAAGATGTCGCACAACCTGAACCCTAACATGGTACACAACCTGAGTTCAGGTTGTGCGCCATCTTGGTGCGCATACTTCAGGAGGTCCCAATAGTGTAATTCTAATGTGGTATTTAAGCAGTAGGTTATTGAAAACAAAGTGTACAAATGGATTATTTTGCTGGATTGCCGTTAATTAATGAACAAAGCGATTTCTGATTTTTAGTACTTGAAGATGAAATAAATCACTAGGAGGCTATCATTTTTATTTATTTTTAATTTTTTTGGGACCTGTTTTTTTTTCCACAAAATTTCTGTTTTATTTGACATTATGGGAACACTTATTTTTACATTTGACCTACATATATTTTGTATTTCTCTCTCGTTTTATAAGGAGAGGAAACTTATTCATAAAAACATGAAATAAAACACATTTGTAGAATTAACAAAATTCCGTATTCAATTATCTGTACTCATCGGGAAAGATACGGGTATGGTCTATGTTAATATTGTCATATTTTCATCCTGCTAAGTAGAAAATTCTGTATCTTCAAACTTAGATTCTGTGGAGCTGGTCATCTTGTAACCTTCATGAGACCGACTCAAGTAAAAGGATTTGAAGCAAGTTCAAAACCTGCACCAAGGTAGAGTTACACACAAGGTTTATTATTCACCAGTGATCAGGAATATTCTGAAATATTGAATTTTCAGTAATGCATATAGCCTTCATCTGCTGTTTTACAAATATGGTCCAATATGGTGATATTTTTTCCCAAACCTTCAGCAGACTTGAAAATGAACTCTTTTTTAATGAGTGTAAATATTGATAAACCACAAAATTTTTTAATCATGTTAAAACAAGTTATCTGGTTATTTATCCAAAAGAAAATAGTAAAGTGTTGTCCGAGCTTATACAAGGCTGAAATCTTTTTTTTAGTGTCTCACTCTTGGAAGACATACTAGCCTATGTTTTCCATATCATTTCCAAGTGTTATGTATTGTTGATATTTCAATTCATTTAAATTATTTTGTTGTGCATTCAATGTTTTGTGTAAAGCTATTTAGCCCCCCCCTCTGTTTGGTATAGTAATATATATAAACAAGTAAAAGTTGACATATTCACTCTTTTCTAATTAATAATTAGCCTACTATAGATTAGATCTGTTTCGAACTTCAATCTCAATTTTCAGATGTTTGGCAACACTTATTACATTTCGTAACAACAATATGGTTCAGAAACAATTAAAAGTCGGTCGCCCAATCTCTGCTGTGCAACACATAACTCAATACGCTACAAGTCCTACCGAGAATTCTGATATTTCTGTTAAATCATTTTATTATAAAGAAAAGGTCAGTGTTCTTAGTTACTGTACTTTTATCATTTATATTTTGATACTGTAATTTATGAGAAAATTTTTATGATCTTCAAAAAAATTTCCAAATAGTATGAAGATAAAAATTATGTATTATTAGTGTAAGTAATTAACATATGTTTTGTATTTCTCAAATAACACTGTAATCTCATGTTAAAGATTTTAGGTTTGATTCTTCTATTTTCCGCAACCAGGTCCTTTGACCCATCCAGGGTCTAAGAAATAATAAGGCTTTATTGAACTATTAATGGATATTTCCAATGTCAGTTGTCCTTTGTTTGATTTTCTCCTTATCACTGTGATATACAATTTTTTCGAAGCTGAGGTTTGAAGTTTTTATTGTAGTGTAGGAATGTGTAAAAACTGTGAATAAATAGAGTTTTTTTGAAGTTTCTAGAAATTGTGTATTTTATTAGAGTGTAGGTTCTATATAACCGCTTACCAAATGTATTCAATATTTCATATTCCAACACATAGCACTATTCTTACTTTAGAAAAAGACCATAACATGTACCGGTAAGAAGCATCTGGAAGAAATAACTGGGTAACTAATCTCATACCAAACATGGACTGGTAACCAGACGAGTGGCCATAGTTTGCCATATTATTAAGCCATCTTATAGGTCTTCCTCTCCTCCAAGATATATATGAACTCCTATCCTATGTATTACTCAAATTGAGAAACTATTGTTTTAGAAACCTCGTAAATCATGGAAGCATCATGTCAAGGAGAGTGTTGGATCGTCGTCCGATCCAGCCTCGTCATCAGATAAATTACAGATGAGACTTCACAAAGCTGCAGGAAAAGTTGTCATTCAAGACCTTTCTACAGTGTTAACATTGAATAAGAAATTAGCTGAGGAATATGTCGTGTAAGATGGTTAATTTTGTTTAATCTAGCAAGGTGTGTTTTTTGGAATATAGCTAATTAGGGGGTAAAATAAATATGTTTCTATATGGCTTATTGGGATAAAGTGTTGAAGGACATGTGACAAAGCCCTTGCTAGCTATTATTCATCCATTCCTTATTTTGGAGACATTGGTTTCTTAACCAGATTTGTTGTTTTTTAATCAGTAATTGTTCAAATATTTTTATTACATCTGTGCGGGCCAAAACAAAATATAACTCTCCGATTTTAAAATAATTTAGGATTTTATAGACACTCTATAGAGTTTTTGTCATATGTGTATCAATTTTATTGCTAGTTCGCCTTTCTTTGAAATGATTATGACTACTTTCTGAAAAGATGCACAGCACACACAGTGCATTGAGAGTTTAAGTAATCAAGAGAGAGTAACTGATTCACATCTGCATTTCTTCATATTTTTTCAGACCCACAAAATACGATTATATCCAAACTTGTCAAAAGAATCGTGAGGCTGCAGACAGACTTGGAAGAAAAGATCTTGTTGAAGTAAGTATATTAATCTAAAATATTCTGTTGTTTGTGAGTTATGCATACATTGACTTGCAAATAAGTTGAGACTTGAAATCTGTGAAAAATTGGAATAAATAGTGAAGTGAACTTGTATTCTTAGAATTGCCTAGGCATTGTGGCATGTCATGTTAAGCGTTAGAAATATGCTCACCACCGCACCTCTGATTTGCACGTTTGAATCCCATGTGGGGATAGTTATGTGCGATTAACCACTGGCAAGTTACAGCTCCCTCCACCATCAAGTCCATGCTTCCGAAAACAAACAACTGGCAAACTAATCCCATATTCAACATGAACTGGTAACCGGATGACACGCCGTGGTTTGCCATATGATTAAACCGTCTTATCGACTCTCCTCTTTCTCTGGATAAATATGTAAATCCTACATATTAAATCATTGTTTAGTAATTTTTTTTAGATTGTCGTTGTTGTCTGTAAATACATCTTATGTTTAATTGTAAATAGTTTTAGTATAGATTAGTATAGATTTTCATTTGAAAATGCTTCATATTTTTGATTTATACAGTGTATGTGTATTTAATCTTCTTTGTGCTCAAATTTACCTCTACTTACATTGCTTTACCAATGTGCTCTTCCTTCAGTTATGGTCATCTCTCGAATTGATTCAATCTTCAGTTCTTCAAGATAAATCAAAGTTATCGTCTGATTATCGACCATGGGCATCAACTAGTTTTGGGAAAGGGCTGTTGTCTTCATTGTAAGTAATTGTAATTGATGTTTATTTTGTTTGGAATGATAATGAACTGGAATATTGCATAATACTAGCTGAAGATCTATTAAAGCTTGAAGGAATATTAGTTTTCTTGCAAAGTTTATCGAAGGGCGAACTTTAACGAAAAGGTCTAGAAATCTATTTTCATAACTGACATGGACTGTGACAATGGTGTTAATTCAGTATAAATGTATAATTAGTAAATGCCCATAAGCATAACCGAAGTAATCCACAAGACCCACCAACAGATTTGAGCCCTTAAGTACAGAGAGAACATGGCTATCTCACCTTTACAGCTGATTGGTCATGATCAGTCATCTGTGACTAATGACATCACAGGTCATGCTCAGCCACCCGGGAAAATGCTTGTTGCCAAAAATACAATAAAGATACAGTTAACACTGCGAACCAGACCAAGGGTGGAGGTCGGAGTATGTATAGCTCACTTGAAGATAACCATTTTATAACTTTCAGAATCGACCATTACAGTCAACTTCTTGATGTTCAGACTCTCGCAATGATTAGTTGTATGTTCGTAGAGAACAGCGAGATAAAACAGGACAGATATCAAATACCTCACAATAACACTGTACCTCTGTTCAGAACTGGATCTTTCAGCAGTTTTGAGGTAAATTTCAATTCTTTGTACAGATTAACATTGAACAGAAATCCTTCTGCTGAAAAAGTCAGCTTTTTTAACAGGTGGCGTAATCACGGTGACTATTCCAGAAGCTGTTGCAAATAAAGTTCCCTTCGCCCCTGCATATGGAGTGGCTGGTGAAAGCTTGTTGTGTATTACCAAATTTATTTCAATAACTTGCCACAAAACTGTGTACACAACGCAAAAATGTGCATTTTCACCTTCATAGAAAGCACGTAATAATCAGTCAACTCTTACTGGTGCTGAGCTATCTGGTAAAATACTAGTTGCAAGATATGGAATAAAAATACATCTAACAATCCATAGATTCCATAAACATAAATGGCTCAAATTTTCATTAATAGGTTTAGTTATTATGGGTTGTTGTGGCATCTTTACACAAAACAAGGCATTAGATGAGCAATTATTGGTATATGAAGGTACATCCATCTTTGATCTCACATTTCACTTGTGGTGACCTATGCCTTGACTCTAGGCTTAGGGACGATGTTTTCACTATTCCCTCACTATTATTTCAGAATGAAAGCAGCAATGGTTCACATCGAAGTAATAGTTTCTGTGAAAATCCTGCAGATCCATGGTGGATGAAAGCCGGTCCTTCACCTAGTGAGTTACATGTTCTATTGCAGAAATTTATAGTATAGGCACATCATGCTAAGCATTAGGAATACGCTTGCCACCGCACCTCTGATTACCCTGCATGGGTTCGCAGGTTCGAATCCCATGCAGGAATAGTTATGTGCGAGAGGTAACCTGGACTTCTCGCTAGTAAATGCTTCCACTGGTCAGTTACGACTTCCTCCACCATCAAGTCCATGCTTACAAACACAAATAACTGGCTGACTGATACCATCCCCAAGATTGACTGGTAACCGGACGAGAGGCTGTGGGTCACCATATGATTAAGCCGTCTTATCGACTTTCCTCTCCCTCAGGATAAATATGTAAATCCTATCTAGTTCACACCTTGAGCATATTGCATCTGCTATGGGCAGAACTTTGTCAGTCAAGTGCTGACATAGATTGGTTCTTTATGCCATCAATATTTTTGTCATGCAAATCACACTAGAGATGTGAAATATACAGCAACTTGACTGTGAAAAACTATAGTTTGGATTGCCTACACCAGGGGTGCACAACCCAAATGAGGACGTGTGCGAAATTTTTCAAAATAATTCTGTCGCGAGCCACGCACAATCGCTGTAATGGTAAATTACCTCCCGTAAAACACACATTAAACAAATTTGAATAATAAGACTAAATAACGAATATATATTCGTTGAAACAATTTAATGTCCTGAAAAACTGCGGATTTTGATACGAGCGTTATATTTTAATGTATATCATAAATAAATAAAAATTCTTTTTACAAGACCATTCGCGTGCCACGTTTAAGCGTATGGCCTGCCAAATTTGGCACGCGTGCCACGTGTTGTGCACCTATTGCCTACACAATTTATTACACCCTGGCCCCTGGGTGAGGCAGTGGGCATGGGATTTAAATTCCTAGATTTTAATCTGTGATGTCATCATAGTTGAGTCTAACAACACATTTATTGTTATATTCAGCAAGCAATTTGCCAAACTATTTGGACAGTCCTCCAGACAGTGATTACCGATATATAGAATCTCCTGTTGTTGATCATGAACTCAATGAACACGATACTCATGAAAAACTTAAACAGTGAGTATTTTTAAGTTTGTTACTGAGTCACTCTGACTCACTCTTCTATGATTATGTCGAGCCACTGGAAGCATTTCAAGACACTAATGAGTTATCTAGGTAACCATTGGTTGCATTTAACTAATTTGAATTTATTCATCTGAATTCAAGTGTAACAGATAAAAGTCTTATTAGGACTGTGAAGTATGATCAGTGCTTGTTCAATTAGGTGACCGTACATTTGAACCCATGTACATTTGAACCCATGTGTATATCCACGGGTTCAATCTATATGCGGGTGCTAAAACCCATGGGTTAGGGTTAGTATGGGTTTAACTATCCGTGAAACACAAAAAATTCCATAGGTGCAATAGCATACAGGTGCAATTGTCATGGGTTCAAATGTACGTGGGTTCAAATGTAATGGAACCGTTCAATTACTATTAGCGAAATACTGTCACTCAGACCCTATTTCATTGACCTTAATTGGACATGCATCAACCATATTTTGCTGACCGTAATGAGACACTCACTGACCCCAATTGGCACTCATTCACCAGATTTCACAGGCATATTGTATTTCACTTGCCGTAATAGGGCCTTTATGCTACCACCACGGCTAGGTTGAAAGTCAACTGTCTAAAAAGCCATTGTGTATACTTTCCTATCAGAATGATGCTAAAATATATATATATATATCACTGTCAAAAAAACAAACATTTTTTCAGACTTTTAGATTTCAGTAAGGAATCTCAGTATGATGCATTCAAACAGGCATATGCAGATATACTGGATAGATGGGGATTGTTGAACCAAAGAACTGAGATTTTAAAATACAAATCGCAGCCTGCACCGGCCCACACAGGATTAGGTAATGTTTGCTTCACTCAATGCAATAGTTGTTTTTGGACACGAAGTGGACCTATTGATTGTTTTGCTATTATGTTGTTGTTGTTCACTTTTCTCATTCACTAATAGACCTATTGTGTTGAAATTTTCAGTGGTTATAGATCGAATTTTTCGCTAGGGGACTTTTACTTTCATTTATTTCAAAAATTATGGGATTCTGTGTGATTCATTTTTATGTGTGATGACGCAATAAAGATTAAAAAATTCCGCTCCTGGTGGCGGTTTTGCTTTGGCGTAAGGTAAAATCTGCTGCTCAGCTGCGAAACAGTATCAGTGGGCTACTGTGACAGACTGCATACCCATACGATTTCATGTCCATATATTTAGAGCATCTCTCTCTAGTTCAAATTATAGGTTGTGAAAATGAAGAATTATAAATATATCTGTTTTGTTTAAATAAAAACATTTTCAAACGTCTTGAAAATAGGTCAGAAATAGGGCGAAGAATAAATAGATGTAGAAAGCTGGGGACGTGAAGCTGATTAAAAATAAAAATATTTGTTAGATTTGATCTCGTCCGCACTATTTTGGATATTTTCATTTCTTCATCTTCGAACTTTACGTTCCATCCACTTATTTTAAAGGTATTTTTAAAATAAAACATACTTTCGCCTTACTATCTGTTATTTGTAGCTTATCGTTAGCTAGTTATTTTTGAGCTGGGGCGCGCGACTTGACAAATTCTAAAAAGGGGACACGGCTTAAGAAGTTTGAAAACAACTTTCCATCGATCAGTGATTATACGATGTGCTGTTACATTATTTAGAGAAAAAATTGGAAAAAGCTACATGCCAGTGACAGATTAATTTTTTTTAAACTTGCATATATTATTATTCAAACCTTCACTTTGATAGAAGCTTTTGACGAGCAGTTAATGATAAGTATAATGTCACTAATTTCAAAATGAGTTTTTTCAGATTTGTTGTCTACTAAAGTTTGAACAAATTTGTATATTTTCAGTGTTCATGATTTCCTGCCAGTACTGTGAGTCAGAGACACAATCGCCTCAGTGTACATACTGCAGAAAATTTGCAATGAATTGTTCATTGTGTCAGTTACCTGTCAAGGTTGGTGATTCTTTTTCCATTTCAAACATGAATACTGTATTTTAAGGATTTATATATTTATCTCTTGAGGAAAATCAATAGAGCGGCTTAATCATATGGCGAATGTCCGGTTACCAGTCCATGTTGGGTATAGGATTGGTTAGCCAGTTATTTGTTTCAGATGCATGGCCTTGTTGGTGGTGGAAGCCATAACTAACTAGCAGCAATCCTCTCACACATAATTATCCCGCGGATGGGATTCCGACCCACACAGAGTAATCTGAGATGCAGTGCAAGCGCATTCCTACCGAGCTAGTGATTGGCTATTAATAGGATTAGAAAGCCTTTTTCTATGAGTTCTTCGACACACTTGCGTAATTACCGGTAAACGAATTTTTATAATTTGATTTTAGTTACACCAAGATGTATTCTGCCTGTTTTTTTTTAAATGTTGGTATTTTTGCTTTAAATTTTAGTTTTCAAAAATCACCCAAAAGTTGTTGTTCCCTATTTGTCATTCTATTGTCAAGTTTGCTTGTATTTCCCATGAATCAAATAATCACTTTCTAATACTCACTGTATTCAAAGACAAGAAACATCCTAGCAACATTCTGCTTCTTAATAATAACTAAACTTTTATGTTCAGAACCTTATGAGTTTCTGCTATCTATGCGGTCATGGAGGCCACACAGATCATATGGAGTCTTGGTTTCAAAGCAGCATGTCTTGTGCGACAGGATGTGGTTGTGAGTGCAGACCAAGACAAGATAGAACTATATTATGATTGCCAATGAAAAACATCTCAGTTCGAGCTGAACCTTCACACTGAATACGGTGATCCGCCATGGAAGTGAGCAGTGTATTAAATGGTGTTGACAGCATTCAACCTGTCCAACACATCATTTTGTAGTAAAATCCTATTCCATAATCTAAGAATTTCATGCACAAGGGAGCATAATGTACACTAAGCATTGGTATGATTACCTTCAACATAGCTTCCCTTTTTCTGTGAAACGATTACTTTGCTGGTTTAATATCGCAACACAATGTTTTGTTTACCTGTTGGTCAATTATCAAGGGTGTGCAACCTGTGGTTCACAAGGAAAAATTGTGCGGTCCGTGGAGGAGTGGCCAGCAGAACAAGTTCTTAATTTAGTTTAATCCGGTATGTGCTTGTAATTCAAATCCCTTTGCGTGGAAAACTGAGTCCAATTTCTTATCTATGCTTATGGCGTTACAATGCCCTACTTGTGCGAAGCGAACAAAGCCTATCATAGAATCAATAACCAAAAATTTTGGGCCTGCAATTACTAGAATAACTATGTTGAATAAAATGTTGAAAAATTTCACCCAGATATCTGTAAATGGCCCTCTTGTATTAAAGGTTGCACATCCCTGGTCAATCACAGATTATTCGGAAATCCATGCATCTGGAATTTCATGGCTGTATTGGTGACTATACGTGATGTATAAAAGCTGTAGTGTCACTGCAGTGTGTTGAAAATGATTTTTTTTATAAATATTGCCTATATGAATACTCTTTTCAATCTAAATTGTGTGTTATTATGGAAGAGCAACTTCGTGAGAATTTCTTTTGAATTTCTGGATAAGTGTAGATGTCAGACAAATTTCAAATTGTAATTGATAGGTATCCATTAGTTTCATTCTATCAAGAGGTGGATAGTGCAGGGATAACCTTTGTAGGGTTGGTTCACAAATAGTTTTGACGAGTTTGTGCAACAGATACGTTCTAGTGCTTGGGTTTCTGCAGAAGTGTTGTTTTTGTTGAGAACCGACTAATTTGTCAAATTGTGACCAGTTAATGTGTTCAACAAAATACAGCGTCCAATGGAGATTTCAAAGTATGCCGGCAGATGACAATACTGGATAACTGCTTATCATGGGCCACTGCTAAAGTGTCTAGATCAGTGGTTTAGAAAGTTGATTGACAAAGAGATTCCCAAAATTTGAAGCGGACGGGTATTCACGCAGTGCCTGCAAGGGGTCGGTACACATGATTGAGATACCTATCCCACTTAAGTTTGGCGGGCTGTAGTAAATCGTTACGTGGACCGTAATTGAGCTGCGGTTCGTGAACCCTGGTCTAGGTAATAGATTCTCAACCAGTGGTTCCACAAGATTACAATTTAAATCAGAGATATTGATGTATATTGTTTAAATATGATCAAAGCCATAAGTATAATACAATACTGGTGTCCCGTGGCATATTTTATAATATAACATATAATCGACTGCATACGGGTTCCTCAACACAAGACTCTGGAATGTTCCACTAAGGTTTTCCGCCCCACCCAAAAGGTAGAAAGCAACTGGTTCACAACCTCTTACTGGTTACAGGTCTATCTATGGGAATAACATGTAGTCAGTTAAAAGCTTGGCGCTCCATAAGTTAGTGTGTGTACCAATATGGAGGAAACTAATATTGTTCGCCTCCTTTACATCAAGTTGTGTAAATGAACTATTCACTTAGCTAACATATACAGTCCCCGAACTCGTAACAGAACTAATATTAGAAAAATCGGAAAAGAATTATTGCCTAACCTGGTACTCACACAACGAGAGTACCGAAAGTCTGGCACACACGAGGGCAGAGGCAATGACACAGTATGCAATGGTTAGCGGCACTAACCTAACTTAGCGCAAAAAAGGACTCTGGATAAACCTGGCAACAGCAAGAAGCAAAAACTGGACAGCAATCTCTGTAATAGATTTTATTTACATTTTAGTTATTGTTTCAATTAAAATCATAACCTATCTGATGAGAAGACTGCTTTATCTGTGCAAAATCCAAAAATGATTCGCAAACTCTGGTTTACTTCCAATACTAGGTGAAAATAGCAAATGCACCATTCATTTTAGTATAAAGTAGCAACCTGAGTGATTTCATATACATGAAACATTTAAAAACCCGACAGATCATTTTGTTATTTATGGACAACAGCTTGTCTTCGCAAAGTACCACTCAATGATTAGAAAGGCATGTTCATACTGACTTCACAATACCATACACAGAAACTACGTTTAATTAGATTGTACACAAAGCAACATTAACAGTTAATTCCATTATGATAAAATGGGAAAGTAGAGACCTGGGCAAAACAAAATTATATATAACATAAAGGTACCTTGATACATCGTGTCATGAGTTTTTTGAAATTATGTGTCGAGTTTTTTGAAATCAGTGCTGTAGCTTAGCAAACAGTGATCAGAGAATAACTAAGAACACCATGGACACTGTCATATTTGTCTAAGTTGAATACAAAAGCATGATTTGTTTCAAATTTGGCCATTATATTTTGAGCTTCATATATGTTATATTCGAGTGGTCCGCAAGTCCTCAGAACTTAATTGCATCTAGTTCTTATTATTCAAAGCATTCGAGAGCCAGTCGAGACCTTCATATAATCCATCTCCAGTGGTGGCACAAGTTGCTTGAATGTACCATTTTCGGCTACGCATATCCTCCAGCCCTAATCCCTTGGATATTTCAGCAGTTGTTGCTGCATTAGGAAGATCTTGTTTGTTTGCGAACACAAGAAGAATGGCATCTCGTAATTCATCTTCTGACAACATTCTCTTTAATTCCTCCTTTGCTTCACAAAGTCTCTCTCTATCATTGCTATCCACGACAAAAATAAGACCCTGTGATGTGAAATGAAATATTCGGGATTGCAGAAAAAAGTTAGTCGATTGCAATCTTTAAAATTAAAGATTTACAGTGTTGCTGAGGGAGTTTTATATGTTTTCCATGACGTTGGAATTAAAATTTCAAATTCCCAAGAACAGGAATTGTAGACTTACCAATATGGAGGTAACTAATTTTGTTTGCCTTCTTTACATCAAGTTTTGTAAAGAGACTGAAACTTATGGGCAGGGAGTATATTCACTTGGCTAACACAGACAGTCCCCGAACTTGTGATAGAACTAAAATGAGGAAATCGGAATAAAATTATGCCCTAACCAGGTACACATACTAAGGTAGTACCAGTAGTACATAAACTCGAAAAGCGTTAAGTTTATTAAGTGTTTTTTAAAAGTCTATTAAAGGAGACTTGAGTATGCCAAGTTTTTGTTATCAAAATCAGATTTTTGTTAAGAGGTGGAATCAAAATTCGTAAATTTTATTGACTCCACCTATTGTGTTGAAGCCTTGCCAATGAGGCTGTGAATTTTAGGCAGATAATAAAAAATAATTTCAGGTTTTATTCATGTTAAATAAAAAAGAGCAATAAAGCATAGGTTAACATTTAACAGTTTGGGAAATTAAGGTTTTGATATTCGACAACCAACCTGAGTATTCTGGAAATAATGTCTCCACAACGGACGAATCTTATCCTGACCACCGACATCCCACACAGTAAAACTGATGTTTTTGTATTCGACCGTCTCAACATTGAATCCAATTGTAGGAATCGTTGTAACAATTTCACCAAGCTTCAACTTGTATAAAATTGTTGTCTTTCCAGCAGCATCAAGACCAACCATAAGAATTCTCATCTCCTTTTTTCCAAAAAAGTTTTTGAATAGGGATGCGAAACCACCCATTTTGGTCTGGTGAATTGACAATTAAAATAATAATATAATGAATAAATCTAAAACAAAATTGGTATACTCATAATATGTAAGTAGCAAAAAATCTACAATTGGAATAGACAGCATTGAATATGAGCAAAAAGCAGAATATCTCGAAAAAAAACAGATGTTTATTTAAAATCTCTACACATGTCTAAAAGTCATACATTGCGAAACGGATAAAATTTGATATATTTCCATAATAAATAGTAAAATTTATCTTAACATTTTTGATCAACGTTTATTCGATATAGCAAAGAAGCGTTTACATTGCGTTATAGTTAAAACTGGTGTATTTTGATGATTTCTATAATAAATAGTAAAATGTATCGAAAATTTTCAATCAATGTTTATTCAAGGAAAAGGATAGCAGAGAATCATTTCAATCAGTGGGGGATTCAGAAGATACCCACAAACTGTGACACACCCATTGTTCTTATTGTGTAATCTTATTACTTATCGGTGAGTATGTTGATAGGTACCTGTCGGTTAGACACTTTCGTATGTTACGCGATATCTCACGAAAGCGAGGTTGAATCTGCTTCAATTTTTGCATGTGCATTCATCAAATCTCGGACCAGAAGCCTATTAATTTTGGACGAATCATGTCATATAATCAGCGAGTTATTAATTAATTGGTGATGAGACATGTGGTGTCGCTATTGAGTCAGAACGAAGGAATCGAAACCGCAGATCAATAAGTTGGCGGTCTCCGATCGCTGTCTAGTTCTTATTGTGTAATATTATGTTAGGCTCTCGTATTGTTGCTGAGTTATTGGTTCGACATGGTTCTCAATATGAGGCAAGAGAGAGTCTGTTCTTAAAATTTATAATCCCGTAATTTATCACACATAACAGGCCATGGTTTATCATCCAAGTAGGCTGCTAGTCAAGGTCAGGGATTGGAATAGTTCGCCAACTTTTTTTTCAAATGCAAAAAACAATGAAATTTTCATTATCATATAAAACCAATGCTAAGTCATTCAATTTACTCTATTAAGATCAACAATCAAAACTGAAAAATATTTGAAAACAGTTTGAAGAGATCAAGAAATACCAATAAGTACCAAATCAGAGTTGTGTTCAATGCATTCAATTAAAAAAATCACTTGTGTGTGCGCCATATATACATTTTTTGCTTTTCTATGCAACCTCCAGGACATTTGCGCATTTCTTTTCAATTTTTACTAACAATCTTTTACCAATATTTTGTCCTGGTCGTGAAATCAAAATATATTTTTCTAATTTATCGATTTTTTCACAAATTGCTAGTCTGAGATTAATATGGAGAGAATTAAAAAGGGATGCTGCTGTCTCTGTTTATTTTTTAAACGTTTAAAAATATCTGAAGAAGAATATTAGAGATCTTCTAACATGGAATGTTGACACATTTTTCTGATGCATAATATCATATTATAACTAAGAACCAGGGATATCTTTCTTTGAAACTTTCAACCAAATCATGCATCAAATTACTACATTATTTGGGGCCACTGTGCAATAAACTATTAGCTACAAGATTAGTAATATATTAAGTGATAAATATTGATATTTACAAATAAAACAGTGGGAGTATAATGAGCAGCAAGACAAAATAGCTCTGCAAATGTTGGTGATGTAGAAGCAGTTAGCCAGGCAATTCATTTTCTGAGTAAATCATTGCGATTGCACACAGAGAACTGCTCATTTGATTATTATAAACTACTGCTGTGAACTTCAAACATTTCTCAGATTAATTTAAGCTTTCGTACTCCTGTAATGTATGTACCAGGTCGGGTTAGGCCATAATTTTATTCCGATTTTCCTTATTTTAGTTCTATCACAAGTTCGGGGACTGTCTGTGTTGGCCCAGTAAATATACCCCTGCCCATAGGCTTCCGTCCCTTTACACAATTTGATGTGAAATAAGCGAACAAAGTTAGTTACCTCCATATTGGTACACACATCTTTGGAGCGCCAAAGCTTGACATTATGAACAGAAATGTTGATGAAGTTCCATTATTCACACAAAAATCAGTAATAAAATCAAAATAATTATTGTTAAAATGTGCTACAAAGTGAAAAAATATCGGTGTAATGGGATCATATAGCTTGGATACAATTTTTGCCTAGATATTCTTGGTAAGATCTGGCATATATAGGGATGAAAATTTAGTTAATTTTTATTTAAATCAAAATGTTTTATCATAAATGTTTAAATTATTTTTTCATAGCCTGCTGCCATTGTTTAAGACAGAAAAACTATTATTATTATTTCTTCTGAATGTTGTTTCTAATACAAATAAGGTCAAAAATGGTTTATTATTGCAATTGCAAAAATAAAATATGAATCCATCAAGCTTTTAAACTGAAACTTTTCATAATTTGATGATGTGGTTGAATGTTGGAATGTTTAACTTCAAACTACGATATGAAGAATTATATACAACTCATATATGTTACATTCTGAAATGGGTGAAAATGATCAAGTTACACAAACGGTGTAATATAGTCTAGTCTCCTTACGACTTTACATCCAAATTGCTCATGATTTTCCAAAATTCGGAAACCTCTACTTCACATTCTTCAAGGTTCTAGACAGCCAATCGAGACCTTCATATAATCCGTCACCAGTAGTGGCACAAGTAGCTTGAATGTACCATTGTCGGGTTTTCATGGTATCCAGTTCCAACCTTTGTTTGATGCAATCCGTAGACTCAGCATTAGGAAGATCTTGTTTGTTTGCAAACACAAGAAGGGCAGCATCACGTAATTCATCTTCCGACAACATTCTCTTTAATTCATCCCGAGCTTCATTAAGTCTCTCTCTGTCATTGCTATCCACTACGAAAATAAGGCCCTGTGATATGAATGTGAAGGATACATTATCCATATCAGTATAGTCAAAGGAATATTTCGCAGAAAAATAATGTCCATTGGGTTTTTAGGCCATAAGTTTATTCTGATTTTTCTTATTTCAGTTTTATTACGAGTTCGGGGACTCTCTGTGTTAGCCAAGTGAATATACCCCCTGCCCACAGGTTTCCCTTCCTTTACACAACTTGATGTAAAGCAGGCGAACAAAATTAGTTACCCCTTAATTTGATAATAACATTTCGAGTGAAATACCTCATAAAAATAATAAAAGATGCAAAGAGAATATACGTGAAGTTACTAGTGGTTACATTTTTTGAAATATAATTTGAAAAAAGTACGATAAATATTGGGAATTCATCATGATCGTGAGAACGATTTCATTTTCAGTTTGAAACAATCCCGATAACTACTATTCATTAACAACGGAGACATCATTTTAAAAAAAGTCATTCAAAGTCAAATTCTTCATAATAATAGTTTAGTTATAATAGTAACGGTTAGATCAACAAATATCTCTGATGAACCATAGACACGCCCACTCATGACAACTCAAGTGTTGAGTGAGTCACCAATGACCACTCACAGATAATTGTTAACTAATTTGAGTAGAATTCTGGTGCAAGAAACATTTTTTTACAATCATTATCAGGAAAAATAAACTAAGATTCCATACTGAACAAGTTTTTTATTTATTTTCGACACAAATCCAACCTTTGAACAGTTAAAATATGATGCAAAAGGAAAGTGGGTCAAGAACAATTGGACATTGTGTATCGTGCATGCATGTGATGAAAATATTCGATCTATAAGAAAACATCATTATCAAGATTCCCACAACAAAGGGAACAATGCTCTATAATTTTGACCTGATCCTAATAATGAACAAGTGTTATACGAGTGTCTGTAAAATAGTAACATTGGTAAAATGATCCAGTTTAGTTGGTATAGTGGAAAAAAAAAATCGTTTTATATGACTAGAAAAAAGTTGAATTCACCCTAGATACCTAACTTTTTAGCACATAAATATTCAGATATTTAACAACACCCAACCGGGGAAAAAAAGTATGACAAGACAGGTGGAGGTTCATTCTATGCAGAAGAAGAAAATCGCAATATTTATGTCAAGTCTCAGACAGAAAATAGAAAGTCAGGAAGTACTATCATGTTATTGCTAAACTACTAACTTTCTGATCTGTTTGTTTATTGATCTTGTGTCTCCTGTGTTGGGTTAGACCTAGGTTGGGTTGTTGCCACACCTTTATCTGTTTACTTTACTAACAATTGATATTTTCCCTCACATATCCTAACCTAAAGTAAGGTAAACGTGAAAGGCAGGGATGGCCAAAACCGAATATTTTACCATTTCGAGAAAATATTTTTGAATATGAAATAATGAACATATTCTATATTGGGGGCACGTTCATGTGGAAAATTTTATAATGACTATATATTTATGTTGATCATCTATCCAAAAAGGTCAATGTTTTTTGTTTTTCCTGTGTTGTTCCTTACCAGTTTAGTTAGTTATTGAATGTTTTGTTCTACTTGTTTGATGGCTCAAAATCACTAACTTTTAAATAATAATGCACTAAATTATTCCTAAATTGGAAAGTTACTATATCGTTCTATTGAATTTCTAATGTATTTGTATTGGACATCCTTGTGTGAAACATCTGAGAACTAAGATGAATTTTTGTTTAATAACGCCAAAATTACAGTAATTAAAATAAATAACAATTGCTAACTATCTGAGATAAACTAGCTTAGTAGTCACAACATTATTATTCCTATTAAAAACCAACGAAACCTGAAACCTGAACTGAACACAAATAGGTACTCCCGAAGTATGTGAACCACGATGGTGGACACCGGAACGTAGTATGTGTACAAGGTTAGGGTTAGGCCATATTTTCAGGTACAAATACTACGGGAGTCACTTGGCTAGTCCCCAAACTCGTAATAGAACTAAAATAGGGAAAATTGGAATAAAATTAGGACCTATCCCCAACCTGGTACACACACTTCATTCGGGTGTCCGCCGTCTTGGTTCACAATTGGAGTATCCATAAATATTCTTCCAAAGATCAGAAAATGACACGAAAATTATTCAAAATGAATTACAATTGTTTACTATCTGAGATAAACTAACTTAGTAGTCAGAACATTAATATTTCTATTAACAACTAACGAAACCTGAACTGGACATGTATATTCTTCCAAAGAAGCATAATCAGAAAATAACACAAATTGACTCAGAAAATACTTTATTTTTTGTGTGAGATTCATGCTTGGCCAGGGACAAAAAGTTTGTGAGGGGAAGCAACTATGTCATCAACTACTAACTAAAGTGACTTGAGTCATGAAGGAAAAAATAGAAACCAAAATCAGAATATATCGATTGAAGGATTTGATTGCACTTATATTCGAGTTGCACAAAAGGTAGAAAAAGGAATACAAAATTTCTAGAAAATTGTAATAATTTTTGGTACTACCGGCCGTAGTGTGTGTACCAGGTTATGGTTAGTCCATAATTTTATTCAGATTTTCCATATTTTAGTTCTATTACGAGTTCGGGGACTGTCTGTGTTAGCCAAGCAAATATACCCCCTGCCCATAGGTTTCAGTCCCTTAAAACAACTTGATGTAAAGTAGACGAACAAAATTAGTTACCTCCATACACTTCTGAAGCACCTAATTATTACCACATCAAATATTTTTTTCAAATAACAGGGCTACAGGTTTTTTTTCTTGTTTAAGAATCCTTATCCCTAGTAATCAGACTATAAGCAAGAACTATGCTACTAAAGGTAAAAAGTTATTTTTTCACACAGTTGTCAAACTATTACCTTGTAGTAATACATTAATTTACATTTCACTGTAATCATGTTCAAGAGATTCTAAAGCATTGTCATTATGCCTAATAAAATTAAGAGAGCGATGCTCAAATATATGGACATTAAGGCCAAACGAAGTAGTTTTATTTTATTGACGTCATCGCACCCAAAAAGTAAATCCCTTAGAACTCGTAGGAATTTTTTCAGTACCGTAGGTAAAGTGATAGACTTTATTAAGCGTAAAATACTATCTTTAACCACTGAAAATTTCAAAGCAATTGGTCCCGTAGTTAATGTTACAATGAGAACAAGAATGAGAATACAAAATGACAACTCAGTGTTCAATAATGGAAAAGGTAACATGGTGCAATAGAGACATCTACAAATTATTTTATAGTGCACGTCAATTTTACAAGTGTTGGACAAGCAAGCAAAGATAATTCTACAAAGCCCTTAGTTCTCAGTAATTGTTTTCATTTACACTGTTTTATCATCTGTGTCATACTGGGTTAACTGTACGAAGATAGCAAATTTTTAATCTACTGTGAAAACCGTCTCAGTTATTTACAAAAAAGTCACTGTACGTGTACACAATGTTATTGCTAATCTATATTCAGGATCAGTGAAACAATTCTCGTTACATGCATATAATATATATGATGAATTTCCTGTCTTGAATAATTGTAACTAATGGCATATTGGCATGTCCTGAATCCTTTAATAATATACGGTAATAATCATGTATCGTCATTAAGAAGAGAGATCAAGTCTATTTGTTATCACACTTCTAAAATACTTTCTATCTAAATTTTAATATTGGTCAGTGTATGCCAGTTACACCTCACGAGCTTAACTTTTTTCGGTACTCCAGTAGTATGTGTACCAGGTTAGGGTTAGGCCATAATTTCATTCTGATTTTCCTTCCTTTAGTTTTATTACGAGTTCGGGGACTGTCTGTGTTAGCCAAGTGAATATACCCCCTGCCCATTCCCTTTACACAACTTGTTGTAAAGTAGGTGAAAAAAATTAGTTAACTCCATATCGGTACACACACTTCTGGAGCGCCTTTTTTGTAACAATTTTATCATATTTTACAAAACGAGTGCTATGCCATGGAGAAGTAATTTTCAGTTCACTTCATCTCACATGATTTAAAAAGATACAACAAATAGGAGAGTGAATGCCCGTTTATAAAGGAAAATTTATCCTGCCCAAAAAGAATTTGGTTGCTACAAACCGGAACTCAAAAGGCAGTGATTGATGATAAAGCTCACAGCAAACGTTATTAGGAATCGTTTCTGTAATAAAAAGTGATGTTTCTGGTTTACCTGAGTATTCTGGAAATAATGTCTCCACAACGGACGAATCTTATCCTGACCACCGACATCCCACACAGTAAAACTGATGTTTTTGTATTCGACCGTCTCAACATTGAATCCAATTGTAGGAATCGTTGTAACAATTTCACCAAGCTTCAACTTGTATAAGATTGTTGTCTTTCCAGCAGCATCAAGACCAACCATAAGAATTCTCATCTCCTTTTTCCCAAAAAGACCTTTCAATGCGGACGCAATTGCACCCATTTTAAATTATGGTTAAAATATCAATATTATTAAGTTAAACTCTGAAAACAAAGGAGTATAATCATAATATGTAAATAGCACAAAACTAAATATTAAAATTATGACGATCTAATAACGACAGAATCATAATCAAGCATTACAAATCGGACAATACATCCAAATAACATTACGTAAATATTTCAGATTGTTGGCCACTGTTTCATTTACTCTCATGCAAAGCACTGATAAACACTTATTGCTATGTGGTCATTGCTTAGCCGTAGAAACATTTAATAATATAGGTAACACACAATTTAATACATATTCTAGAAAGTTTTCCAAGAAAAGAAAATATCAATGTTATGAATCTCAATCCTACAAAGTAATAGCCCCTAGAGTATCCCCATAAGTCTAATGGAATATAATATTAGAATAAAGTAGGAGGGACAAAAGTATTTTTATAACATGCATCAACTCCCATTATATATGTAGCAAGACATTATTTACTTCTATAAAAAACTGTAGCGAAGATGAGCTCTTCTCTTGACATAAAGATTCAAACCAGATATAAGGTTCGAATACTGCAGATTGTAGGTCACTGTTTTATTCATTCTCATTTTAAGCAATAATATAACTTTTAAAAATCATGTGCTCGTCCTTGATCATGTTTAATACATATTCTCATGGGTTGAACAAAATAAATGACTGACCCAATCTAGTAAAACATGTGTCTGAGACTATCTCATGGAGGAATCATAAAAAACAGAGAGCACACAAGTATCAGCTACCATTATATGTGCAACAAGATAAGTCTTATTCTTATTATTTCTAAAAGAAAGTCAGAGAAAGGGGTCGCATGGACGCATGGAAATAGTATGAAATTCATCCTTTTAAAATTTATTTAGGAATGAAGCCAAAATTAATTTAAAAAATAGGCATGCTTTGTGGATTTGCTACACATTAAACCCCTTTTAAATTCTAGAACATTGAGAAAAATTACTCTCAACAAATTAGATATGGGTATTGATATAGCATGCAAACCCTGACTGGTTCAATTTATCAATTTTATCTGAAAAGAGTGAACTGCAAGGCAATGGAACTCTCTTCCAAGACACTAATTTGTCTGTAGCAACAATAATACAGAAACGAGACAAAATACTTTGGCAATATCATAGTAACTAAGAGTTATCCAACAAGTTCACATAGACAAAAAGCTGTGCTCCTATAATCTGAGGTCTACCCCCACCATGGCCACCAAGGTGTATTTTGAGGTCTACCAATCTGTTTTAAGTTATTCCTAGGATATGTAAATATTATGTGCTTATCACTTTAGGTGATTAGGGATGAAAAATGCAGTGGTATACCTAACAAAGTAGTATTGCTCTGAGGTAGATCTCAAATTATAGTGTGGTAGACCTGATACTATAGTAGCAACTCTAAAAAGCGCTATGAGAACACAAATAGATTAGCCTAAATTACACAATACATCCATGTTATGTATGAAAAATATTCACGACAGAATCCAGTAACATCACAAGGAAAACTCTTGAATACATGGATTAATTCGATATTACAATGAAGAAGATTCAAAGAAGTTTCGCAATGATGGAAGAAAAATTTCTAATAAATTTGTTTTAGAAACAGCGATGCCAATTTTGCAGATATAAATATTCAACATACACTGAATCCAAGGATTGTTTCACACCACACTGCCAGAACACTAGTAGTTATTATGTATTTGAAGGCAACTTATTACAAACATTACCGATTGATTATACAAGGACATGGCCAGATGTCTTGAGATAACAATTGAGTCAGGCCATTATCATTAAAATATATGTGACATATATTTCTGAATTGACTGCACTTAACTGCGTTTTCAAGGGTAAGGTGTAAGTAAGTACCTAAGTAAGAATAGGGAAATGAAATAACCAACAACCGAAAAGAATTGATAAATTAATCTTGCAACACAAAAATTAAGACACTGAGCACTATTTTCTCGGTTCCCAACTATAAGGCAAAATAATAAAAAAATAAATAAACCAAACCTTTTCGCTCATATTAACAAATTTTTAATAAGGCAGTTATGGAAGATTCAGAACAATATCAAAATAATAATTATCCATGCCTGAGCTATGCATAACATACGCTGCTCCAATAAAGTCCCTATGTGTGAAATTGGTTAAATAGGTTCTGCATAGAACACATTGTTTGGTCTGTGCTCAAGGTTTTGGATTTTAATAGTATTTAACGATAGCATAAATATCATTGGCTATGTATTACAAAGCTTAAAAATAAAAACAAATCTAACAGAAATTTCACGATTATTAGCAAGTGGGTAAAATCGCGACACAATTCCATGTATTTGTCATCAAAATTTGGTCAAAAAGGGCAAATACTGCCAGTGTTTCGAAAGTGATCATGTCTTTTTCTTCAGTTCAGCGGATAACCAATCAAGTCCTTCATACAGACCATCGCCAGTAGTAGCACATGCTGCTTGTACATACCAATTTCGGTTGTTACAACTTTGCAAACCAAGGCTTTCTTGTAACTCTCCAACTTTCATTGCATTGGGAAGATCCTGCTTATTTGCAAACACGAGCAAGATGGCATCCCGAAGCTCTCCTTCATCCAGCATACGTTTCAGCTCATCTCTAGCTTCATCCACTCTCTCCCTGTCATTACTGTCCACCACAAAAATGAGTCCCTAAATAAGGAAAATTTCAGTTATTTTTGGAACATCCAGTACATCGATTTAAGTACATTGCTTCAATGAAACAGGTTCAAAAACTGCCATCTAACTTTTGCGCATAAAGTCCACAAGCTCAGGCTCCAACCAAGAAGGTATACTGTGCCAAATAGAAACAATAGTCCTAAAACATGTTAGCTTTCATAATAAAGTTTGCCTAACTGCTTTTTATTAACAAGAATTGAAAAAGCAAGATTTTCTTGGAACAAGATAGGAGAATCCAGCTTTTAACAGGTATCCTAAGATTTCTAGTTTATCAATTACTAATTCGACAATTCTTGCTTCAGGCTATAGTAATATCAATCAATTGATAGATATGTTGATATGTGAACTTGCTTACTATAAAAGAACTTAAATAAATACTATTAATTCTTTTGCAGTATACAATGCGATAAACTCACTTTAACTTTTATGATCAGCCTTACAAATATTTACCAATACTAAGGGATCAATACAACATCAGCTCTAAATTAAAATCAATCATGTTATCGTATTTATTAAACGCGGAAAACTAACATATTGATTCAGGAAATGCAGCTCATCAATTCTCATGAACCACATGGGGCAATGTGGAAATAAATGAGAAAATTGTGTTGACAATTTCCCTGGGTAAAACCATATTGAAACTCAAACTAGCAAAATAGAAAGCTAGCACAATGTACTCATTTGAGTTCCCAACCGTGAACGAATTTGATTGTTTTGAAATAGGAAATCTAACTTTTTATTTGTGTTTAGTATTATTGCCAATATGTTATACATACATTCAATATATCAAAAACGATCTTGAACCACAGTAGTTAAAAATTAAATACAAAAAAAATCCAGAAGATAAAACTTTTATGTATGTGTAAGTGTATTCTATGTATCAAAACTATCAAGAACAAAAAAATTTCAGAGCTTAGAACTTTGGGTATTTTATAGCAATTATGACAATACTTGAGTATTTTGTTATGTTTGTTGAGAAAATATGGTTTGAATAAATAAATGAAAAATCAGTCATTTAAAATTCAAAGCGATAGGATGGCAAAATTCATGAACTGTTATCCATGAAATATTTTATGAATGACGACACCGCCCTCCTTCTACTAGAATCCTAGTAGAACTTCATAAAGAAAAACAAATGATTTCAAATAATAAGTGAACCTCACTACACATTCGTGTTTCAAGCACCAATTTCCAAAAAATTGCCTTTTTTAAATTTGAGAATTTCAATTTTGTTTTATCACTTACCTGAGTATTTTGGAAATAATGTCTCCACAACGGACGAATCTTATCCTGACCACCGACATCCCACACAGTAAAACTGATGTTTTTGTATTCGACCGTCTCAACATTGAATCCAATTGTAGGAATCGTTGTAACAATTTCACCAAGCTTCAACTTGTATAAAATTGTTGTCTTTCCAGCAGCATCAAGACCAACCATAAGAATTCTCATCTCCTTTTTCCCGAAAAAACTTTTGAATAAAGACGCAAAACCACCCATTTTGGTCCAAATATACGAATAAAATTACAAACAAAAACTGCAAAAAAAACACAATGAAAATATTAAGATGAAACTACAGAAAGCTCTTCTAAAACCTTTGACAAACACAGAGATAATTCGATCCGAAAAAATACTTTCGTGTAACTGACATCTGACGTTCAAAACTAATTCAAAATAGAAATTTTCTAATATTTCATGATTAAAATTAGATGATTAAATTTTAATTAGGTTTTATCAAAATTTCCCGGTTTAGCTCATATTTTAAGATAATTGTGTGAATTAATGGGAAAAATATTCAAAATGCAGATATTTTATTTCCGTCGTACATGAAATATTGTACCGACACGAGTAATAAAAAAAACAGTAACAAAAAGTTCAATTGAAATAAAGAACCATACAATATTTCCGCAATTGATGCGGGGCCACAAATATCGTGTCAGCGACACCGTGTTTGCTGAGTTCAGCAGCAGATGACGTCAAACAATCGTCAAATGAAATTTAAGTTTCAGAAGTTGGTTTTATATGACAAAAAAATAAAGCAAATGTATAATGGGTAATAAATTCTACAACGTTGGGTCGAATATTGGAGAATATTTACTCTTCACAAAAAGTTCTGAAGTTGGCGTTTAATTTGTATTCAAAACAGCAATTCGATTTTATACTAATCCAATAGGAATTCAATGGAACTACTAAAACAGCGTCACTTCAACTTCAGGTGTTGAAGAAAGCGGTATAAACTTCCATTAAAGGACTATTCAGTTATGGATACTTCGAACTATTATACAATTAAATATACAGATAAGAGTAGATTTTCACTAGCACTACAGCACTAAGATCAGAATATTTTCATCTTGTCGCAGTGTCGACTTGGGCACAAAAACCTAAGATAAAGTTACCCACGGATTCGTTCATCCAACAATTTTGAATAATTATAAAGGTCTAATGGACAGTAGACACTAGAGAAACGCGACTATCTGACTATCGAACTAACGGACTACCGTATGCCAGCCAACGACAGAAATCGCTGTGGTTACCGGTAACAGATACAGGTACGAGTTGAAATATTTCCATCAAATAGGCCATTCAGACACTTAATACCTACCAATTATTCATTGTAGTACTAAGAAATACCTTTTAATACAAAATTTACCAAACGACAAACGCGAAATAACCAAAATTACGCAATAAATTAAACACTGAAGGGAGCGACTCACGCGCAAGGCGGGGTACACGTATTTCGCTGCTTCATCCGATGACGTCATCAAACGTTATTCTATATTTCATACCGGAATTTTAAAGGAAGTTGCTGGCGAGTAAAAATATTCTCAAACACCTAAACTAAAAACCTACAATTAGGAAATATGAATGAATTAAAAACAAATTATGTACTAAAAAGTTTCAAAGTGTTAATTTAACATGATGCAACCTTCAAGGTTGCTATTTTCATCTTGATTCATTGAGTTATAAACAACTGAAATTTAGTTCAATTCAAAAGAATATTTGTTGCTCGAACTTCAAGTAAAACCTTATTTTAGATAATTTTAAACATTTATATATATGTTATTTATATTATTCAAACCTAAATTTATTCAAATACACGTATATTTCAATCCAAACTTATTGTATGAGTTTTCACATATCATCGTCGCTGATGCGTAGCTTTAAAGGAAGAGCAACTTGAGTTGAAAATGTAATTTGATATTCTGTACTGCATATTGATTCCAGTAAACTTCTGACTGGTTTGCGATTCAGCCATTGCAGCGTTGGTTTTCCAAGATGCCGGAAGCTGGTAAGTTTTATTGGATATACTACATAACTGAAATAACTTGTATTGAAAACAACAAACAAATGAATGGAACTATGGATTATATGAAAAATATGTGCCTGATGGAACTATCATGATGATATTGATATATATGTTTGTTTACTTTATGTCTTTATTTATTATTATTTTATTTATTTAATGAATAATCCACTTTTTGGAACTATAAAAAAAAAGTTTTATGGGATTGTGCTTATTTATTAAGTAATCAAATGTACAGTGGCGAGCGTATTCCTAACACTTACAGCCTTAGCATGATGAACCGCACCAAATAAAGGATATTAGTATAGGATTTACACTTCAGACACGTCCAGACGTCAGACTGTGGTGGGATTCAGTCGGTTCGCACCGGTTCTATAGAACCGTCTCATGGAATTTTATGAGATCAGTGAACCAGTTAGCATTACTGATTGCTGTCAATGACTTTTTGTAACAAAACTTGGTGAAAAATATGACTTTTGTGATGGAACCATTGACAAAAATTTAATCCCGTAATCCCACCACTAGATTTACATATTCAGCCCGGGGGAGAGGAAAGTTGATAAGACGGCCTAACCATATGGCGAATCATGGCCTCTCGTCCGGTTACCATTCCATATTTGGTATGGGATTAGTTAGTCATTTGTTTTTTCGGAAGCAGGACTTGATGGTGGTGGAAGTCGTAACCGACCAGCGGTGGTGAGCGTATTCCCAACGCTTAGCACGATGAGCCACACCACCACCGGTTGATTTTGCATTATTTTTAGATAAATTGTTGAAAATTGCCCCAGACACCGTCGTATGTGTGAATGCTGAAATCAAGGGTGATGTTACGATTGGCTCCAAGACAATAATCCATCCAAAAGCTCGAATATGTGCGCAAGATGGGCCAATTATAATTGGAGAAGGAAATCTCATTGAGGAACAGTCACTTATAATTAACAAGTATTTATCAAATTATTTATTCTATTTGATTTCATGGAGATTGTTTCTGAAGTTTTTTTATGAGGTATTGGATTGACGCTGCAAGATGGGAGCAGGGGTGTTTGAAAATTATATATTTTTTTAATGAAGGGAAATGAATGTCGCAACTCATTTCTCATGTTTCTTAGTCTGTTATTCAATTGTGTCATATATAACTCTTTATATGAATACTTCTCAGTTGTTTTTAATAGTCATTATATGTAGTTATTTTTTTTTTAACTTTGCAAATTTTTTTTCCAGAAATATACCAGGAGAGACAGAAGGACAACCACTCATCATAGGAAATTATAATGTATTTGAAGTTGGGTCAGGTATACCAGAATTTGTCTTTCACTTATTAATAAAATATATATTTTTTGTCATTTGGGATTTAGTTAGAAAAGAAGCAAGCATAGAAAAGTTGTTTCTAGCTCCAGCAGCAAATAGGCTGGGAGTTGACCTCGATGGCCTCATGGTCGTATCACTCCCTCCCGTCAATACCAAAGCAATTTTATTTGTGTTATGTATTTTTTTTCGAATTGATGACTGTTTGTTTTTGGTTGACAAAATAATAAATCTTTCTCTCTCTCACATTCCAGCAAGCTCTTATCGCCTTACTAATATGATATCCCACTTCAGACTAATTTCATTATTGTCAAGTTTTAATAATCTCTTATTTGTTTTCATAGTTTGCGAGACAAAAGCTGTTGGAGACAATAATATTATAGAATCAAAAGGTAACTACTGATTGATTGAAATAAAATACAGAATATCCCAGAGCTTGTGTTTTTATGTGTTTTTGTTTTAGCTAAGGTTGGTCCGTACACTGAATTGACAAATGGATGTGTGATTGGTGCACTTTGTGAAGTCAACACTAACGAAATTTTACCTGAAAACACCTTAATTTGTGGAGAAGATTATTTAAGAAGACGTTTGAATGAACATCCTCAGGTCAGTATAAACATAGAGTACTCAGCTGCTCTATTATTGCATAGGGCACATGATAAAACTTTGTGCGATACGCTTTCTTGATTAGGCTCAAAAAGAAACATTTTTTTTATGATGACAATTCAGCACTCCATAAGTATGTGTACCAATATGTTCGCCTACTTTACATCAAGTTTAGTAAAGTGACGGAAGCCTGTGGGCAGGGGGTATATTCACTTGGTTAACACAGACAGTCCCCGAACTCGTAATAGGACTAAAATAAGGAAAATCAGTATAAAAATTATGGCCTAGTTCTAACCTGGTACACATACTACGGGACACCTGGTCAACTTTAACCAGAGCTCTTTTGTTTTTTTCAGCCTCAGCACCAGCAGCTTGATTACTTGAGAAAGATTTTACCCAACTACCATTATTTACAGAAGTCTCCTAAGAAATCAACATCTTGAAAGTGTATCTACAAAAACTTGTTTCTTAGGTGTTGCACTTACATATTAAGCATACAAATGCAACACGATCAACAGACACATTTCGTATCTGTGTGTTCTGCGCAGTCAATATCAAAACTCTTATACTTTTCAACACAATAAAATATTTATTAAAATCTACATCATTGCAAATCAAAAAGTCTTCAATAATTTAATCGTAAGATGATAGATACTGTAATGAATGTACCTATTAAGTCGGTCAGCAGTAATAGTCTTAAGAGAGCATGCGATACTGGAGTAAGACATATGCTTTGGAAAATGATTCTTCTTAAATTCTGTTAAATCAACTTAGAGATTTGAGTGATAATAATCGCACTAATCAACATAGGAAAAATTCAATCATTTTTTACCTCAAAGATGGCCTGCGTAGTGCAAGTGTTTGCTGACAATATATTTTGGTAGTCGAAATCGGAACAGTGACAGACGTAACGAATATGATCCCTTCCTAAAGTTGGTATTCAAAGAATTACATTCAGTGCAAATAATTATCCCGAGGCATCGGGTTTATTGGTGAATTGAATCAAGGGTGAATAAAACAGTGCTCGTTGTATGTGTAAGCACATGAAGGGAAATTTGACTGGTGATGCAGAAGGTATTCATGTAAGATGCTCAATCTTTCATCTCAAGGTAATTGTATGTAGAAAAGAGGCAAAAATTTGTTCCTCAATTGGACGATGCAGCACAATAATTTTCAATTCAATAAATATATAATATTTAATTGCATCAGTCCCATAAACAACTGTAATCCTATTGCATGTCACCCGATTCCCATTTCAAAAGCCACCATCAAATAAATTATTCAATATATATATCATTCGTGGAAGCATAAAAATTCTCAAATATCAAACTGGACGACTGTTCCAGACATGTTTGTTACATCATTCTAGAGTTGGAATAGATAGCAACCAATAATTAGGTAATGCTTTAATTTGAGACCAGTTTGATGAGGAACCAGAAGAGAGATTGCCTAAAATAGTTCTCATGATATCTGATATATAAATCTTATTGTCGCCTCATCATCTTTCTCTCCAGTTTTTTCTTTTGTTTTTCAGTTGGTTCTTCAGCCTCTTGGAAAAACCATGGTGACAAAACGCTAACCCAAAGCTTATAGAAAGCAACAATTGGTATTATCAGCCATAAAAGCCAAAAATAGTTTGAAAAAGACCCCAACATCTGGCAAACAGCAGTGACAATGAGTATATCCTTCAAGTGTTCGCCCATACCTTGATACATACTCAGATCTAAATTGCTTTTTGCCATTGACTGCATGACTTTTATGCATGCTGCTAATACGATGGTGGAAAAAATTAAAAGTGCCCAATCCGTATATCCCATTCCTTCTGAATTCCACAAAAATTTAAATAAAACAACTGGTATATAGGAGCCTCCAGCAATGTAACTGTAAAATTGTAACGTTGACTCATTTTCCTGCTTGATTTGCTTTTGCCCTTTCGTTCCTTGCTTCCCTTTCGGAGCCATTTTACGTTGAATTTGTTAGAAGAGCGTCAACAAACCGAAAATAAAGCAAACATATGGCAGAACTGAGGTCACACATGAGCAAACATTCAGCCGACAGGAATTGGTGGCAACGGAGTCTAAAATTGATATCCGAGTATACGTGATATTATCTGTCTGTTCAATTCTTGTTTGCCAGCGCGTGCGTGTTTCTATCTCTACTATCAAATAGATTTATTTCTGAACTTTTTGAATTTTTTGTTCAAATTTTCAGAAAACAAGTTCTTCTCCTAAGATTGACTTTTTACATTTGAATTTCACCAGCAAGTGTGAGGTTTTTCCCATCATGTCCGGGTTTCACGTTTTCAGTAGCACACGACCGCATATAGTATCTAATAATCTTAAACATCATGTTCAATACCACATTTTAAGCAAAATCCCTATTTTGCAAAAAAAAATAGGTTCTCGTCTCGTGAAGCTTATTGTCATGAACCATAATGTTTGTGTTCATGCTGTGTATATATCTTTTATGTTTATATACCTATTCCTTATTTATTGCTGTTTTGTCGGGTTTGAGTATTGTGTTAACATTGATAAATCGCGCTAAATCTTTTTTCGACTACATTCACGCAAAGGACTTCCCAGACTCTTTACTCAATAAATATTCTTCCTATACTTTGCCATTGCAAAATTTTTTAACGTTTCATCAAGAGTTATTCGGCTACCATGAGCTTGTGAACTGGTATACTTCTTCAAAAGCACTTTTTCAAAAGTATTCAAGTAACTGCCGTGAATAGGCAGCCTAATAATGGAGATTGATATTAGCCAAAATTATATAAGCTTTTTAGGTAGGATAGCGTTTTTTGTTACCGCAAATAAACCGAAATACTTTCGAAGACAAAATGACTTCTGAGTTATTTCATATATATCTATATGTACTACACATAACTAAAAACTGGTAAATAGCTGCTAGAACAACGAATCCAAGTCAGTTTTTACATCCATGCTTGGGAATCCTTCTCAGTGAAAAAGTGTATATCATGCTGCTGCATATCTGCTGAAATATCAACTGTTGTGTTACCCTTATGTTACTACTAATTGGCCATTGTTGCGGAGACAAACAAGGGATACGATACTCGCGAGGAAACGTTCATTAGCAGTAGCACTGAGGTATCAGTGCAAAGGACTCAACCCAAAAGTTTCTTCGTCGTCGTAGCCAGCCCAAAATTTTGAAAGGCGCTAAATATTTTTTGTGTTATGGCGTAATACGACACTTACTCGTGCCGTTTTCCTCGAACAAAGTTAGTAACTAACCATCTTATATTATGTGTGTATATTTCAGGTACCATTATCCTTTATAATAAATACCGTATTCTAGGAAAGTGAGTTATCATTTATGATTGTACCTTAATACAACCAAATACTCCAAGTTCAAGAACGTTGGATTTCACCTCTCAGGATAATACAAACAAGAATAGACCAAAAGATGACTTGCCAGATCTTGGAAAGTTAAAGATTACACGTGCCCTTGCAAGACTACAGCCATATAATAAGCCTAGTCGTAAAGAGATATGAATGAGTGGTGTATCTCAGTGGTCGGCAACCACCGGGCCGCGGCCCATCGCCGGTCCGCGGAAAGGTTACTGCCGGATCCAACACAACAGTAAACCAGACAAACACAACGCCATGGGTTGGCAAAACTGCGGACCAAATGCGGACCGTGAGCTAATTTGTTGCGGCCCTCGAACGACCCGACATTTAATACATGAAACCAAATATGATTCTAAATTTATTATTGTCTCTACACGGATTTATGTGGTAACAAGTGCTGATGTACGTTGCTTGTTTGGTAATAAGTAGCGTTGGTTGTATATCGTTCGAGTTAATTTCGATTTTTGAAAATTAAAAATGTCTGGAAAACGGAGCGACGAGGGTCGAGCATTCCAAAGTGCTTGGACGAAAAAAATATTTTTTTAATTTTAATAGTATTCTTTCTTGCGTATTCCAAAACCGGTTTGCTCAATATGCCCAGTCAGCATCGCAGTTGTTGAGGGTTTTAATGTTAAACTCGACGAGTCGTCGAAAATTCTACCCCGAGACCCGGGACTGCGCCACAGCTCATCTATGCGTTAGTGCAAAAGGTGTAATGTGCACGTTCAGAAGAACATATGGCCTTGAGCAGCTTTATCTAAAATGCATTACACTTAGAATAAAATTTCGTACTCGCCTGTCAGATCATCATTTGGACGACAAGTTGCCATAAAAACAATGTATTGTTGGATAATATATTAAAAAATGCCACATACATATCCCATTGTGGCAGGCTTCCAACACAGCAATAGAAGGGCGACAATGCGAATGCGCCATTGAAGTTCAATTAATGTAGCGATTGTTCGAAGGCGGAAATGTGTATATTTGGCCCGCAAGTACATGAAGTTTTCCGACCACTGCACAACACTATTGACCAGCATGTTTGACTTCATAAACAATTGCAATGTCAGTATGTCGCAATGATGCTGGGTCAATTGTTTTCTCTACGCCCGTATAAGAATGTCTCTCATCAGTCCGAATAAGATCTCCCCACGCAGGCATTGTAAACTTTTCCGAAATCTTATTAATGTGAGGCCTGGTTTTCAATATTGATAACTACAAAAACGAAATATCGAGGTAGGGTGGATGTAAGAAACACGTTACGTGTGTCAATGTCGACCATATCTCGAACATCAAACAAATACAGGTATCGCGTTAAATAGCATCACCGTTGTTTTTAGTATATTGTCAACATAAATTTCATAATGCGTTTAATTTATTGCATAGGCTTAGTTCGTTTGTATAGATGTGGTCCGCCCAGATTTTGGTCAGGCTTTACCGGTCCGTCACTTGAAAAAGGTTGCCGACCACTGGTGTATCTGATCCGTGATATGCTTTTTGAGTGACAGACACCGCTGGGCTTTTCTAACCGGCTTAACTACGGTGCAATATTTCACCCAACATTCAGTTTTATGTATACCCAATAGCCCCCGGGGGAGGGAGATAACTAACCATCTTATATTATGTGTGTATATTGCAGGTACCATCATCCTTTTCCAAACCCCTCACATTATGGATATTTCAACTGGGGAGAGAAGAGTGTGATACTGTACTCAATTTCATTTATTATATCTTCATGCATGGTGCACGTTTTAATGTTTCTTTATTGCCACTGTACTATTGTGTATCATTGAAATGCCATAATCTTGTATTGATCGGCGTATTGGAAAACGCTTTCATCTTTTATAATAAATACTGTATTCTGGAAAAGTGAGTTATCATTTAGTGAGGTAAAAGCATCAAAGAATCTTTCCAGGGAAAGAAGAACCTATATAGATCGCTGGAAATTTAGATGTTGCGGTGTGGTACGTAGATGTGGGCGATTAGAAACCGGAATTATCATGACATATTTTTTTGTCACCCGTGTTTCCGCAAAAATAAGACCTAGCCTAAATTTCAAAAATGATTTTAATATAAGCCTTCCCCTTAAAATAAGACCTAGTCGATAGCAAGAAATCTCTACTACACGTTTTAAATGATAAATAATCTATGTTTAAAAGTTATTCTAAATAAAAACTTGTTATTTTTAAGTAAATGGATATCGGTTTTCATATTTTGTATATTCAAAATCTCGTAATTCTCTACTTTGTATTTTTGTTCTTGATAAATAAAAATAAAACACATCCCCCGAAAATAAGCCCTGGTGTTATTTTTTGAACGATATTGAAAGCTACTGTCTTATTTTTGGAAAAACACGGTAATATGTGATATTATGTCAGAGCTTTGCGGTTCTTGACTTGCTTTCGAAGTTAATTATTACAGAATATATCCCACTTGGACGATAATCGTGAGAATTGAAACTAAATTATTACATCACAACAGACCGTTTTTTCATGCGAGGTTCTCACTTGTAAATTTGTGACAAATTGTCGCTCACAAACTGGTTTTCATGCCTCATAATCATCACTTCGATTCAAAATATTTATTCATCTGTCATTTGGAAGTACAACCGTGTTTCCCCGAATTATTAATATATTATATTAATTTTTTTCCGAAAAATAACACTAGGTCTTATTTTCGGGGGATGTCTTATATTTTCATTTATCAAAATAAAATTACAAAATATAGAATTACGAGATTTTCAAATCTACAAAATATAAAAACCGATATTCATTTTCTTATAAATAACACGTTTTTAGTCGAAATCACTGCAAAACATAGATTATCAGTCATTTAAAACGTGTAGGAGAGATTCCTTGCAATCAGGTCAAAACAAATTTTACGTTATTGACTAAGTCTTATTTTAATGGGAGGGCTAATAATAAAATAATACTTAAAATTCAGGCTAGGTTTTATTTTCAGGTTTGGTCTTATTCGGAGAAACATGGTATTAGCTAATTTTAGTCTATAGCAGGCTTTTCGGGACTAATTTTCCAACTAAACTAAAATTTCAAACAAGACAAAATTACCACTGATGAATTCGAATTATACCCAAATTTTGGGAAAACAACTAAAAACTGACAAATACTTAACAGCACCGCAAAAATGAGCTAATATTTATGCTACAACCCTTCCTAGGAAGCTGTATGGATACTGTTAAAATTGTAATTGTTACGTCACCATTACCATTTCAATAATTAGCCAACCCTGCGGAAACAAACAAGGAAGTCGGTGCTCGAGGAAAACATCATTTAGGGGGGCTCCCGAAGTATGCGAACAAAAGATGGCGGACATCGGAATGTAATATGTGTACTAGGTTAGGGTTAGGCCATAATTTTAGGTATAAATACTACGGGAGGCGCTTGGCTAGTCTTCGAACTGATAATAGGACTAAAATAAGGAAAATTGGAAAAAAATTATCGCCTAACCCTAACCTGTTACCCATATTACGCTCCGATGTCCGCCATCTTGGTTCGCATACTTCGGGAGCACCCATTTAGGTTTATCCTTTCTCTTCCCGACGATATTCTTGCATGCTACGTATACGCTTACGCTAGGTAGCGCTGAAAATCGACTCCCGCAAAATGAGGGCTGTTTGTTTACTCTCTTTTTTCTCCGACGCGTTCTCGTTTTCCAAATCTTCAAGGAATGTCATTCGCACTATTTTCCCTCCGCACGCACGTTTTAGTTTTGCTTAGTAATTATTGGAAAAAGGCACACTGTAGCTAATTGATTTCGTCTATCTGAGTTTGAACGTTTGACGCTAAACAGACACTTCAGAAAACGCATCGTCAGACTAACGTTAGCACGCTTAAACTAGAATAATACTTGTATATCGACTCCGCGATCCCTGAATGAAGAACGAATACTCCATCGCTTTCAAAAGGCCCCTCGACGAAGATAAAACCCCAGGCGAGGAAGGGCAGCATCGACTCTGGGCGAGCAAACTCCCAAAGATCGAACCGCTTCCTGGTAGGCCAGAATCTTTCAACAGTGCTTCAATAAATACGACCACCATGAACACTGATGCAAATAATAATAACAACAATGAATTGAAAGAGGAAGAGGTATGTTAAACTATTTTAATTATTACGATTTCTAAATTGCTTTTGATATGTTTTAAGTCGTCACTCGAGGCTTGTTACATGAGCATATTTTGAATGGGTATGTTGCAACTAACCAGACAACTTCACGCAAGCAAGAAGTTATAGGGTTTGGAATGGGTCCACGTACTGACGTAGTAAAGTTGAACATCACTAAATAAGCTAAAAATGTTTGGAAAATTGGGTGTTATGTTCTATGTTAAGTGATCCAAGACGTGTATACGATTGAGAAAGTTCAATTTATGTGTGGAGAAATAGACAATTCTATCTTGGAGTATTAAAGTGAAATTGTAAAAAATCTATATTTTACTTGAAATTGCGACATATTTTCACAATTTCGTAGTACTGTATCGCATTATACGATCGAGAAGCGATGTTTGTAACGGTATTATTTACATTTTAACGCACGTCTCGTACGCCGTGCCTCACCGTTGAGTGATGAGCGTAATAAAATTATATATAACGTTACTTAGCTGATAGAATATTTTACCAGTCCGCTATCCCCGTGCAGCCGTGTACTAACTGGTGAAACCTTTCAGTCGATGAAAAAGTTACGAAACCAATCTCCTAAATTTGATCTTATTTAGCATTTGTTATTTTCCTTATTTATTCGATAAGTTAACATCGCGTGCATAATAATCTAAGCTGTCCTTTATGCACATTGCGCAATATCGATTTCTTGTTTTTACTGATTTTTCCTCTCTGGATTTTATTGTTACGTGATTGAAAAGAATTACGTATATATTATGACACACAATGGCACAACATAATTTGATTTGGGAGAAGATTTTAGACTTATTTTGAAACTGTACCTGGAGTACAAAGCTTTTTGATCCAAAACGGTTACAACCTCAGCCGTACTTCAAATGTTTTTAGGAAGAATTTTTCATAAACTTAATTTAGGGTTCTTCACAAAAATTTATAATATGCCTTAAACGCCCTCGCAAAATCTTTTAGGCTGTAGGAGTTTATAATTTATGGCTGTAGCGGTAACGTAAAGGTAATTTCATACATCGCGTTATTGTCGTATACCGGCAATATTTTATAATATCCGTTGTATACCCAAGACCGACATATGCTTGGAATATACACTGGTAGGACTTATTTCATCCATATCGCGTAGGTAACTCCCAGTTTATTTGCCCAGCCTTGGGAAAATTATCTTCAGCCATTGTACGGAGATTAAACAGCTTTACGACCAGCCACAAAGGAATAATGAAATCGCGAATTTGAGGCTTCTTCCTGTTGACTATATTTTATAAGTGCCGTGATACGTCACGCCAACGTTGGTCCGTGAATCCACCATCTCTTGAATGTGTTATTTTTCTACCCATAATGCTTGACTTGGTGTGTCGTAAAAAGGAACTCAGACCGGACTGGTTTTATTCAAAAAACCTGGCTTAATGTATGCTATAAAATTTATATATTGCAAAGAAATAAATATGGCAGTAACCTTTCTTGAATGTGTGGATTTTATTCGAATATACCGTAAAACATACTGTATGATAGGATAATACCTGTGGATTCTGAATTATTGTGTGAAGTACGCTCTCGTTTACCTTTTTGGGGTTTCCGTGGTTTACCATTTTTCTTGTATAATTTCGTCAGAATCGGGCCATCATTTAGCTGTCATTTTGTTAACTCTTTGCTTCAAAATGCTAGAATATAGAAACACAGATATATTCATATATAAGTACGCTAATATTGCGCAACATTTCGCTATTTTTATAAAAAATTTCAAAAATATATCTGATGTCAAGAACATCCAATTTGGTTAAAAATCAGTCATGGGTAGCATGATATTAATATTAAATTAAAACTCCAATTTGGTTAAAATCAGTCATGCGTAACAGGATATTAATTGAAACTTAAATCAGGTAACCTTCAACTCGTCTCGGTGAACGTTCTTCCCCATCGATCGAAAACATATTTATCTCATATCCGTGTACTGATAATGTAGTTAAGCTTTCAACATAGATTATGTTCCCTCTACCCACGGGAATTCATATTAAGCAAATTTATCGATATTTTTGTTATAGTATTCCAGAAAAACCACATCAGAAGCGCCGCCGTATAAATGATTCTGCTTAAAAATGACTTTGCTCAACTATACAATGCAAAGTGATTTTATTATTTCCTCCCATACATGATCTTTCATTTTAATGATCTAGTCACTTATCATTCCAATTAACCTGTCCAAACTTCATTGACTCGACCTTTAGTCCTGCATCAACACTGGGCGATGTGATTCGATTAACCCGACCCCAAGCTTTTAAATAATTTAAAGCTCGCTGTATGCAGCGATTTATAACGATTGAAGTTGTTTGATTTTAGTAGTTTGCTTTGAAGTATGTTTTGGTCTGGCATTATCGAAATTTGTTTATTTTTGTTGTTGAATAAATTTATTCTGACATTTCTTAAACGGAACAAACAAGATATGCGATATAATATAGATTTTTACTTCCAAGCTAGTATCTAGTACATTTTCTAATGGCGTATAGCGACTTAACGATATCCAACTTTAAAGCAAAATATAAAGAGCAATCCACCGTTACTTATGTTAGCATTTCGTTTGTTTTTCGATGCTCGCGGATATGGATATATCACACTTTTACATAAATACCGCGCCTTGTTTTTGTCAAAAAAAAAATCTTCAATTATGTTCTGCCGAGGTAGTCTATTGCTTTGACGCACTGTAAATGTGGGAGATATTCACATAAATAGCAATTTCGCCGTTCATTATCTCATTTTATTTCTATCCGAGTCGCTTGCTCAAAAACAAGTCCACCAGTGGCACGGAACTCTTTGTGACCAGGAACCAATGTATGTGATTTCCCAGCGTGACGTTCCTTAGAATTATGCGCACCCTGTTGTTAACGTTCATTATCCCACAGAACCCTCATTTTTTGTTATAATTCGCGGTAGAATATTTTTTATAGCGGATGGATGCGGCCAAGAAATCCTCGTTAAAATCTAACACAATAGCTGCTTCGCCTAGCGCTACGTGTAGCGATTTCGGCTTTTTATTTGGTACTGGAAGCCGTTAAAGGAATCATTAGTCGTTTTTTTTCATATTTTCATGGGTAATGGCATTCCATCTATTTTCAGGTATATCCAACATTCGTGCTTTTTATACTTCTTCTCTTCTACTTGTATATTAGCCCCCTTTTTGGGCAAAGCGAGAAACATAGAAATGCGAATTATAGAGCAAAACGTTTATCCGCTTCCCCCGTGTTGTGTGATATTTGTTCAAGAGATAATTATCGGTAGTCGATTCGATTACGAATTTGTAAAAATTGATTTTACAATTCTATTATATTGGTTTCTCATGCTGATGATCGATTACATTTGAAATCATAACGGTTTCCCACGAAGGTAAAATATCAGAGGTTTAAAATTATTGGTATTTTTGCAACCGCACTTGAATTTTAATTTAAAATGCTTCAACTTGTATTATCATTATTTTTGTACGTATTGGCAATGCTACGGTGTCCAGTGGCGATTTATATGCGATGAGGCTGATGTCTCGCTTGTCAACCCATTCTGTCGCCACGCAGATCACCTTTAATTACCCACAAAGAATAATTTGACTTTCCAAATACATGAAGATACTGTTTTAACAACTGTGTGTTTTCAAATAATATATTTGTTGTTTAGCAAAGTCCATCCATATGAAATTACATTATTTCAAAATTCCAATTTTTTCCTGTTTCTGCAACATAAATGTCACTTTTTTCATCCATCCGCATAGTTCCAAATCTTTTTCTAAATCTTCGGATATCTTCAATATATTATGATTAATTTCCTTTCTCTTGACGTTCCATTTTATAATTTTCGTCAAATAAATGACGTTATCACGATGGTTTGGCGTATTGATTTGTTCAAAAACCTTTATTATCCTCCGTCCGATTTATTAAAATGCTGCCAACTGATCTCGAGTCCAAAAATACATCGAATTTTCAGTTTGATGCAATTACCCAGAAAGAGAAACGGTTTTGGGAGAAAAAACGCAATTTCTTTCACAGGTAACTGATAACAGGGGAATAGCGATATATTTTCTTAAATATCTTATTTCTGGCGCAAGCTTGGTCGCTTGTCAATCAATTTTGTTTCAAACTGTTAGAAAAAATAAACGACGAGTGGTAATATTATTACTATATTTATAGTCCGGCTAAATTAATTTTGCAATAATAGAATAAGATTGGGTGTTAGTAAATACCAAGCATCGCCATGTAAAGAGCTCATGATGAAACAAAACCCATACTTTCACGATATTATACTCATGAATTATGTTTATTTTCTGTTTTCTTTCACTACACGTAATTTAGTCAGATTGCAAAACACGAACGATTTTCTGTCCTATTTACTTCTTCATTAACGTCTTCCTTCCAATATGCGACCGTTTGTGATTGCATAATGAACTCGTCCAGATAATCCTTTCTAGTGGGAGAATTGGAGATAAGTAGCGCGAACGAATTAGATATAGGGTGTTGTTAGGTTGAATTCAATTCGATTTATAAAGTTTTGTTTTATTATTTGTTGAATTTTATCCGACGTCCCGAAAGCAAAGTGTGAATATTACGAACTGAGTAAATAGTTCTGTAATTCCGATTAATGAAAGGATTACGTGCAGCATGACCCCTCCCCCCCCAAAAAAAAACTTCTGGTTATGAATGATTGTACCCAACAGTCCCAGTACGCCTTGCACAAGTTATCTTCGCTCTAGATTTTCTGCTCAACTGGCGGACCGCGGTCCGAATCTGGACCTTTCGAGTATTCGATTTGAACGCACCTGATTCTTTATTTTGGATCATTGGCTCACCTTGTATATGCGAAGGTTTCCTTTTATTAAATGGGATTATAAACAATGCGAATAGCGCTATCTTGATTAGCGAATAATCACTAGCCTATCGAGAATATAATCGAAATATAATTTCGGGAATGACCGGACCACAGAATTTTGA